TGGAGAGATGAACTAGGGCAAGTCCTAAAACACTATGATATCAAGTAGGTAAGGCCTGGAGATTTATGTTTTTTTTTTTATTTATTGTCTAAACAGATTCATTGGCTTAGTGGTGTGTAGAATGAGAGACCCAGGATTGAAATGACTTCATCAAACTAATGGAGATAAATAACAGCAGAGCATTAGTTTTTTTTTTTCTCAGAAATTGGGATCTGTTCCTAGTAAGAAAGTTTTCATTTCTTTGATTTTTCACATAGATCCATACATAAAAAAGTAAGGCACAATCCACGCAAATGCCAGGCACAGTTCTGACAGAGTTGCCTACTCCAAATTTCCTTTTTATTTTTTTGTGGTAGGATATTTGTTAGTTGCTAAGCTGCAACCACAAAGTTTAAAGTGTGCTAGCGATGTAGTCCATCCAGTTTACTTTCCCTCCCACTGTGTAGAAATGTGGGAATTCCCTCCCGTTTGACCCCATCACTTTTCACAAACACTCAACTTCAAGTACAGGGTGCTGTGCTGTGGTGAAATTACCAGGAAGAAGGGAAAGTCATTCATTTTCCCTGACTGAAAGTTGTGAGCTGTTTAGTGAATGAAACACTGATAAAAGCATTCTACTCTGAAGGCACATACAGGTAATGCCAGTTTATTTTTGGTAATGTCTTCTTTTTAAATAACAGTGGAATGAACAAGTTGATTTTTATTTACATCAGATTTGTCCAAAGTGTATCACTTGAATTATGATTATGTAATTATCTGTAATAGGATATAGCACATGATAATTGCCTTGATGATACACATATCTGTAAAAAGGAATTTATATTTCAGATGCATAATTTAGATGAGATGTAGCATTGATACATAATTTTTCTATTGTCACAACTGAAATTAGAATTAAAAATAGATGTTTTTTTTCTTTGTGGTAGGAACTAGTTAATTTCTTCCTATTAAAATGCAGGCTGATGTCAACAACTGCTTTAATGTTACCCTGAGCTTTCTTAATGAGTGTTTTTAATAGGAAGACTTCAGTTAGAAAAGTCTAATTTGCATTGCATGTCCATGAACCAATGGGTTATGCAAAGCCAAATACTTGACAAGTTCACAGTGTTTTTATGCAAGCTCAGGGTTTGAAAATGTTAGGATTGGTTTCTTATTAACATGACATATGACGTCAAAACGGTTCCCTTATCAGGTTGCTATCTTTGTTGGTGTAGTTTATCACAATGAAGACATGTCACATGTATGATATTTGTCAAACAATTACACATAAACAAATATGTTATCTTTGTATGTAATCAAAATTAAAGTTATCTTAACCTGTAAAGATATAGTAAAAATCAGATGTATAAAGAGGGCACACACATATTTCACACTGCATACACCTTGACATACCAATTTGTCAATTAAATCTCTTCCTCTCCTCATCAATTATACTATGATGTTCTCTTTGCCCATAAGTTGCATAATGAATAGAACATCTATCTTTTTTTCTGACTGGTCGGAATTGGCTAACTATTCATTATTGTCATACATTTGCACAGTTTGACGTCAACCGCCCGGTCACTTACAGATTACATATCAGGGAGAACCTGTGGACCCATATAGTAGCTTATTAATCCAAGTCCTCAGGCACACCACACCACTGATAAAATAATTGTATATAAACTATTAGGGTAATTATGGTAATCTCACAGAGAGCGCTCTGCTCCCAGCCATCTGAGCCTGTTTTGCATATTGCCTCAGTGCATGCTGTTGCTAGAAGGTTCATATATCGTAGCTCTATACAACGATACTTAGCAAGTAGTCTGGTTCCATTGCATGCTAAAGCAACCAGCTAGGTTTGTCTCAAAGTGAGTTGTTTATGTGACGGTCAACGAACCGGTCACCACTCCACCAGTGTGCTATGGTTGTGTGTGAAGTGAACATACCCTGTGCTGGGGGTATAGTAGTAGGGAGGAGACACAGCTTCCCCCTGGTAGGATGCCAGCGATGGGCAGAGGCAGGTAGCACCACATTGCAAGAGCGAGTCTTAACAAGGGTGAGGTTATGATGTAAAGCATTAGAGTAATAGGATGACGTCCTTTTCATAATGGTATTATGTTAAACCAGCCTGGATGAAAAAAAGATGCATTTAGATGGTGATGCCATTGGAAATTATGAATGGCCTGTAGAAAAAGATTTATAAGGCAATTATATGACCTGCTGAAGAATCAACTAAGTGAACTACTCGTGGTATGCCATATGACAAAGTCTGACAGGATTTTTTGTTTGATTGATGATTAGTAAGTCACCATTTATGTTTTGATGTCCAGGGGTGTTAAAAAGAGAATATGTTACCAAATACATTTAGAATATATTCTTTATGAATCCTTATTTTATACAAATAACATTAGATTAATTCAGAAAAGTAACGTTTTTACGATGTACACTAAAGTTTGGTGTTGTAGATCAGAGAGACACTGTGACATGTAATAAGATTTGTTTTTTTGTTTTTTTTTGCACACATGTGACCATCTTTTACTAAACCAATTAAATGTTTGCACAAATTATCTAATGCCATTTGTCTTAGCCTAGACTGTGCTGGTTTTTATGCATTGCTATTATTATTTTTGTAATGCTTGCTTTGAACTAATTTATTGTGTAATTTAAATGATTTTGAATGGCTAAACTGCTTGCCCCACCTCCAGCAACATACATGTGCACACAACACACACACACACACACACACACACACACACACACGATAACATAATATTTTTTCTTGGTATACATTAGCATAATCGACAAACATTCAAACCCTGGATTGATATATGAGTATACAAGAATATTTGAATATGATGCCCAGAAAACAAGGGATGTTTCTGTTGCAAAACATGGAAATTGAGCAGTTGAACACTCATAGTATTAATAGTAGTGGTAAAGTTAGTAATAACTGATGAATAGACTCAGGATAATGGTGGAAGAAATGTGAGTTTAAATGCACAATCTGTAGGGATACATTGTGCATCTTCTGACGTCAATGAGAAAGGTCCCTCAAGATTAACTTTCTTGATTCTTTGTATCTTAGTTCCTTGCAACTGCAAGGAATTTAAGTATTCCACTTACTGGTATTGGATTTAAAGACTTCAGAGAAGAATAATTAACAAACAATTAACAAATTGTCTTTTTTTTCTAGTGAACAGAGCCTCAATTTGCAATTGCCTCCATAAGATTGTTATCTTAAAAAAATTGTAAATAAACCACTGTCATGATTGATTTGTTAATTATATAGGTCACTTTTCTGATTGTTTTGAAGTGGTAGGAGAGAAGTAATATTTATAATTTTGAAGGATTTTTGGTCCATAAAATTAGCTAGATCATGGTTCAAGCACCTCACTTTGGTATTTTGATAATTTAAGTGTTCATACTAGGCTCTGTAACTTGAAAGCATCGCGAATTGCGAATAGCAATATCACCTTTTATTTTGAGGCTATTATATGGGGCAATTAATGGAATCGAGATGCTTGCACTCTGTTGCAATGCACGGTGCTTTCGAGTTAATGGGGCCCTGAAGTTTGAGAAAATATCTGAACACAAAATGTTCTACAGGATAAGAATGGAAAGGAAAACTTTGCTAACTGAAAAATTGAATAAGTAGGATAATGTTGTTATCATGAATAGCTACTGTTAAGTTATGTTAAATGAACACCTGAATATTGGTGACAAATTTGTGACATGTCTTTGCTGTGTATTGTAGTACATAGTTACAGTGATATTTCATTTATAATTGATCCATGATAAAAGAGAGATGTGTGAAAAATTTAAATCTCAGATGGAAGGTCAGACTGTTGGATACTGTCCTAAGAGGAGATTTATAGTATTATAAATGATGGTAGCCCTATACCCATTTACTGGGCAAATGCTTATTATACTCTTTGGAAGGTGGGGAGGAGAGATGAGATTAAGAAACTTATATCAGTGAAATCATTTTGTGAATATCCCTCATAAATCCCCTGGAGATGCCTCTATCAAGTCCTTCATATTGGAACAAAGACTAGTTATTATTGAATTTGAATAGGAAGTCACCTATTGGATTTTTCTAGTCACAATATCTGAATACCCGTGCTACTTATATTATAAAAAGTGGTGGTGATTATGCTGTGAAGCTTTATGTAATATCGCATCAAAGTTGAAAAAACCCTACTTTGGGCACTGATGCCACATTCACCATTAAAGTAAGCCATGTTAATTATGATTCTCAAATTTACCAAAAAAAAAAAAAAAAAAAAGGTCATAGGACTGTAATACAGCTTCAGTTGGAATACCAGCCTGATTGCATTCTTTTACTGGAGATTATGCAGTTTTTTGCCAAATTTTCATTTGGACTTGGAAGTTCCGTGGGTTTGAACACCTTTGCTAATAAAATATTCTCAATATTTCTATTTTGTGAATATTTTCTGCTTTTATCTGTATACTTGACAGTTTTCCTGACTTTTTTATTTTGTTTTTTGGTTGCTATGATAACAGCAGCTAGGGGGCCTTTTTCTTCATATGAAATATTCTATTATCACTATTTTTCATCAGTAGTCTGAAAATGATTGGATCACGATTAATATTTTTTCCTGTAGTTTTAGCAGACAATTATAGATGGTAACCAAAATAAATGATTTTTATTGCTTTTATTTTATTTTTTGGGTTGCTATGATACCAGCAGCTGGGGGTCTTTTTCTACTTATGAAACAGTTGTGTTTTCTTTATTTTTCATAACATTTCACAGGTTTTCATCAGTAGTCTAAAAATGATTGGATCATGACTAATTATTTTTTCCCCAGTTTTAGCAGACAAAGTAATTAGCAATTATATATCCTTTTGTTCGCTTTGTAGAATTTAATAACTTCCCTTTTTATTCAGAGAAATGTTTTTCTGTCCAGTACATACACCAGCAACAGCAACCAGGATACGACTGATTAGTTAGCACCTTTATTATTTCCAGTCATTTGATTTTATTCATGTCTTTGCAGAGTTCTGTTCCCAGCTACGAATCAGAGCTGATCCGTGAAGCCCATGGACTAATCACAGACATGTTAGCAGATACCAGTCTCCCGCCTCATGTTATCAGTGGTCTCAAGGCAGTAGGCAGTTTGTTAAAGCCTCCAGAGAACCACATGCCCATCAACAGGCCCAGGGTCAGTCCTCTGGTTTCTTTAGCAGAGTCCACCAACTACGGGTCTGATTCAGAGGATTTACCCTACACAGGAGAGCGACCTTCTTCCCTGCCAAGGGTAAGCTGTTCCCTGATGGATAGCTGGCATTTGTTTTGTTGGCCAATCTTTGTCCTGAAAGCCTCAATGGCCCTGTGCCAAGAGAGCAGTAAGGAGAGAGAGAGAAAGGGAATCTTGTATGCAGTGTTACTATTAATTTTGCTATTGCTAAATGTATATTAATTTGTTGTGTACATTTTTCATCATTTTCATTATTTTACTTTTAATTTTATTTATTTATTTTATTTATTTATTTATTTATTATTATTATTATTTATTATTATTTTTTTTATTTTATTTTTTTTTTTTTTGGAGGGGGGCAGGGAGGATTTGATTAAAATCTTATTAAGATCAAACAGTACTTGACAGTCAGTGACTTCACATTTTATCCAAAGGTGTATGCCTTTGTAGTAAATATAGAAGAAGGAAAAAATTACTGATACCAGTGCACTTAAAAGAAGGCTTCACTTTTTCACTATTCAGAAAAGATAATTATAATGGCAAGTAGATAGTATAATAAAGGAACGTTAGGTATAATGAGAAAATTTGAATCCATTTGGTGAGTTGTAAAGCATTACATCAGCTTAAGAAAAACATTTAAATGTCAAATCATAATTATATGTTTGCAAAATACATTAAGTTCATAAATGTTAGATTTTATAGCTATACAAGTACATGAATCATTTCAGTTATGAATTTTTATGTTTTATAATAAAATGTTCAGATATTTATTTATTTATTTATTGTATACTTTGATTAACAGTAAAAGCATATCATGTCCCATTGCAGAGATTACGCCGCAGCTTACCTCCAAGCTTGTTACGTCGCATGTCTACCAGTACCTGGACCACCACCACCTCTGCCACTGGGATGCCCACTCTGGAACCTGAGCCATGCCGTACACGCAGTTCCAGTTTCCGCCATTCCAGAGAAAGCACTCCAGCCTCCAGTCCCTCTGGCAGTCGTAGCAACAGTCCTTCACCTAATACAGCAACCACAATATCTCTGACCATACCAAAATCTCGATCATTCTCTCTTGCATCAGCAGGACCTGTATCTTCTGTAAACCAAAAGAGGTTCCCCCGGGACCGTAAAAATGTTTTTATGCCTAGTGCTCCAGAAGAAGCTGGCACCCATTTGAAGCCTCTTAGCCCATTAGTGAAAAGCTCGGAAGAAAGTATGACTATAAGAAATACCCCGACCAAAGAAGCTCATGCTTTACTCACAAAGAGATTGCAAAGGACATCAGATTATGAAAGCAGTGACTCTCCCAATAACAGTGATCATAGTGACAATATTGTTAACACAGAAGAGATGATAGACTCAAAGACAACCTCAAAGATAGGGACAACTTCACAAGTAAGTAATAGAAATGAAACTGCTTTCAAATTGTCAATAGTTTTATGAGCTGTTTTCTGAGTTTTTTACCACATTCAATCAAACCAAGCAATATCTTATGATGATTTAGAGAATTAGACATCCTTTATTGTTGTAAAATTACTGGTGGCTGCTTCCTTTTCCTTTGAATCAATAACACCATGCTCAATCTTCTGGTGCTGTCTTCAGCTGCAATAGATTTGTAATGTCAACAGTTTGCTAAAAAGTAGTATTGTGCTAATTTAGTCACAGGTACTCCCACTGACATGCTACAACAGAACAATGCAATTAGAAAGTTGTCATGTTCCCTAAGGCTTTCTCTTGAACCAAAAACTTTTTTCATCTCTTGCTTGTAAACACATCTGATCCCAATGAAACTGTATATTCTAAGTGTTTGACAGCCCTCGCCTGGTTTAAGTCTTTGATATTGTCACTCAAGCTATTGCTGTGTTTCATAACTTGCTTCAGAAAAAAATTACATCAACAATTATTGTAAAGTGTGCTATGTGCTCCTTTTTCTCAAAACCTACAAAAATGTTGATGTTTCCCAGATGACTCTGGGGCTTTTTTTTATTTTTATTTATTTATTTATTTATTTATTTATTTATTTATTTATTTATTTATTTATTTTTTGGGGGAGGGGGATAAATTATATCAGATATTGTGAATTATTAGAATGCAACAGGTCTTTGTACTGTTTTATTATAACTTTATCTCAGAAGTTCACTGTTGTACTGAAATGCATTAAATTCAACCAAAATTAAACCAAATGATGCTCACCTACATCGCACTGTGGGCAAGTAGAAAATGTTTAACATCATATGGATGAAGATATAGGGTCATATACTGTACCAAATGGTTTGTGATTACTCATAAGATATAGATTGGTCTGTGGGCCTCGGGAGGTTTAGACTCTGGGTAATGTCACAGTTTTAATGTTTATCCTGGAACCAAATCGGGCTCTGGTCTAAAGGTTCACAGCTTTTAAATGTTATGAATTGTTTAGATTTACCTTGGGATGTCTGGATGTTTTTTATGGTGTTAATTTATGTAGATAAAGGTTAGTAGGTGTTTGTGTGAAGGTAAACAAGTATACCATAGATCAAGTCATTATTCAGATTTGTCTGCATATTGCGTTTATGTTTAGGGTCTTTATTTAAGTAAAGTTGTTTCTAATTAACAGGCTTGTTAACTTTTTTCTCTGGTTGTAAATATTTTATGTTTTCAGACTAACCGAATTGTGAACATTAACCAGTGCCTATTCCATTTTGATTGGGGGAGATACATTATTTTAGTAAATGTTGAGGTCTGATTACTGTTAACTTGACTTCTGTGAGTTTTATATACCAGCCAGTCAACAAATATTACTGAGAAGCATTTAATATATTTAATTATGTCAAATTGTTATTCCTGCCAGGTGGAGCACTTAGCGAACAGAACAGCCCATCATACAGTGGAGAGTCTAATACAGAACAACAATGCCAGCCAACTAGACAAGCAGGAGGACACAAACACCCTCCCCTATGAATTATCAGTATTCGAGAACTTAGAATTATTACAAATATCCAATATCAACAAGTGGGAATATCCCATCTTTGACCTCTCCAAAGCAGTTGGGAATTATATCCTTAGCTTGGTAAGTAGCATGAGCTTTGTGTTATGTTATATATGTTTTCTGTTTTTGAGGTTTTTCTCCTTATTATTCTTGTTTTTGTGAAAAATGTGGTTATTCATACAAAACCCTTTGAAGAAAGTTATATTCTTTTATCTGCATCCACGTTTCCTGAAGTTGAGGTTTTTCTGGATGAATATCATCTAAGAAAGTTTCAAGATGAACCATATACTAGACATTTACTTTTAAGTTGCATTTTGCCATGCTGTGTTAAGGCTGAAAGTGTTAGACATACACTTCACTGGATACTCATCCAAGTTTTTGATTTCCCTTGTTTTTGTTTTTTCTTACTTTCACACTCCTCCCCTTTTTTTCTTGTAATAGAAATTAATAATTCATGTAGAAACACTTGGGTACATATAGATATTAGAAAAATGCTTAAAACAGTTTCAGGGTTGGTGAGAAATACTAAATATCAAAAGGTCAATAATGTCTCTTAGACTTTTTGCTTAATATGCTTTTAGCCTTAATCTGTTTAAATTTTATTTATTTTTATTCAAATGAACAGGTCATATTATTTCTCACCAATATCAAACCGTAAAATAGATTATATATTGCAAAAATAGCAATTAATACGATGTACATTATGAATTATATGAATTTATGGCATGTATAACTTATGAAAAAATATTGCTTCAAGTAGTTCAACAATTATCAGAAAATGTAACCAGTACTAATTTTTAATAACTATCAAATAATATGACCCAAACTTTAGTAAACTTAGCCTCAATTTATCATGAAGACCTCACTGTTTGGATTATCTTACCATTTTATTATTCCAGGTGGCTTATAGACTTTTCTCAGAAACTGGCCTCTTTGAAACATTCCGAATCCCCCTCCCACAGTTCATGCATTACTTCCATGCTCTAGAGGAGGGCTATAGAGACAAGCCTTGTAAGTACACAAACTTTTTAGCCAGCATTCAGAACCCTTGCTAACTTGAACCAAATGTAATCTCACTTCCTCTACCAGGTCACCTGCAGAACCCCACCAAGCCTTAGAATTTCAAAACCTATATTAAGCAGCTTTTGGTGACAGTGAGACCATTTCTCATTCATGTTGTGAATACTGTTCTGAATGTGTCTTTACTTCACCCTCCAACATGGAAATGCAAAGTAGGGAACCATGCACATTTACAGGCATATTAGAGAGAGAGAGAGAGAGAGGAATTTCCACATTTCCATGCAGGGAACAAATATATACTTCACATATATATTTTGATGCAGCCTACCATTGAGTAAGTTTTTCTCCCAACATGGCTTCTGATGTTTGCAGAAAAAAATCAGAGTTGTCATTTGTATTTACGTCTATAGATATATTGGAGGGGGCACTAGTTACCATTGAGATAGGGATACTGGCTTGGTGGTGGGACATGGCTTAGTAATACAGCTATATAATTTACCATAAATAATTGATGGTATTTGTAGAAGAAATCAATTGTGTCTGTTGTAAAAAATACTTAAGTGAATGGGTTTCACTTCTGAAAGCAGCGTCTTGAAAAAGTGTACAATATGCAATATTTCACTCTTGGGATGCAGTTAATTCTTGATTGCCCATTTGAACTGTGAATGTATATGGGCCAATAACTCCTATTGTGGGCCTTGCTTGACGTCACAACCACATATCATCTTGGCAGGCAGTATATAAAGCCCTATGGAATATGCATTGAGGAAAGTGCCACGAACAAATTACAATACTGCTGCATTAAGTCTAACAGTCAGACAGAAATGAATATTTTATGCTCTGTCTGTATTTAAGAATTCTGAAGGTGGTCTCTCCTAAAATAAGCTGTGTGGTATGTTACAAATAGGATGTTAGCCTAATGGATTCCTTGGCCTGCATTTCAATGAGTTTACTTAAAGGAATAAAATAAATCAAGGTGAAATAAGTGTAGGAGACAGCTGACAAAGAAAATGACACTAATTAGGTTTAAGGTGGAATGCTGCACAGATAACTTTTTTTGTTCATTGTCTCAATGCTTGTATATAATATTGTCCATAGCAGAATAAAGAAGTAAACACTATAAATTAATTGTGGTTGCTTTTAACAAATAAAAGTTCAGTAGTTCACATTCTTGTTTAAAAACCTTTTAAGTTTTATGTTTTGGTTTTCAGACCATAATAGGATCCATGCGACTGATGTGTTACATGGAGTGTATTATTTTACTACCCAGCCAGTGCCAGGATTCCAGCAGATCAACCCAGATGATGTGCTGAATAAACAAGGTTCCTCAAGTGAATCAGGTATGAGATGCCGACTTCTTGTAAAGTTGGCCATGCATACACGCACGCACACACATGAAAGCACTCATGCACCATGCCATATTTGATATATATATATATATATATATATATATATATATATATATATATATATATATATATATATATCGGTCTTTATTCTTAGAGTAGGACAATCTATTTTTACAATCTAAATTGCATGATTGAGAACTAGATACTACCAGCAAAAAGGAGACATATCCCTTTTAGAGATTGAAAATTATATGCCTCCAACAGAAGAGAAATTACTATTTTATTGATTGAAATAACCTTGGTAATCTAGATCTCTTGGTGCATTTATTGCTGCAGCTTATTTTTAATGACTTATATTATTCCATGTGCTGACTGCATACATGGAATCTGGAAATTACATTTTATTGGACAGTGGTAGTTCCAATAGAAGCCTTTTCTTCTTTTTTCAAGTGCCATTTAAGCTTGACCCTCTGCTTTGTAGCAGTATCACTTTCACTTTTTATATAATTGCAAGCGAGAAGTTATATAAACTTTGATTACTGATAATAAATACTAATTTTGTGCACCTTAACTAGTGGGGCAGAATTTGATTGTCTAGACCTCAGATAAATAATGATGAAGACAGAAAATTATGGTAGAGTAAATTTGCCATTGCTTTCAAGCATATTTTAACTTACACGCAGGTAAGGTATTTCTGTCAATTACATGTCTAAAACCGTGCAAGGATCTTTATTACATTATATTTATAATAATTGTAATTATTACATTGTGCTGCTTTTGTTCAGATTCTGATCCTGGAGAGCGTCCAACATTAAAACATCATCAGAGTTTCACAGCAGAGGACAGCTATGGAATCATGGGAGGTAATTTGCCTCCTCTGGAGCTCATGGCCTTGTACACCGCCGCCGCCATGCACGACTACGATCATCCAGGCAGAACTAACGCTTTCCTGGTGACAACAAATGCGCCACAGGTTTGTTGATATATTTCAAATTAATAGAGTATTGATTTACCAAATTGTTTCAGACAATTTTCCTTATATCAGGATCTGCTGTACCCTGTATGGAATCCTCTTTAATGAGATATAACCTATTTGAACTTCAGGCTGTGCTGTACAATGACCGTTCAGTATTAGAAAATCACCATGCAGCTGCGGCATGGAGTCTCTTCCTCTCCCATCCCAAGTACAACTTCTTGTGCCATATTGACAAGGCTGAATTCAAACGCTTCCGTTTCCTGGTGATCGAGGCTATACTTGCTACTGATCTCAAGAGACACTTTGAGATTCTTGCAGAGTTTAATGCCAAGGTGAGATATCACATACTCTAATAGATGTATGGATCTCTATTATAACTATTATTATTTTTGTTATTAAGTCATCTCATAATATCTTTTTTATTATGAACATATTATGAACAGTCAGCATGCAAAGGTATTTTACGGCAAATATAGGCTTTTGTATAATACAGTAAAGTGAATATCAGCTTTTTAAATGTCAGGCTACTGCTCGTATTAAATGTCAGACCACTGCAATTGAAATTTAATCTGATAAATGGCATTTTCTGCACTCCTTTCACCTTTGCTTTTTTTTTTCTCCTCTCTCCTTAGGTCAATGAAGAGGATTCCCCAGGAGTGGACTGGACCTCTGAAACTGACCGACTCTTGGTATCTCAGATAGTAATTAAGCTAGCTGATATTAATGGTCCCTGTAAGCCAAGGGATTTACATGTGTCTTGGACAATGAGCATAACAGAGGAATTTTATGAACAGGTGGATATGACTTAATGATGTATTTGTTGTGCAAGTAAATTTCTTTCTCCTTCACAAGAAATACACATATAATGAACAGAAGGGAAGGGTTTAACAGTGAAACATCAAACTACTGTTAATGAAGAGTAGCTTTTTTGCAAAAATTGAAGTTTATGAAAAAGTTTTCAGATATGTTATCAATAAGATTGCATCGGTGAAATTGTTCATGGTTCTAAAGTATTGTATTTTAATAAAAATTAAAACTGACGTGTGAGTGATAGCAATCATTTATTACTAGGCGTTAACTATCACTAATTGTCAATAAATCTGATTTTGTTTTCTTGTTTGGTATTCAGTACGTTTTTTAGTTCTGCATTGTTCTATTTTATTCTGCACCTTAGGGTGATGAAGAAAAACGCCTGGGTCTCCCAATTTCTCCATACATGGACAGGCGGCATCCCCAGTTATCAAAACTACAGGAAACATTTATCAATCACTTGGTGGCGCCACTGTGCAACGCGTATGGCCAAGCTGGACTGCTTCCAGGGACTTGGTTGGATGAAGAGAGTGATGAGGAGGGGTCATCAGAGAGTCAGGATGAGGAGGATGAAGAAGAAAGGGATAGTTCTGCCTGCAAGGATACAGAAGATGAAGGGGATGAAGAAGAGAAGGGTAAATGGAATAATTTAATACTTTAAGTAGACAGAGGGGAGTGAGTTTCATGCATTGGGAGCTTTTGTTGGTTTTGGAGAAAAAAGACTTCTAATCAGCTTGAAAGGGCTTTTTATTATCTTTTCAACAATTACCTTTATTTTCAGATTCTCAATTCCAATAAATTGTTATTATGTTTATTGGCCTAGAAGTGAAAAACAACATTCTGAAATTTTTAGCATTTTAAAGTGGTAAAAGGCAAGGCATTTTTATCAAGTTCTGATGTATATCCAAACAGTATCTGTTTCAGTGGCCCCTGCGCCAAAGCACAAGCAAAAGACAAGAAAAATACTGTGTCAGTTGACCAAGAACCTGAAAGAGAATCATGATATGTGGGTGGCCAAGATTAAAGCAGAACAAGAGGAGAAGGAAAGACTTGAGAGTGAAATAGAAAATCAAAAGAATTTGGAGGTAAGGACAACAGCTTCCAGTTGTCTGCCTGTTTATTATTCAATGTACTGTTCAGTCTAAAAACCAGTGAAAGAATTGGGTTTATACAAATGATTGGTTTGACATTAAAGGTGAAATCGATGTAAAATGTTCAGTATGAAAAAAACAAAGAAAAAGGCTCACTACATCCAAAAAGTAGGTTGAAATAAATTTCATGATATCTTATAACATAACCTCATTAACCTCCAACAAGATAAATAACTTGGAAGATTACCCTGTCCAAAAGATCTGGTATAAAGCCAACAGAAATTTCCGGAATGCATGTCTCAGTGAATTACCTTATGGCAAATTGATAAATCCCTATATTTCTTATTCTTTAGAACAACAGCAGCATATCAGACAACAAACCAGAGATGGAACCTATTCAGGAAGAAGATACCAATGGCAACAAACCACCTTCACCTCCACAGAGTGGGGAGAAATGATAAACTACAGGAAATTACATAGCTGATGGAGTGTGGATTTACTACAACCTGACAGCTGGCTGAAGAAGATAGGTGGTGCCTGTTGATGCCTGGCTGGGAGCTGTTGGAGCCCTGGTTATCATGACAGAGCATCATTAGAGAATATGATTTCTTTTAAAGCAAGTGTGGTTTCTAAGGACAACAATTGAGCACATTTTTCTTGGTGTGTTCTGTTTTTTCCCCCTCTTTTTTTTTTAAATGAGATTGAGATTTTGTCTGAACATGAAGCTAGATAGGCACATGTGGATGTTGTTTGGTTTTGTAAAGGTACAAGTAGACGACAAGCAGTTATAATAATTAGTAATTGATATCTCTAGAAGGAAACTAAGTCAGCTAACAGTGCAATTTAGTCTCTGAAATATACTGAAAGACGGGTCATTTGCTAAGATCTTTCTGGTACACTCAGAATTATTAACTTTACATAGCAAGCAAAAAAGAGCTGACTTTGGATTCACACCCTAAATATACCAGTATTGAATATGTTAATATACTGCCCATAGTCAGCTGGTTGTTTTTCTTGGTATGAAACAGCTGCTCAAATATAATCAATTTCCTTACATGTGACTGTGCTATATATATAAATATATACAAATAAAGGTGGCCAGTCAGTGTTATTCTACTCTTACATTTCATGTGTACTTGTACGGTTCATGATGTACCAGTAGGAATAATATAAAACTGTATAGGTTGTTACGTAATTTGTCATTAAATTTATTAATTACTATTTAAACTTTTATAAAGTCAGCTTTTAGATGAAGCTCTAGTTTATTATATAACATTTATGAAACAATCCCAAGCTTGTCCAAAGATTGAAGCTTTTAAGAAGAGGAATTTATTTACATAAAGAAGGAACACATGCTTATTGTATTCATAGATTTATCTATTTACTAAATGTACTTTTATGTGTAAATAATGTGGAGTGAGTGATCAAATGTGTACATGCTTGTGTGAATGTGAAAAGGAGAGAGAGAGAATTTGAATATAGTCTCTATATTATCAACGTGAATTTTGTGTCAAACACATGAGTACATACAAGGTTGTGTATGTATAGACAAACAAGTGGTAATCTTTGCTTGTGTTGTTAAAGAAGGTAGCATTTTGCATAGTATTTACTCTACAAATAATACCTTCTTGCTTCCACTCTGCAGATTGGAACAAGGATTTTTTTCTTTTATTTGTGCAAAAAGACTGTGTCAATATGATACCTTTATGTTGTTAAGTTATTCCATTTTAGCAACATTAGACTAGATGTGTAAGATCTTATGAGTATGTCCTATTTTCACCCATATCCTTTCTAGTATTTTGGGGGTATTTAAAATTTTTATTTTATTTTGGTAACAATCCAAGTTTTAGGGATGAAGTTGTAATTTTATAGGATCCAAAGCTTTCTATAAAACTAAGATTTTCATTCAAGAATTTTGAATACTTTGCCGTTTCCAAATATCTTATTTTGCCACTTGTAGATTTTGTGCCCAGGAGGTACAGTGATGATACAGAAGAATAATTATATCAACTTCTTAAAGTAATTGAGTAATAAACATTTTAATGTTAACCACTGATGTAGAAACATGGACTAAGATATACAACATTCTAAATTATGACAAGTATACTGTTGGCTAGGCACTGACTTCTGCTCACCATGGTAACATTGCATACTAATGGAAGCCAACTTTAGTTGTTTCACTTGGACTACTACAGTAACTATAAAGTCAGTATAGTCAGCTGTCCAAGTTTAGCAGTCTTAACAAATCCTATAACTTATATGAAACGAAGGCAATCTGTTTCCAGGAATCACTGAGAAAAATAGTTATTCAGTCATCATTAGTTTGAACTTTCAGCCCCTTGACCAGCATTGTTCTGGCAGATCACTCAATTTTGGTTGATTGACAAGAACAATTTCAATTTATTTTTCTTATTGTAGCCATTTTTCCATTGCTCTTATTTTAGCTGGAATGCTATACAGTAAATGGATTATTTCTGAAATTGTTATAGTGCAATAGACTAGTTTGGTAATTTCACAGATTATGGTGATAAAATCTGACTTTTTTGGTCAAGTTGCCTCTATCTTAAGATCTGTATAATTAGTTCTATCCATCCTCAGGTTTTTCATAAATCACAGCTTAGTGCATGAGGATCTTACTCACAAATTTGTTATAATACTTGAAGATGGTGAAGCTTCAGCAGGATCTGAACCTTTGACTTTTTTTAATGAAGTCCTGCAAAGAAATACGATTTTATTTTGATGAGCAAATATATGGCAGTGTATCTAAGTGTAGGACCAAAAAAGAATGTTTTCACTAAGACAGAAAAAAAATATATTGCTGTGGATAATGGCAAAGTAATCAAATTTCAGGTAGAAATCTAATAACTTTGTAATTTAAGCTTTTAATCACCTGTGAAGTGAAGCAGCTGGACTGTTGGAGAAATTTCTATGGCTTGGAATTATGAGCTATTCTTGCAAGAATGACATGGTATTAAGAAACTCTACACTGTGTAGTGACCTTTTGGAATTATTTCAGCCACATTTCTACTTTGAACAAAAAATATTTTTTCATATTCACATTATAAATTTTAATCTTAATTCTTAGCAGTTATTAATATTTGTATCAGAGCAAATTTAGCCCTTTCTTCATGTGTTCAAAAGATATCATGGATGAACATAAAAAATTCTGCTCTTGAAGTCACATCACTTTTGTATTGTATCAGTTGTAAATTTTGCCTAATAACAAACATGTTGCTGCTTTGACCAGTAACATAACTTTTATAATGTTGTGATGCTTAACAGTGGATACTAGACTTTTATTCAGTTCATTGGGTGGTTATATGTAGATTTCAAAGACTAAATTTACCCATGATCTTTAATGTCATCGTACAAGTGGTGCAAGTGGAAGCAGTCCTACCACTTTGCCTTTTTAACTAAATAACCTGAAAGGAATTGCTCAACCATGTATGTGGTACACAGGAGCTGTATCTACACATTGTGTCAGTCTTGTTATAAGAATATCATAATTGTAATATTTAACTATTTAATACCGTAGCTTAATAACTGTTTGTATGCCATACAGGCAAGATGGAGCTTCAAGTGAATCCCAAATTTTGCCATTTTATGTATATACTTTTCTTCAAAATATAGTATTAAATTAATTTAAAATGTTTAAGTTGTATGGCATTGTTATTACTTAAATGTTTATCCTAACATGAATTTGCCACCATTAATTTCGTATTATTGGGCAAACCTACCTCCATTTTTCAACTCAAGCAGTCTTTCAGTTATAAGCTAGAGTATGGACACTTGCTTTACTGCTGAAATGTTCATCAAGTGCATTTTCAGGTGAATAAGAAAACAATTGCCATACAGTTGATCCTTATCTGAGTTATCTCAGTAGGATTTATTTAACAAATTTTTAACACCAAATCATCAATCAAAATAAACTTGATGCATTTGTTAATGGCGCCACTTTCCATACCAATAAAATAATTGTGTAAACAATAAAATATGAATTCCATTATTTGTGGAATGACGCGATTAGAAAATGCAACCAGAGGTTTGGCTTCTTTAAATCCTTTGCAAGAGGCTTTGGGTTTTGACTCTAAGACTAGAAAATAGTATAGAAAACCTCATGTCAGCTAAACCAACAACAACTGCATTTTTTCTCCTATTCTTACAACCAGAAACCAACCAAGAAAAGCTGGATCATGCAGAAAATGAAATGGTGTCATTTTACAAATAATTCTTGGAAATTTATTGTTTGAAGTGAAAGCAACTTACATGTGGTTTTGCACACGCAAAAAGTAAATGGCAGTAGATTGAAGCTTTTCTCTTATTGCATGTGCATGAAAAAATGAGTAATCTTTTGATATTTAACAAGCCTATAAACTGAGATATTGCTACATCCAAAACTTAAAAGGAACAAAATTAAATTTGCCTGAAAATTTTACCAATGTGCACTATATCTCAAACCATTGATAAAAACGCAATTCAGAATTCATTTTTGAGCTCGAGTTTCTAATTGTCGAGTCATTCTTGTAGTGAAGATAAAAGCCTGTAAATTAGGCTTGTAACAGTCAAAGTAGAAATTTAGTGTTTATAGATTAATTTAATTTTTGCAGCAATGTTGAACACCATAAAGTTCTAAGATGCATGGTGTACCTTTAGTCTTAGAAATACAGTCTATCATCACTTTATCTTTCGCTATATACATTGAGGTCTGGCAATTGCACACAAAAGGTGAGAACAAAAACATCTTCCTGTATAATATTATATATATTATATATATTATATAAGAAATTATATTAAAATTGTGAATTAAAGCTCAATGTGACACAAAATATGTTTAGAACAAAAATCACTTTAACTACAATCACAGACTTTATTTTTTTCACAATAGTGCAACATATACTTTTACGGTACAAAAGGCTTTGCTTAACTGACTCACTACACTGGAATGTTGCAACAAAACTCTAACAATTTATCTTCCATTTATATGTATAACAAATTTAAAATGTGGAGAGTGAATGATGTCAATCCAAAATATGTGTAGGTACGTCTGCCTAAATAGGTTTATCTGGTGATAGCAAGAATGAAAAGCAGCAATTTTGAGTTGTTTAACAAAAAATAAGGGGTGGAAAGAGAAGACCTGTGAATAATCAATTCCCCACTGAAAAATATATCAACAGATATGCCTTCTAAGTCAACATATCTCTGAAATTGGCATTTTGAACTTAAATAATTATTTTGGTATTCCTTTTGAAAATAAATTTAAATAGTATGTTTTTTTTTTTTTTTTTTTTTTTTTTTTTGACAGATATCAGCAGAAAATTTTGGCAGGACACAAAGGCATATCAAAGATCTGTCCCTAACTAAATCGTGCACTTTTGAGGTGTGTGTTACTCCACACGTTTGAGTCCTCTTAAGGGAGTTTGCACTCATGTGCCCATGAAAAAAGTGAATTCATGTGTACACTAACTGAGGGAGTGGAAGAATGTAGATGCAACTCTCAAAGCACGGGTACATATAACAGTACATGTACCATGCAAGAAAACTGGCAAATGGTGCACCAACAGTTTATTCCACTCTGTACACTCCTTAAATTTGCATTAGAATTATGAATCGATCATGAAGTCATTTAGTATATCTCACAGACAATTCATGCAGATAATTAACCCCGTAATTCTAATCTCACTAGATTTCTTCAATGTGAACTTGATCTATGATACTTCTTACACCTTATTCTTATGGAATCCGAGTGAACATGTATCCTTAGTTTGATGTGCATAAGAAAACACTGAGAACAAACTCTAACAAAAGATGATCACGAGTACTGGTACACCAGAGAGTGAGAGCATAATCTTTATAGTGAATAACAGTAAAATGTAAAATTTTTCATACACTCCACATTCCTTAGTGTTATTTCCTGTTCCTTAATTTAACAACTGGTGTTTAAACCATGGTGGTAGAACAGACTACTCCCTGTTCAAGATTGGGCCTTTCATAAGACACAGGCTACTATGGGGCCATTCAAAATAGAAGATCATTACAGGCAGAGAGACCATTACAGGATTAAGCAGTCTTCCTTTCATGAAGGGTCCTCTATATTTGAGCCTTGGACCAGTTGATACTCAGATCTTCTATGCTGAATGGTCCCTATGATCCATTAAAATGACTTCGCTTTAAGTTTGCTCTCAAAAGCTTGCACCACTGTGACCCTTCTTTTTCTGTGGAGCTTTCTCATTATGATATCAGCATTCTGAGTCTTTATAACTGATGACAATTAAACTGCGATAAACTGATCATTACCTTTTTACCTGTGATGACACTCGAAACTCATTCATGATCTATTTCAATTTCCTTGCCATTTTATCACTGTGACAGCTGTCTGTGCAGGCATACGGTGATAATACAAACATCTTTATTCAATACTGTAAAATACTATTATCTATATATATATATATATATATATATATATATATATATATATATATATATATATAAAAGTCGTTAAAAAAGGTAACTTTTTAGAACACAGTCCCACAAGCGTGTATGTTTAAAATGGTAGCAGATATTTTTTTAGCAACCATGAAGTATTATGGTATTCGTGTACTAGTTAATTACAGGAACAGACATTGATTGTTACTAAATTAATGCTATCAAAATGGTTTATAGTCTATTACGGAGGACAAAAGGGGATGATTACCTAAATCTCTCAAGGGTTATATAGAAGATGCCACATTTCTTATCCAGTGTATGATGGACCCAAGTTTCAACAAAATCTCTCCTAAAATGTGTTGTCCCCTTGTCTGTGACTTTTCTCCCCTCCTTACACCTCTCATTGAGTTTCACAGAGAATACGAAGTCAAAATTAATTTGCAGCTATTTCGTCTTGTAACCAATACTTCTTTCCACCCCACCTCCCCATGCACATATACATGGAAATGGCTACAAAATAAGATTATTCACTACCCATCAGCCAAATAAAGCATCATTATCCATTTCTGATCTTTTTCTATCAAAAGCATTAAGAGAGTGGTAAAAATGTAAATGAAAAGATGTAAACTGTAAGCCAACACTCTCAGTTTCCTAAACCTCACTCACATCAATGACTAAGAATTACAGCAACTGTTAAATAAAGTAAGCTCGTTTCTCCACAAGGATTTTCCTAACCCCACGCACACCAATCTACTTCTGAAGTCCTTATTCAACCTCTTTGGTCCATTTCTTACTGTTGATAGAACAAAGTAGTAAAACTTTGTGCAGGGGTTGCAAAGTGGAAAAACCAATCCCCTCATCCACCAGGAAGGACAGAGCCATCCCCATAGAAAACAATAAAAAAAACATTTGTGGATAAATTTATGCTTAGTCTAGGCACAGACGTGGCCAATATCAGCTTCTCCATGCTGCCAATGAAGGGCTGTCTCCATTGTTGTAGCCACGGCTTAAAGGTTCCTCGGGAAGAGAGGCCAAGACATCACCTGTTATTGCTGCCACCTCCTGAGGAAAAGAAAACATATATAAGGTTTAAAAACTATGTCCTGTGAATTTTGTCTGCTTTATCATTATATTTTGACTTTGAGGATCCCTAATATACAGTAACTTTCAAGCAATTGTACCAACATATTTGCCCAGGTCCTGTTTACAAATAAACACAGCCCCTATAGCATGCAAGCACGCACGCACGCACACACACACTACTAAAAATAGTGTTAAACCAGTATTATCACTATCCATGGTTTCTTTTTTTTTATTCCTTTCAGCATTATATACTAATATACTGTAATTTCTAACTCAAGTGATATATAGTAGACTGGCAGCACGTGCTAATTGTCCATGAAGGAAATTACTTCCACATCTCAAGGCAATCAGGAACTGAAGATGGATGAATGCAGAATGCTGATTGCATTTCTATTATAAGTATTAACACTGTTTTATTTTTTTTTTCTCGCAATACTCAGATAAAAGCACAAAGAAAAATAGCATACAGAGACCAATAAAACTTTCATTTTGCAGAGAGATCTAGATTGAAAATGGGATGTCATTAACAGATCATTTATCAATATCATCCTCTGGCAAACCTCATCAGGACACTCCAGAACACACTGCTTCGGTTGAATCTTTAAGCGATATCATTAAGATGTGTATTACAGATATATGTCTCATTTCACCAAACTTTTTGTGATATTACTGATCTAAAAAAATATTGTTGATCCCACAGGTCATCAGAGGATTGATTTTTTTATATCAGCATTGCATCCACTATCCCTACCATGCATCTGTAGGTTCAGTGAGCAGTAAAATGTAGAATTTGTAGCACTCATTAAAATAGGTGATGCATATGTTTGCCATATATAGGGAATTCATTTTCAAGAAATTGAAATATAACATTGATTCTGCTCCAGTAGCATAAAAGACTCACTAGTAACTGGATGGCATAAAAAAACATCCAGTTGGGAATATATACCAGAGATTTAATCAACTTACATAGATAAACCAAGTGAAATGAAATGTTTTACATCACTTTATCCCCCCCTTTCACCCCCAGCCTATCCTAAAATCTTGAATCGACCAGTGATACCTTATTCACATCATTCCAGTTTCCTCTAAGTGACTGTGACCTCATGGCATAGGAGGAACCAGGTCGTGAGAAGTGGGCAATGTCAGACTGGGGGACGCTGGCATCATCACTGGAAACCTAGAAAATATTAGGATTATCTTTCAGGCTAACATCCAGGGGCCAATTCAGATGGTCTTCTGGGATTTCCAGATGACAGTCAGAATTTTCCTTGAAAAATAGGGGCAATTTGATCATGTAAACTGTGTGACTGGATATATGAACTGACTTCAGTGGAGATGGCTGGAATAACATCAGATTTCTGTAAAATTCTTGTCCAATATACACATAAATCTATATAAGCACCTGGAAATAAAGAAAGGTATGGTCAACATATTAAAGATTGCAAGTATGGTCTCTGTTTTATGTTTGTTTTTTTTTTTTCAAACCTTTTTTAAACCATTTGTAAAAAAAAAACATGCAACAATCTCAAATATACACAATTATACATTCAACGAAGCATTGCCTTTTCATATTTGATTTATGACTTTACAAAAAAGAGGATCCTCAAAGTCGGAACTTACCTTTCTGACAATGTTCATTTTTATTAGATCTGCCTTAGATGTTCTCTTGCATCCGGCTGCTGTGAAATATCAAAAAAATATTTAAGGCATTAATTAACAGCTTTTATAACTATTTAAAATTTTGCAATTTATCAAATATGAATTTAAAATTATGAATTTGTTCACCATAATGGATATTCACCTTAACAAAGCATTGACATGAACACAGGGCTTCAGAATTTATGGAACCCGTACCTGTATCATAACACATTTTTCTGCCTCCATATGTAGTTTAACATAAAAGCAAAGGTTGCATGATTCCTATCAGAACACAAGATTGCAAACTGAAGGGAAAGTGTGTATAAATGTAAATGCTATAAAACACAACCGTATGCTTAGATGACTTCAGCTACATGTACATGTACAATGTTGGTGCACAGAAGGGTGCAAGGATCAAAGTACCTTAACAGGGTTAGCTTTCATTCTACATTTCACATATGTTCCATTTGCTTAAAGATGTTTCTTAAACTTTAAAGATATAAGTACAGATCATCTGAATTGCTTATAGGAATTTAGAGCATACTAAAGTCCCACCAACCGTGTCTTTAAAAACAGACAAAAATCTGTCTACCAGTGGCGAACCATAGTCTTTTCATATGTTCCCAAAGAGCACTATCAATGGCACACACTACTTTAACATGTCTCACATGAGGGAATTAAGTATAGAGGTATTAGCAAATCAATGAACATTATCCTTGGAAAACATTCCCAGTGATGGGATAGAAGTAGCTTGCATTAGTGTCGCGTTACCAGTAATGACTGAAGACAAGGAAGACTGATATGTCCCGAACAGCACTTCTGTAATCCCATCAGAAACTCATTATCAGTAGTCGTAACAATTGCTTCACACATAACTGGAGCCTGAAGAAAGGTGCACGTATGCATGCAAGTACTATATACAGTGCATGTCTGCATGATGCAGTTGTGCACATTTAAGTAATAAGCACCCAAACAATATTTAAAATACAATAAACTTGTCTATTGATTTCTGTTGACAGACCCATTATTCCAAGCAAAAACCCTGCAAATGTATTAGCCCTGAGTTAATGAAGAATAATTACAAGCATTTTACTTACCAGCAAAAAATGGCCAAATTGCATCCAAAGCTGATGCAAAATCTGCAGCTGTTCTATAGGAATAAAACAAAACAGACATTAATAATATCAGATAATTAAAGCTCATAATCTTCACAAAAATCATTTTCAAAGAAACATTTATTATTTATGAACTTTCCATTTCTACAAATCTTGAATTTTGATACTTAAAGTAATAATGGCTAACAGTCTTAATCTTTATTATACTTCATATTCATTAGGCAAAACTTTATTTCAAAGATAATAGGAACAGATATTATTAACAAAGGAGGAAAACCTCCTTGAAAATCTTTGTTTCATAAGCTACTTGCACACACACTCAAGAAACTTCTGAAGCTTTCTTGTTCCTCTGAAAATCGAACAAAAATGGCTGTCCATATTTCTGCCCTAGGCAAACAACCTACCTCCCTTGATTATCTTTACATGAGAGATTTGGTTTATATTCCATAATTTTCATGATAACTTTGCCATGTCCCTGGAAGGCAGCACAGTGCAGGGCAGTCCACATTGTACCACTATTGCAAGAATTTACATCAGCACTAAAAAAATAAAAGCAAATATTAACGTGTGTGTGCATATGGGCTCACTGGGGGTGCATGTGGGTATACATAATAAGGTTTATATTCTAGATTAATTCACAATGAATTTTCCATACAAAGTGTTTATTTACCTCACATGCTTTTTAAGACTCCTTTTTTAAACATTGGCTTTATAGTCGTTTCATCTGACAACTGACAACCAGTCACTAGAAACAAGCGACAGATATTTGACAAAGTCTTTCAAAGACATATAATTACATTCTGCTAAATACATAAAATGCCCTCGTCTCATATGCATATTTCTACACAATCTCACCACTGATATGCTGACTACGTAACGTTTCAAATAACATTTAGATTTCCATACTAATGGTATTTCTCAACATCATTTGATCATCAAAAGGTTGTTGTTACTCAGAATCATCCATCAATCTTGCTTATGACAAATAATGATGATTAGCACTATCTGCACAAAATGACCATGGTAGTCCAACGTCAATGACTCTAATTTGTGACTGACCTTAATACCCAAGTGCTTAAGGTCATTCAAATATGGTTCAGGTTACCAATTAGCTGATATAAAAATGACTGGTTCATTATTAGATATCAAAGGCCTAGGGGAACAACAGCATCTCTGAGGTGACATTTTACTGCATGATATTATTAACCAAATGAAATTCTGCCAAAATATTTAAAGCACTTTCAACGTAGTACACTATGAAGGCATCATTAGCAGGCTGGCTGGTAGACTAAGGTCAGGGACGGATTGAGGCCGTTTTCTGGGTCTTCTGGAAGATGGTCAGATTTTCAAGTTTACACTGACAGGTATCTAATTTTTTCTGTCGGAAGACGGTCAAAAATGGAGGGTGGATCAACAAAAATAATTTAAAGGCTGTCAAAAAATGTGTCAGAAAATATCTCTGAATCTGCTCCTGAAGGTTGAAATATGGAGTAAATCACCCTCTACTGAGGGAGGGGTGGGTCTGGAACCCTCCCATGGGATGGCTAAGCATCAATTGCTGGTAAAATAAAGCTGATTGAGGCACTCCAAATGAGACTGCATCATCTGCCTGTTATGGCAAAATATAGGTATGTCTGGTGATTAATAAGATTGTATTACTGCAGATTTTGAGTTTGTTCAGAAACATTTAATTTCACAATTACACATCTAAATAATATAGATGAATTTTCAGTAGATGTAATTATACCTGAGTAGTAAAAAAGAAGGGGAATGAAAATGGTTTAAATGCTATGCTCTACAAATGTACTTGTTGTAAAAATACCTGGTTCCACAATGAAAAATTTGGTCTCTAAATTGTGGCTTCTACATGTAGGTCATCATACACATGCCCATGTATATCTCCAAATGTGTTTTAAACATCCAATAATAACATACTTTGTAATTATCCTTTTTGAGAATAATTTTGAACACAGTATAATTTTTGGGGGCAGTTATCAGCTAGATACACATCAGACATATACCTATTTTGGGTGTGTAAACATTTTGGCAAAACACATAGTACTGAAGTACTGAGTATACCTACAGGTAGTAATTAGTACTAGTACAGTACAGTATAGCAGCACAAGTCAAATCTCAAAGTGGGGCAATTAATGTTGTGCCCATGGTTTGATTGAAGTTCATACATTCTGTATTCACACTGACCAATGAACAGATTCAAACCTAGATTTACTCTGGCATGTTAAATATTGCCTAGTATAAAATTTGGCTGTACAGCAAATACTCAGTACATTCCTGCCATCGTTTTTGCAGTCACTTATATATGCATGGCAACGGTCACAATTCATGTAGTAGGCGTTCATAAAAAACAGCATTTAATCCTCACCCATGCTCTAATAAAAGCTGCACTATATCTGAATAACCCCAGAATGCAGCTACTGAAAGGGGAGTCATGCCGTCTGAAGACTTGAGATTTATATCAGCACCTCCGCGCTGCAGAAGATCTTTGATAAGCTGTAAAAGAAATAAGAAAAATCTTTATATTGCGAAAATTTATCAGTAGTTTTCTAATAGCGAAGCTTTTCGTATGACTATTTTGACTATTCGCCGTTGTTCTTAAAACATTTTTTCGCGTGACTTATTTAGAAATTGTTTATACTTTTGAACTAGGGTAGCCATGTTGTTTACCTTAGATATGAGATATAAGGGGTTATTTTGACCTACTTAAAATAAACTTTTTATCAAAATATTAACACAAGGCATCTTAGATACATATGGCATAATCTAAGGAATCCTTATATCAATCTGTGTTCAAAATCTTACAAAAACATCCCCATTTGCCGCAGCGGTCGCTAACGACATGGGCGCCGCCATGTTCGATGTGACGTCACAGAGCTGACCACAACAAGTGCACGGGTTCAAAATAATGATGGCGGTAAAGAGGAGGGTGGGCTGTTCAGAAGGACAACAAGAAGAAAATTCCGTACCTCTAATAAGGAACATCAACAACAACTATCTGTATAGTCAACAGGAAAGACTGCTTAACAGAGAAAATGGAAAACTGCTTAAATATGTACTTCCAAGTGCTGCTTGTTTACTTTGCTACGTGAACAGTTTGCAAGGTGATTTTGTTCATGACGATGTATCCGCCATTAAATCCAACGGAGATGTCACAGGAAACACGCCATGGTCGCAGATGTTTTCTAATGACTTCTGGGGCAAATCAATGGCAGACAACACAAGTCACAAGTCATATAGGCCGCTGTGTGTTCTGTCTTTCAGGTGTGCAAGTGTCCATATATTACATGTATGATATATAACATAAGTGTAACTCTTCCTACATGTATTTTGGTAATTATCTAGAGCATCAGGCTTTATACCTTCAAGCTCCTGGTATTGCCCCAGTCGAAAGACATAAGTGTAGTCTTCTCTTGCAACTAAACATTCGCCCATAAGTCCTTGTGCTGCATGAAAAAAATTCCTTACCAATTAAGCATGCCAAAGAGATTTTATTCAGTTCTTTTAATAATAAATGTCATTTTTGTCAGATGCATATTTTCCCTGCAATGTTGACAGTATGTGCCAGTGTTTTTTTTTCCTTGCATGGGCTAAGCCTTATTTTAAATTAAGTATGCAAGCATATATTCATGGATGCCCTGTTTTTACAACTTTTACCTCTAAATTTTTTTTTCTGTGTGGGGTTTCACAAGGTGTCATGCTGAAATACTAGTGGAAAAGTGTAGGCTGGGAAGTGGGTGTGCACCAGAGTACGAATAAATTTTAAAAAAAAATTTTTTTTTGGGGGGGGGCTAAATTATCATGTTATAAACTTGAATAGCTCATGTCCACTGGTTTACTAATTAAAGGCATGTCATTCTAGAATAAATGCCAGTATCTCAGAGATCATGATTGAAATTCTTATGATTGTTAGAAGCATGAATCCAATTCAAGGCAAAAAATAAAGACTTTTCTTAGAAATAAAAAAAAAAGATGAAAATAGTTGAAACAAAAATATCAGGCATAAAAATTTGCATTTTATAAGTTTTAAAACTTTGGTACATTTTGTTTTGTTGATCAGGAATTGTGCATGCAAATTTTAAAAGTCGCCAGGTAAGCCTAATACAATGTAAGTACTCAGACATGGGCAGACTAATACTCCTTGTGCCTTATATTAACATGTACAGGCTACAGATGCCAAAACAGATAAATAACTAGGTATACAGTTATACTGAACCTTACCTGGATTGCTTACCTTGAATCATTGCAAGATTTTCACATTATAGATTAGAATAATAATGTTTAAGATCGTTATTCACGGTGGAATTTTTTTTTTCATGTGCCTGCAATTTCTAACTGCATTCAGAATGATACACATAAGTATGCCAACCTTTTTGTTACCAGTCAGGTGCTGCTTTAAAGCTGTCAACATTAGTTTTAATAACACTTTAGTATATACACTTATAGTAAATAGGGCAGCTGTATACGGGTAGGCAGGGCAGGCATACATACAGTACTTCAAGTGTGGAGATGAAACAAGCTTAAGCTAATGTATTTAGCATATGAAACTGTGGCGTGGAACCCATTAAACTATTTCTCATAAACTATACTACACAAGTTAAGTCTCTACTTTGGTAAGATTAACCTAGGTTTTATGGTTGCACCATTATGTGTGTGTTTCAAACTGTCACAGAGTGGATAAAATAGTAATTGTTTACTAGTACTTGAAAGAGAGGTGTAAATGATTCATGTACAGTTTTTATATCTATGTCCAGATATTGTAAATACACTATTGTTTAGTGTCATGAAAGAAAGATATGGTTCATCACACCATGTATAAATAACAAGTACAATAGGATCATAGTGTTTGGAGTGTGAATGAATGTGTCACACTGGTGGTTAAATAGAACTTGTATAAATACAGTGGATGGCACATTCATATACTTACTTATCTTTCAGATTGTTCTTCAAGTAAATAATCTTTTGACAATTCTTATGATTTTAGAAAACCAAACAGGGATGTCTTTGATTATTCTTACAACTTTTTTTATTTGAAGAAACTTAAGAAGAGGTTTGATAAAGTCATTTATTATTATTATTATTTATTTATTTATTTATTTTTGAAATATTATTCCAGGTTGAATTACATGCTAGGTGGACTGAACCCTGTCTCTTTCCATGTTGTGAATGTGGCCCTCCACACCATTGCCACACTGCTGTTTGTCCATATCTGTGATACTTTAGTCTATAGACCATCTTCCCACCTGGCCCTGCTGGCAGGACTGCTGTTTGCTGTTCACCCAGTGCATACAGAAGCTGTAAGAATAAAGTTGTATTCACATGAGACATAGCTTAGATCAGAAATAGAGATGTTTATAGCTAAGATCAGAAATAAACCACGATAGGTATGATATTACATATATATATATTTGTACATATCTACAATATTTGCCTCACTTTACATCACCAAATCGCCCAACATTGAAAACTTCTAATATAACATGGATGTCCCATGGGATTAATGATGCATCTGCCTCAATTTCTGATCCAAGTTATTTCCTTTGTGAACACAGCTTGTATTTTTAATTTGGTACAATATATATTAAACAGGCTCTTGTTTTTTCACCAGCTTAATGTTGGCTAAATCTAAAATGAATGCTGGCTAAAGCTAAAATGAATTATACAGTTCCTTGTATAAATGATTTGAACCATTGAAATAACATAATAAAATAGCCGTAATGTAATAATGTTAACACATCATTGTTTCTAAAGGTTCAAGAATGATCTATTCACTAATGACACTATTTAAGGAATATTGCATTTAGTACAGTACATTTCTTGCAGGTGGCTGGTATTGTCGGACAAGCAGATGTATTAGCCTGTATATTTTTCCAACTGTCTTTCTTATGCTATGTCAGGTGGGTCTATATATCTTTCTTTTTATGTTTGTTTTTGTTTATAGGTGTCCATTCTTGGTAAATTGATTAGAATGTTGCTTCAAATAAGAGCTGTTATGCTGCACTGCATGGTTTCATTGCTTTGAAACATTGTACAATGTAGAAGTAAAGTGTAAATTAAGATAGATAGTTGAACATAGTGTAAATTATCTTTATTGCAATTAATCTGCATTTATGAAATTTCACCTGTATTTCAGATGTATAAATTGTCAATCAGGTGAAGAGTTCCCAACTGTTAAAAGGATACCTATTTTCATGTTGAGCATGGTATTGGGTACAGCTGCTATGTTTACAAAGGAGCATGGGATTACGGTGCTTGGTGTCAACATACTATATGATACTTTTGTTATTTGCCATGGCGGAACTCTTAGGTAAGGTTTCTACACAGTTTCTGCTGTGACTTTGAATTCAGATATCAAAGTATAAAGCATACATGTTCTACGAATTTTAATGCAATTCTTTTCATAATTTTGAAGGTAGCTTCCATTATATTCTAATTCGCTGATGCTTAAACGTATATAAATTATTCATCATCTAATAACTCTCAACAAACAAAATCACTTCATCTTCAAACATCAAAATCATTTATTTATAAATAGGAAAGAGTGGATGTGCCTCTGCCTGCTTCGAATGTTTATTTTTATTTGATCAATGTACCTTTTCATTGACTGGCTACTAGACTTTATTTACCCTTTCTAAAATTAACTCTCTGCAAGCTCGATGTTTTCATGGACCTCAGTGTTAAATTCAAACTGCTTTCCGTTACCTTTAAACTTGAATTCAGTGTCATAAAAGGACCTCTATTGTTTGCTTACAGTTAAATTTTTCTCTGACAGTTCTCTTTTTTTAACCCTTTTAACATCTGACCCATATCGGATTTAAACAAATTGAAAGTATAATAAAAATTTGACCCAACTTCACCTGATATTTCGTGGCTACACAGTTAGTTTTCTGGTTCTCCAGTCTCTTCTGGCGAGTAGTTATCAGCCTCTTTGTTTGATGCCACACCCTCCACATCCGACTATATCAGCTCAGGTTCACTCACCTTTTACTGCTCAAAATCTTCTCATTAGGGTCGGACTCCAACTCATACGCTTTCTCTAACCTTTGTGACTTTCTAGTGACTTGACAGTAGAAGTGTAAATTTCAAATATGAAAACAAGCTTTCAATAAAGTGGAGAACCAGTGTCTGCACAGCAGCACTTATCGACTTTGAATGACCGTTTCCCCTTCTCACGTGATCTGTTCACCATTTGAATACAGCGCCTCCTGCATTACTTCCAAATGACCTTCCTCCTAAGACACGTCATTGTTGACCTGTTAAACAACAATAAATACATTTATTTTTGTTTAGAGGTCAAAGTGATATGTCGATATATTGCCTCTTTCCAGGGTCCTGAGAAAGAGGAGTCTAACCAGAAACTGTACACCACTTGTTAAAAGAATGATATTTACTTCATGTGTTGTAAGTGCATTGTGCTTAGTACATCATTGAAATACTATTGGTCTAGAACTGTCAAAACATCTTTCTAAAAAGAAGATATGCTATGATGAAATCTAGAAATAGTTATAAATTTAGGATAAGAAACATACAAAATTAAGCTTGAGCCTCTATTATAACTTATTATATATTGGAAAATACCAATATAATACATGTGCTAAATGCAGATTAGTTACCTGAAAGAATAAAATGTAGGTCATGCAGTGCATTTCCTTTTCAGGTTATTTTGCTGTTATCCTTTAGAATTTGGATGCTGCATGGGATGCTTCCAGCATTTTCAGAGCAAGACAATCCTGCTTCTTTTGCTCCTCATTTATTGACAAGGTTGGTGTGTCATCATAATAAATAAGCTGATTGCAATGGCTCATAAAGGTACAGAAGAATGCTAAGACATATGAAGAGGAATTGGATTTATTCTTGCTGTAATATTTCCAATAGTATATAGTTCCTATGAAATAAGTGGACGTAATTTTCTTTATGCTCTTTACTGCAAAGAAACAGCATGCTTCCTTTTAGTGTATATAGAATGCTTCCTTTTTATGTATATAGAATTTTGCTCTCATTGGACAGAATGCCAAAACACTCTTTGAGTGTTGACCTCCAAAAACTAGAAAAATGAACTTCAAATGCTCTCTTTCCAGGTTTCTTACATACTCCTACCTTCTAGTATTTAACATGTGGCTGCTGCTAGCTCCCATAACACTGTCATATGACTGGCAGATGGGGAGCATTCCCTTGGTGGAAACATTATGGGATATACGTAACCTGGCAACACTCATTTTTGCCATAGTGATGCTGTTTTTGGTTGTGTTTGTTATAAGAAAGCTATGGGTAAAGTATAATTTTGAAAACTGACTGTCAGTTCACGAAGTCAGTTATTGTCTTTATTACACAAAATTGTATATTTTTTAGCTTGAACAATCTGTGACTTTAAGACACTATTCATAGATTTTGATACAACTTAAAAGCAATCATCAAGTACAGATGTTTCATCTTGTTTGGGACTTTGCTGTTTTGTTAATCATGTTGTTGCATGTACTTAAATTTAACTGATACTGGATAATATATATTGCCAAATAAAAAGTTTCATCTCTATTTCAGTTTATTGTGAAAATTGTTTTTTCTGTTGTAGACTTCCACAGGGAAGGTGACATTTACAGGCCTCCTTTTCCTTACTTTGCCCTTCTTGCCAGCTTCTAACTTATTTATTAGGGTAGGCTTTGTTGTTGCGGAAAGAATCCTTTACATCTCAAGGTAAAGTCTCCCAAATATATACTGGGTTCGAGGATCATTTGATCTTGCTGAAAAATGTATAGTTTTTGTTTGAATGGTTTAATTAAAATAAATTTGTCCATTAATTTGAAGGAAAGATGATACCTAATGGAGCAAATTTTAGAATTTTTGAATAATGTGATTTCTAATGTGCTCATGTTAGCTACATAATTGAGAAAACTATATGATGTAACATTTCTATTATAATAAACAGTAAATGTTTGCTAGTTGGAATAATGTATTTCTTAATTTGAGTAATTTAAACAGTTAATCAATTACAATTTGATATACTTGTTTTTCAGCATGGGGTTTTGTATTTTGGTTGTGCAAGGGTTTGACAGTATCACAATCAAATTTAAACAAAAGAAAAGACTGCTCCATGCTATGTTATATTGCCTTGTGGCTTTGTTTGCTGCAAGGACTGTGATAAGGAATAGGGTGTGGTACAACAGAGAGACACTCTTTACGTAAGTATAGACAAGTTTATTGGTACACCGCGACATTCTGTGCTGAAATACTTATTTTTGAGATTGAGTTGGGTTTTTTGTTTGGCCTCATTAAACCTCTTTATTCTTTTGAACATGAGGTATTTTTACATTGAATCTTAGATAGTGACTGATTCCCTAATAATTCTCAGGTCCGGACTGGAAACTCTTCCTCACAATGCCAAGGTCCACTACAATTATGCCAACATGTTGAAAGACTGGGGTCGCATTGAACAGGCAATTCACCATTACAGAACAGCGTTAAGGTCAGTGATAAGAGCCTCCATAAACTCGGCTGTTTATATTTCAAGGTCAAATTAGGAAATTGGCCTGTTCTTTTGCGTTTCTTTTAAATAAATTGTTTGCTTTGGAAATTCTTCCTTTTGATTTTCAATCTACCAAGAATCTCATTATAGAACCAAAATTAAGATGGAATTACAAAACTTAAGTGTGTTAAGATCATCAAAGAAAGAATGAACAATTTCTTGCTTGTACTGTAAAATGATACGTAGTACAGGAAATTGTACACAGCAAACCATCACTGCAACATAATTAATATGATCTTGTTTCTGCACCATTAACAATGACAAATAAATGTAATTTATCATATAGATAGACAATCCTTCGTGTAGGCGATCCTTCATAGGTGATAATGAAGTTTTATTCCAGGCTGTTTCCTAACCATGCCAGTGCCAACAATAATCTTGGCACTTTGCTGAATGACCCTGTGGATGCTGAGGCACATTATAGAAGAGCCATACAGATCAGTCCAGGGCACACCAATGCTCACTTCAACCTGGGGAATGTGCTGCAGTAAGACATTTATATCTTGTTGGAATTGTGTGTCTTTCTTGGTGCTGCATGTAAATTGTTATATTTTATTCTGAAAAATCAGCAGAATACTGACTAACATTTATCTTCTTGATTGAATTGATCTACTGTATTTGCCAGAGAATGTAGGTATTTTTCAGTACTGTCATTTTTGGTTTAAAGAAAAAGATGGTAGTTGTTTCAAATTTAGACTTGCTTTCACAGATTGGAAATTGACTTAATAGACTAAGATATTGAATTGAGTTTAAATTAAATAGAAAGTTGGTAATCTATGAGTTGTAATCTATGAGTTTTATCTCTATTTCCAGTAAAACTGGCCGCAGTGAAGAGGCTATTAAGGTCTTCCACAGAGCTATCCAGCTAGATCCCCATTATACTGACCCCTATACTAACCTGGGAGGTATTCTAGCCACACTGGGCAGGCACTCAGAGGCTGACTGGTGCTATAGAAGGGTCATACAGGAAGATCCCCACAATGCCGATGCCTATAACAATTATGGGGCATTTCTACAGAGACTAGGTATGATGGTTGCATGTTAGGAGTTAGGGTTACTTTGCGAAACAATGAATTTATGCTTGGCTGAGAGATTTAAAACAAAAACTGAAGTGTGAAAGAGTCTATGGTGGTTGCATGTGCTCTATTAAGCTGCATTTAGACTGGGCTTATTTTTTACAGTTAACAGTCTAAAGTTTTAACTGGTAACACATATTAGACTGATATAAAATCAAAGTTAATCCTGCTCTAAACACAGCATAAAAAAAGCATAATCAATCACTTTGGACAAATCCTGTTTCGTGTTTGCAGTTCACATATTGCAAATTGGCTTGTCTCCTGAGATTACTGCAAGTGAATTAATATTTCAGAAAGTGTGTGCTGGTGTTAATTTCTCTGTTGCATGTTTCATAAATTTTTCTTCTCTATCAGAGCTGTGATTGATGACCTGACAGCAGTAAAGCATGACTTTATTATTATTATTATTATTATTTTTATTTTATTTAGGCAAGCAAGACTTATTTATTATTTTGTAGGCAAAGTAGCATGTTATACCTCCTGTATCTATATATAACAAAATACTACACATTCTTCATACTACTTTTTATGATTAAAGTGTGTGTGTGTGCATATGTTTATGTGCGTGTAAAAGTTTCAGATGGTGACTGACATTCTTTGCAACCTCTTGATGTGTGAGTTTCTTGCCTATCCACTTACAATATTAAAATCATTCACAGTACATGGTTTATTTTAGAACTATTTTGACACTAGTAGTTACTTTTCTTGTATTTACAATATGCACATTTCTAGGCAAAAATGAGGATGCTCTTCAGTATTACATGAAAGCAACCAGCCTTCAGCCCAACAATGTAGTAGTTATAACCAATGCTGGGAGGGCACTGAGGACACTGGAGAGAAATGATGAAGCAGAAGACATGTTTAAAAGGTACAGACAATCATGAATCAAGAGCTGTTGATGGAAGAATGCTTTTCAGTCATTTTAAAGTTGCTTTTTTAATTTGCTGGAAGTCATTTCCTCAGGTTTGGTTTCAAATTTATATTAAATAGTTAATGGGTATATCTCTTAAGAAAACATTGGTTTTTGTATTTTGATAATTACCCTTTCTTTTTGTTAGGTTGTACATCTAACCTAATAGTATCCAATAATGTAGCTTGTAAAGCACAGCTGAAATCTTGTTTTTACAAGTAATTCCAAATCAAGCACACAACTCGGAGGTTTTTTAAACATCTTGAAATTTCTATTAAGTCACAAGATTATTAAGATCCTACATTGCACATATGGTAAAAGTCTTCCTCAGGCCACAGCAGGCACAATACTATTAGATTGGTTACACAAAAACATTTTTTGACATGCTTTTCTAAACTTCCTGTTTATGACACAGTAAACGAAGAAATTCAGTGAATACTGTACAACATTCAGGTTTGAAGTTACCACATTAACAATGATAAACTCTGTGTTGTCTATGTCTCCATATAGTAGTCTTGCAAACAGGCGACTGGCTAAGGCAGAAGGTATCTCCCCCATAAGAAATAAAAATGTCACTCCAACCAGCATAACTGTCAGACGCTGCTGTTCATGAGCGCGATGTAGAAAAACATTGGAAGTCATGTTCTGTATCCTTTTGCGAGCTCTGTGAGTATGCTTTATAAGAAGCATGTTTAAAATAATGAGAATAATGCAAGAGCCAAGTACAATTGGTACCAGGTGTATCCAGTAGTATACCTGTAAAAACCCACTTGACCCAAAGTCTGTATATTGTACTTCATGGTAGAAATAATGGTGCCTGGTGTTGTCATCAGCAATACTGGAGTCATTCAAGTTAATGTGACATTCAACATAGTATCCAAAAAATCTGGGTAGATTGAATATAATACAGAAAGTGGAAGCAACCAGTGTAGCCCTGAAGGCAATTTTTCTGTTGCAGTACTTTCTCATCCTCAGAGGGTGGGCAATCCAGCAGTATCTCTCAAAAGCTAGAAGCACAGTAAGTAACATGGTAGCATTTGATGACATAGTTCCAATTGGATAGTATATGTAGAGTTCGTAGAACATCCATCCACAGTTTGTTGGAAAAATGCCTCTTGCTAAACCACTGAGCAGGTAGAAAATTAGATTCAGCATATCTGTCAAGGCAAGTCCGCGTAGGTATGTGTAAGAGCTCTGTGAAAACTTCTTCTGATCTGAGAGCACTATTAAGTTCAACATGTTGGCAGTGATGCCAAATATGCATATTGATATCATCACGATGCCATAGCCTGTGAATTTAATTATATATTCCTCCATAAGTTTATCCTTGCAATGCACATTTGTTAATTGTAGTGCAGAAAAATTCCTTGGATTAAGTTCACAGTTATGATGCGCTTGGTTCCATGTGGTTATTGCAGGTGTTTGAAGTGAAATGCATCACTTTCTATGTGTCCGTATAGTTTGCAATTATAGTTCTCAAAGGTTGTCAGGAAATGTTGCTTATCAATCATATTATACGACACAGATTTCTGGTTGTCTTCCATGTTTATCCTTGGATTATTATTCCTCACAGAATTTAAAATAAAAATTTCATGTGTTTCATTCACAGTGCACATGTTTAATTCAACAGTATTAATTCCTGTCTGTCCCAATTTCACCAAGATTTCATTGCTTCTCAGAAGTAATTTAGTACATTTAGATGTATCACTTATGACTATTGGATCAGTTCTTTGGCTTCGTGATTAAATGTGAGATTTGCAGGACTGTTTATTGCCACCTACAGCTTTGCCAAACACTCTATCTTATAAATTGAATGAGATCTATAGTGACCAGATTGGTTCTGTAGTGTAAACACTGATATGTGCTACATGTATCACTATTAAGATTAATTTACCAGCTACTGAAGCATCTGCAAGGCTGCTGAGAAATTCCCACCTTTTTAAATGTCACAACGGTCATTCTTGAAATTTGAACAGGTCCTCCTTTAGAAATCAATAAAGGCGCTCCATTAATTTCTGCCTCCCTTCTAAACTAGAATATTATCTAATTGTATAACACATATTACCAGCAGCAACACTTTTTTGACTCTGAAACAAATATATAAGTACTTGTATGTGTATCCATACATATTTGTAACATTTTTGCCTTACAATTTTGACATGTTCACTCCATTGCTATGATAAGTTATTAAGAGTAATGCCCACATCATGTACTGTGTTTGTAGAGCAGCGAAGGGTGTGAACCCTAAAAACAGTGCGGAAGCGTCTGTTGAACACACAGTATATAACAAAATTGAGAGAATGCTGAAGCACCACCAGGGTCGTCCCAAGCAGGCTCATCAGCTGATATGTTTGGTTTGACAGAACACTCATGTCTCCTTGCCCATATATTGCAACACTCACAGATCTATTTACCATAGCAGAAGGCAGTTCACCAATTAAAAATACTGTTACAACACTCACCAGTGTCATGGTTAGACGTTGCTGATGTTTTGTTCTCTGCTGTTGGCTGGATGACACCATAGTGATGCTGGTTTTATTAGAAATGTACACTGCCCGGAACAATAATATATTGAAAGTTAATAGGAAAAGTATTCCTCCAAAAGTAATCCCTATCAGGCTGACCCAGGAGTGAGCCATGTAGAAAGAGCTTGTTCCAAATTCTGTATAAGTGAAATGATAAAAATCTGCTGACTCTGTAGAGTTGCAAGACACCTGTTTGGCTAATGTAAAAGCAAAACAGCGAGGTATATTAAAAATGATGCAAGTAATGTAGATGCCTAGGGTCACCTTCACAGCAAGTTCTCTGGTGCAGAACTGCTTTGATTTCATGGGCTTGGAGACCCAGAAGAACCTCTCAATGGTCACAGCTATAGTTTGTAAAGCACTGGCCATGGTAGAAGCCGAGGCAAAAGGAAAATATATGTACACCTCAAATGTCATCCAGCCAAAGTCTCCATTGTAAAGTCCTCTTGTCAAACTACTGAACAGGAAGAGGACAAGAGATAAAAGATCTGCTATGGCCAGTCCTAGAAGATATGTATACAGAGAATCTTTCAACTTGTTGCTTGAAAGGACAACAATGTTTAATATGTTGCTTATGATCCCATACAAACAGATTGAAGGAACCACATACCCTAGAATAATCTGTTTGTAAGCTAGTATTAGATCCTCTTCTGCAGTGTTTCTAAATGCTGAAGAGCAGTTGCTGCTGTTGTCATATAGTTGGCTGATTATAGAGCCACTGATTTGTTTCTCCTGATTCCCCATAGTAAATCTTGAAACAATTCTAAGGAGTATATCGTATCTGGTTTACTTCATCTGTATTTCTCCAATTTCAAACTCTTTTAGTCCTTAAAGTCTCTAAGTCCTAAAAAAACTTCTGTTGATACAAGACAACATATGTGGCATTGTATCTTGAAAGCTATGCTGCCGTGAAAATTTCAAAAGTCAGATTAAGGTACGAAGCTCTTGTATTGGTCATTGTTTTTATAGGACTGTAGAAGTCTGGAAATGGGTTGGCTTTTATAGCTGCACTTGCTCTTGAAACATAAAATGGAGTTGCAAGATAAAATTGCAATATGTGGTCCCTAGAATACCATCTGGATCTTTAAATTATTATACTTACTGTCTTTATGAAGATAGTATTTCTTTTATATTTGCAACTGTAACCCCATTGACTTTAACTGTTCATTTATGGCTAATATTCTGTTCTGATATTGATATTCCCATGTCCAGGTACCTAGATAAGAGATCACAAGTGCTTTGTAAATAGAATCAGGGGTGTCATTTGGACACTGATTAGACTTACACTTCTTTCTGAGATTGGATATTTCAAAGGGTTTAGGATACAGATAGAGTTTAGTGTAAGTAAACTCACGTGAAACTATCCTGATTTTTAGAGTCTGACCAATAAGGCCTGCTGCTTTGTACTAAAATTCAATGCCTGTAGCCAGCAATTGCAAAGGGGGGTAATTTTTCTAAAAACCCTCTTAGTTGATATGGCACAGAGCACATGGAACAAATTTTGGTTCAGAATGAACATTTTTTTGGCTAAAAGGGTGTTTCTTTTGAAAACCAACACCCATGGGTATGGGCCTGGCACTAGTTTATAGGATAGACTGTGACAAATTCTGAAATTTCAGATGCATTTAACATACTTACATGCAGAATGTTTTTTTTAATGTTTTAGCAGGTAAACCACTGGCTGACTTTGAATAAATCTGTGACAAATCCGACTTCATGATAAGTGTCAAGCATATGAAAAGAATAACAGGTTAGATGCGCACAGCAACAGATTCTGAACCCTGTTGTCATCATGGACTTTAAAAATGCTCTACATTTAATAACAGGGATACTTATGTAAAATATTTTCCTTTTTCTAGGGCTTTGTCTATTAAGCGAGATTCCATTAACCTGGACACGCTGGCAGTGTTCTACTTCAACCAGGGCAGAACAACTGAGGCACTGAAGATATTCAATGAGCTGGAGCGCTCTTTTCCAAATGACTTGGATGCCATGTGTCATTATGTAAGAATGTATTGCCCTTTGAAGGTCACTTCAACACTGATTTGTTTTATTGGTGGAGCATATGGTGTAACTCATTCTGATCCTCAAATGAATGTTTGAATTGCCTTTTATTGTCTTTATTAAATATGACTAACTTTGAACAATCAAACATTTTGTGCTTCATGATTTGAAGCATAGCTGGTATAATTTGTATTCAGAAAATTACAAAAATGATGCAAGTGAATAAAAGCATTGAAACAAAAGGGGCTTTATCCTACATAAAAGATGAAATGGGAATTCACCAACATATCTTTTATGCTTTACTTGGTATCTTATTTCTAGGCCCAAGCATTAACCAGGCTGGAGCAATATTCTAAAGCAGAGGCCCTGTTACTGAGAATTCTTCACACTGATGGTGGGCATGTGGAAGCTTTGAGGCAACTAGCTACTCTGTGTGGGATATTGGGAAGACATCAAGAGGTGAGAATACCATACAGCTTGTGTTGGGTCATACAGAAGCAGTTTCTTTGTATGTCAGTTGCTGAATTGGCTGTTGTACACCTTATATTTGTATCTACTTTGAAGTGAATATACTGTAGATGTATATAAACCATTCTAGTGAGGTACTTATGAATAACATGTTCAGCCAGAACACACCTAGTTCTGTCTATTAAAAACCTTTTACTAATGGAGCCTTTGTGAAATATCCTTTGCTTCCATTATGCAAGACATGTTGTACAAGTATTAAAACTGTTGTCATGTTTTTTGTATAGGCCCTGCAACATATCAGTAAAGCTTTATCTCCTGGTGCCCAGACTGTGGATAAACTCACCAGGGCAGCCATTTACTATGAAGAAGGAAATCACTGGAAAGATCTGAAACAGTATCAGCAGGCTGCCAAGGTGATTATGTATTGTGGACTGTGTGTGTGTGGGGGGGGGGGGGGGGGGAATTAATTTTTAGATTTTGCAATCTTAAGTAGCACTTTTGACTGAGTTTATAAAATTTAATTTTTTTTTTCAGAGTTATAAAGCAGCAGTTTCTCTGGATCCAAGTTTGCCTCAAGCTTGGCTAAACCTTGGAGCAATTTATCATCTTCTAGTGAGTAATCNGTATTTTGATAATTCCCTTTTCTTTTTGTTAGGTTGTACATCTAACCTAATAGTATCCAATAATGTAGCTTGTAAAGCACAGCTGAAATCTTGTTTTTACAAGTAATTCCAAATCAAGCACACAACTCGGAGGGTTTTTAAACATCTTGAAATTTCTATTAAGTCACAAGATTATTAAGATCCTACATTGCACATATGGTAAAAGTCTTCCTCAGGCCACAGCAGGCACAATACTATTAGATTGGTTACACAAAAACATTTTTTGACATGCTTTTCTAAACTTCCTGTTTATGACACAGTAAATGAAGAAATTCAGTGAATACTGTACAACATTCAGGTTTGAAGTAACCACATTAACAATGATAAACTCTGTGTTGTCTATATCTCCATATAGTATTCTTGCAAACAGACGACTGGCTAAGGCAGAAGGTATCTCCCCCATAAGAAATAAAAATGTCACTCCAACCAGCATAACTGTCAGGCGCTGCTGTTCATGAGCGCGATGTAGAAAAACATTGGAAGTCATGTTCTGTATCCTTTTGCGAGCTCTGTGAGTATGCTTTATAAGAAGCATGTTTAAAATGATGAGAATAATGCAAGAGCCTAGTACAATTGGTACCAGGTGTATCCAGTAGTATACCTGTAAAAACCCACTTGACCCAAAGTCTGTATATTGTACTTCATGGTAGAAATAATGGTGCCTGGTATTGTCATCAGCGATACTGGAGTCATTCAAGTTAATGTGACATTCAACATAGTATCCAAAAAATCTGGGTAGATTGAATATAATACAGAAAGTGGAAGCAACCAGTGTAGCCCTGAAGGCAATTTTTCTGTTGCAGTACTTTCTCATCCTCAGAGGGTGGGCAATCCAGCAGTATCTCTCAAAAGCTAGAAGCACAGTAAGTAACATGGTAGCATTTGATGACATAGTTCCAATTGGATAGTATATATAGAGTTCGTAGAACATCCATCCACAGTTTGTTGGAAAAATGCCTCTTGCTAAACCACTGAGCAAGTAGAAAATTAGATTCAGCATATCTGTCAAGGCAAGTCCGCGTAGGTATGTGTAAGAGCTCTGTGAAAACTTCTTCTGATCTGAGAGCACTATTAAGTTCAACATGTTGGCGGTGATGCCAAATATGCATATTGATATCATCACGATGCCATAGCCTGTGAATTTAATTATATATTCCTCCATAAGTTTATCCTTGCAATGCACATTTGTTAATTGTAGTGCAGAAAAATTCCTTGGATTAAGTTCACAGTTATGATGCCTAAGCGCTTGGTTCCATGTGGTTATTGCAGGTGTTTGAAGTGAAATGCATCACTTTCTATGTGTCCGTATAGTTTGCAATAATAGTTCTCAAAGGTTGTCAGGAAATGTTGCTTATCAATCATATTATACGACACAGATTTCTGTTTGTCTTTCATGTTTATCCTTGGATTATTATTCCTCACAGATTTAAAATAAAAATTTCATGTGTTTCATTCACAGTGCACATGTTTAATTCAACAGTATTAATTCCTGTCTGTCCCAATTTCACCAAGATTTCATTGCTTCTCAGAAGTAATTTAGTACAAAATAAAGTGACTGCCATTTAGATGTATCACTTATGACTATTGGATCAGTTCTTTGGCTTCGTGATTAAATGTGAGATTTGCAGGACTGTTCATTGCCACCTACAGCTTTGCCAAACACTCTATCTTATAAATTGAATGAGATCTATAGTGACCAGATTGGTTCTGTAGTGTAAACACTGATATGTGCTACATGTATCACTATTAAGATTAATTTACCAGCTACTGAAGCATCTGCAAGGCTGCTGAGAATTTCCCACCTTTTTGAATGTCAAAGGAGTCATTCTTGAAATTTGAAGAGGTCCTCCTTTAGAAATCAATGGAAGGGGCTCCATTAATTTCTGCCTCATTTCTAAACTAGAATGTTATCTATTGTATCAAACAGACAACAAGTAACAACACTTGGATATATTACATTTCTGACTCTGAGACAAATACTTAAAGGGATAATAACTCTTCGTATGAGATTTATATTTCACAATAAAAAAATTGTCAATAACTCATAGAAATATAATATATTCTGTTTTACCACAAAAACGGCAGTTATAGCTATTATTCTGATATCTGAGCTTGTCTTAAGACCACGTGACCTCCATTGATGGCTATACTCTGCTAAAATCTCTTAAGAGATTTTAACAAAAAACCAAACTTTTTAGAAAAAAACAAGGGACTAACTTTGAATGTAAAAATGGATTCATTAACCATTGGTAAGTATGGGAAAATTGTTGTTTACTCCAGGAAAATTCATTTTTTGGCCAAAACGAAGAGTTATTATCCCTTTAAGTTCTCATTTGTGTATCCATACATATTCGTAACATTTTTGTCTTACAATTTTCACATGTTCTCTCCATTGCTATGATAAGTTATTAAGAGTAGTGCCCACATCATTTACTGTGTTTGTAGAGCAGCGCAGGGTGTGAACCCTAAAAACAGTGCGGAAGCGTCTATTGAGCACACAGTATATAACAAAATTGAGAGAATGCTGAAGCACCACCAGGGTCGTCCCAAGCAGGCTCATCAGCTGATATGTTTGGTTTGACAGAACACTCATGTCTCCTTGCCCGTATATTGCAACACTCACAGATCTATTTACCATAGCAGAAGGCAGTTCACCAATTAAAAATACTGTTACAACACTCACCAGTGTCATGGTTAGACGTTGCTGATGTTTTGTTCTCTGCTGTTGGCTGGATGACACCATAGTGATGCTGGTTTTATTAGAAATGTACACTGCCCTGAACAGTAATATATTGAAAATTAATAGGAAAAGTATTCCGCCAAAAGTTATTCCTATCAGGCTGACCCAGGAGTGAGCCATGTAAAAAGAGCTTGTTCCAAATTCTGTATAACTGAAATGATAAAAATCTGCTGACTCTGTAGAGTTGCAAGACACCTGTTTGGCTAATGTAAAAGCAAAACAGCGGGGTATATTAAAAATGATGCAAGTAATGTAGATGCCTAGGGTCACCTTCACAGCAAGTTCTCTGGTGCAGAACTGCTTTGATTTCATGGGCTTGGAGACCCAGAAGAACCTTTCAATTGTCACAGCTATGGTTTGTAAAGCACTGGCCATGGTAGAAGCCGAGGCAAAAGGAAAATATATGTACACCTCAAATGTCATCCAGCCGAAGTCTCCATTGTAAAGTCCTCTTGTCAAACTACTGAACAGGAAGAGGACAAGAGATAAAAGATCTGCTATGGCCAGTCCTAGAAGATATGTATACAGAGAATCTTTCAACTTGTTGCTTGAAAGGACAACAATGTTTAATATGTTGCTTATGATCCCATACAAACAGATTGAAGGAACCACATACCCTAGAATAATCTGTTTGTAAGCTAGTATTAGATCCTCTTCTGCAGTGTTTCTAAATGCTGAAGAGCAGTTGCTGCTGTTGTCATATGGATGGCTGATTATGGAGCCACTGATTTGTTTCTCCTGATTCCCCATAGTAAATCTTGAAACAGTTCTAAGGGGTATATCGTATCTGGTTTATTTCTATATTTCTCCAGTTTTAAACTTTTTTAGTTCTTAAAGTCTCTAAGTCCAAAAAAAAAACTTCTGTTGATACAAGACAACAAATGTGGCATTGTATCTTGAAAGCTATGCTGCCGTGAATCTTTCAAAAGTCAGATTAAGGTACGAAGCTCTTGTATTGGTCATTGTTTTTACAGGACTGTAGAAGTCTGGCAATGAGTTGGCTTTTATAGCTGCACTTGTTCTTGAAAAACATAAAATGGAGTTGCAAGATAAAATTGCAATATGTGATCCCTAGAATACCATCTGGATCTCTAAATTAATATACTTACTGTCTTTATGAAAATAGTATTTCCTTTATGTTTGCAACTGTAACCCCACTGACTTTAACTGTTCATTTATGGCTAATATTCTGTTATGATATTGATATTCCCATGTCCAGGTACCTAGATAAAACATCACAAGTCCTTTGTAAATAGAATCAGGGGTGTCATTTGGACACTGATTAGACTTACACTTCTTTCTGAGATTGGATATTTTGTAGGGTTTAGGATACAGATAGAGTTTAGTGTAAGTAAACTCACGTGAAACTATCCTGATTTTTAGAGTCTGCCATATAATGCCTGCTGCTTTGTACTAAAATGCAATGCCTGTAGGCAGCAATTGCAAAGGGGGGTATTTTTTCTCAAAAACCCTCTTAGTTGATCAAACTTGAGATATGGCACAGAGCACATGGAACAAATTTTGGTTCAGAGTGTAAATTTTTGGCTAAAAGGGTGTTTCTTTTGAAAACCAACACCTATGGGTATGGGCCTGGCACTTGTTTACAGGATAGACTGTGACAAATTCTGAAATTTCAGATGCATTTAACATACTTCCATGCAGAATGGATGTTTAATGCCTTAGCAGATAAACCACTGGCTGACTTTGAATAAATCTGTGACAGATCCGACCTCATAATAAATGTCAAGTATATGAAAAGAATAACAGGTTGGATGTGCACAGCAACAGATTCTGAGCCCTGTTGTCATCATGGACTCTAAAAATGGTCTTCATTTAATTATAGAGATACTTATGTAAAATATTTTCCTTTTTCTAGGGCTTTGTCTATTAAGCGAGATTCCATTAACCTGGACACGCTGGCAGTGTTCTACTTCAACCAGGGCAGAACAACTGAGGCACTGAAGATATTCAGTGAGCTGGAGCGCTCTTTTCCAAATGACTTGGATGCCATGTGCCATTATGTAAGAATGTATTGCCCTTTGAAGGTCACTTCAACACTGATTTGTTTTATTGGTGGAGCATATGGTGTAACTCATTCTGATCCTCAAATGAATGTTTGAATTGCCCTTTATTGTCTGTATTAAATATGACTGACTGTGACCAATCAAACATTTTATGCTTCATGATTTGAAGCATAGCTGGTATAATTTGTATTCAGAAAATTACAAAAATGATGCAAGTGAATAAAAGCATTGAAACAAAAGGGGCTTTATCCTACATAAAAGATGAAATGGGAATTCACCAACATATCTTTTATGCTTTACTTGGTATCTTATTTCTAGGCCCAGGCATTAACCAGGCTGGAGCAATATTCTAAAGCAGAGGCCCTGTTACTGAAAATTCTTCACACTGATGGTGGGCATGTGGAAGCTCTGAGGCAACTAGCTACTCTGTGTGGGATATTGGGAAGACATCAAGAGGTGAGAATACCAAACAGCTTGTGTTGGGTCATACAGAAGCAGTTTCTTTGTATGTCAGTTGCTGAATTGGCTATTGTACAGCTTATATTTGTATCTACTTTGAAGTGAATCTACTGTTGATGTATATAAACCATTCTAGTGAGGTACTTATGAATAACATGTTCAGCCAGAACACACCTAGTTCTGTCTATTAAAAACCTTTTACTAATGGATCCTTTGTGAAATATCCTTTGCTTCCATTATGCAAGACATGTTGTACAAGTATTAAAACTGTTGTCATGTTTTTTGTGTAGGCCCTGCAACATATCAGTAAAGCTTTATCTCCTGGTGCCCAGACTGTGGATAAACTCACCAGGGCAGCCATTTACTATGAAGAAGGAAATCACTGGAAAGATCTGAAACAGTATCAGCAGGCTGCCAAGGTGATTATGTATTGTGGACTGTGTGTGTGTGGGGGGGGGGGGATTTATATGTTAGATTTTGCAATCTTAAGTAGCACTTTTGACTGAGTTTATAAGATTTAATTTTTTTTTTCAGAGTTATAAAGCAGCAGTTTCTCTGGATCCAAGTTTGCCTCAAGCTTGGCTAAACCTTGGAGCAATTTATCATCTTCTAGTGAGTAAACACAGACTAAAGATATTGATTTTTAAGGAGGTAATTTACCTGAAATAAATTATATGTTGCTAATATCCCCTGTAGCTAAATGTGGCACTGTTTATTTTAATACAATGAGGATTTTGAAAATTTCAGGACGAATTTGACAGTGCAAAGTTTCACTACCACCAGGCTCTGAAGCTGAACCCAAATAATGAGATTCTGAAAGAGAACATCAAAAAGTTAGAAAGAAGACAGCAACAATTGATAAATAATAAGAAAAATAAGACTTCATAGGGTGATATGGTTAAGTAATCATTGCAAGTGCGTCAAGAACCAGTAAAAAGGTCAGAAAAGATGAATCAAAATTTTATGGATGAATTAGTGATTGTATTCTGGGTGATCATGGTGATGATTAAACATTTTTATATCTTATTTACTTTAATTAAGATAGCAACTTATTAGGCAATGTAATTAAGTAACATTATGAAGCCAAAAAAGCGCAGCTGTTCCTAGATATGTTTTAGGGTTGTGAGTGAGTCTCAAAATGGAGTTTTGTTAATAGCATTTAATTGGTAAGATTTTTTTTCATTTCAAGGTCTGAATCTTAGTCTGAGCGTATTATTAAACTTACTTTTTCTTTTTTAATTTTATTCCACAAGGACTGTCTTTCCTCATTCTTTATTTCTCATATTACATGGTCTGAGTGAAATTTTCAGTGTAATGATGATTTGATATTAAACCACATCCGAACCAGTACATGTACTTGAATTATTTCCTTTTGGAAAAGGGATGTGGATATGTATGATATTGCTTTCACCTACAGTATTACAAGATTGTGATTTTTTTGTTGATGAGAATTGTCCCATCGCTAGAGTTATATTTGATGTTTGCCAAGAATAAATAATTTTATAAATTTTAAAATATATCTATTAATATATACCTGTAAATATAATGTAAAAGTATTTATTGTAGGTGATAATTTCTCGTCTGTCCTGTGATTATTTTATATATAGCTTTCTAGGTAGGAGAGCATTAAGTACACATTGCAATAACTATGCTGTCTACAGTGGTGAACTAATCCCTCCATTTAACATATTCTTGTCAGATAATTAAGTATTTATGCATGTGGATTTATATTGAGTTCAGGGATATGGAGATATAAGTAAAGTTTTTAAATCTAATGCTGGACTCACTACTCGGGCTTTTAGACGAGGCTGCATCTCTCTTGGAGAATTCAGTTGAAACTAGAAAAGCACTCCGAGAACGCAGACCTCCGCCAATGTAGTAATTTTTTATTATTATTGATTATTGATTGATTATTGATCCAGATCACCACCAAAAACTAATCATCTGTTCCTTGGCCCACTTCTGACAGTTCCTGAAAATTTCATCAAAATCGGTCCATAACTTTTTGAGTTATGTTGATGACAGACAGACAGACAAACAAACAAACAGGGGTAAAAACAATACCCCCTTGGAGGAGGTTATTAGAATAAATAGCAAGACCTGCAATACATTAAAAAAACTTTATTTAAATTAGGTAAAATACAACTGGCTGACTAATATACATGCAATAGTCTTAATAGTAATTGTACTACTTTTTAATTCAAATGTTATGAAAACAGTGTAAAATATGTTTATGTTAATTAACTACATTTGTATACAGAGTCAGTCAGAATCCCGACAAGCGCAATCTCTAGACTGTCAATTAAAATTCAGGGTTTGTGCTTCAATGTACCTGATATAACAGGGATGGTTGCTTCAAAACTGTCCAACTTTACAACATATTGCTTGAATAAGAGACAGAATGAGTCCAAAAAATTACAAGTGTAATTACTGCTTGTTAAATTTGTTGCATGTTGTTTATTTATCAAAAGAAAGTTTACAGATGTAATGTGATAGGATTGTTACAGTTTTGATTGAAGTGTATTTTGTGAGGGTACATGCATGTTTTTGATGGTAGTTAGTTCTGATCTGCTTAATTAATTAAAGGGATAATAACTCTTTGTATGAGATCTATATTTCACTATAAAAACATTGTGAACAACTCATAGAAATATAATATATTCTGTTTTACCACAAAAACAGCAGTTATAGCTATTATTCTGATATCTGAGCTTGTCTTTAGACCACATGACCTCCATTGATGGCTATACTCTGTTATAATCTCTTAAGAGATTATAACAAAAAAACAAACTTTTTAGAAAAAAAGCAGGGACTAACTTTGAATGTAAAAATGGATTCATTTACCATTGGTGAGTATGGGAAAATTGTTGTTTACTCCAGGAAAATTCATTTTTTGGCCAAAACGAAGAGTTTTTATGCCTTTAAGTATATACATATTTACAAATGTTGATCATTGTTGAACTTCCTAGTATTTTATAAATTAAAAAGGTTTTATAATTGTTGCATTGGCAACTGTTAATGTAGTTATAATATGCAGACTTTATGTTGAACACCTCTAGTGTACATAGCTTATTCTATTGTCTAAATAAAAAAAAACAATTCCCCATTAATTTTTTTAATGAGACAAAATTGTACTGTTTACAAAAAAATAATAAGTAGATTAACTTATTTAATAATTATGTAAAACAGGTTTAATTTGCACAGTGTATAACTTCCATAATTTGGGTAGACCAAGTAACATTTTTTTAGAATGTTTTCACAGTTTGTGTACTTTTTTTTTTTTAATAGCAGAAAACATAAATTTATTAAATTCCATAAATGTGGACTAATTGTTACAATATTAAAATTAATTATATAATTATATTATAAATGAGTAGTATCTATGTATACTAACAAAAATAAATAAAACTTAAAGATTCTTCCATTTTTGTTCATTAAGCCTGCAAGGTATTCATTGGTCTTACTTTACTTTTCCTTCTGAATACATTTCTCAGATATCACTTTGTAATTTATGTGGCTTGATAAATATTTGAAATATTCATTTCTTATGCATCCTCTTCTGGCTAGAAGTAAAGCTAAGCCTCAATTAGCCAACAGGTTCTTTTTCCATTGTGACAGTTGGTCTCCTCAAGTATACTCTATCCACAACAAGTATTGCAGTCAACCAACGTAGACTTTGTCCATTGTGGTAGTTGTGACATTAATTGTGTTCGAAACCTCTTCTCCAAATGTTATCCCAACATACGACATCATTGGAAGAACTCCAATGCAGAAAAACCCAATGATGAAAAATATCATGGTCACTGTTGTTCCCGTAAGAGAACAAAGAAAGGCGGCTTTGCCTAAGCGCCTAGCACGGGCGACTTTTCTCTCCTCCCAGGCGGACACGGAGAGGAAGGAGAGGATAACTGCTGGAAGACCACACACTGGGTTGCAGCAAAACAGGAGAGTAAGCCATGACAAGGCCATGTAATCTGGAGGCTTGGTTGTTCTGTAAAATAAAAGAACGTCAATAAAAATGAATTGATGAGCCAAGCAAAAGTTGTGTATTAAAAAGAAGTTGTGACCCCGCCCAAAGTATAATTACACTATATAGTTTTTTTTTTTTTTTTCACTTCGTTTCATATCAGATTTCATGAATACAATTTATAAAAATGCATATACACTTACACTGCGATTACCAGGGAACATAACAGAAATACATAAATGCCCTAAATGAATGCCCCAAAATTATAGGCCTAGATCTACGTGTTGTGCCGTTCTTCCGTATGCTATCATGTATCGGGGACATAGAGCACATTTATACACTGATTCTCAATATCATATTGGTCCATCTAACACTTTTTTAAATCTTATTTTATTAAAAGTAAGCGAGCGGAAGAATTGCTTGTCCAAGTGGAATTTTTCTAACATCAGTCTAGCAATTTAAATCACTGAAAAAAGTAATTATAAGGCGTATCTGTTCTGACACAAAAACAGTCTGCGCACCGGCGATTTCTCACGGCATATTTTCGTGGCTGGAGGTTTACAGCGCAGAAATGATACATTGTTATATCTATAGATATTGTTAGAAAGCCCATTCAATGCACATTTTAAATATATTTTCATATATACCATAGGAACTTGAAAGTTATGATGAAAACAAATAGCTAAGTTAAATTTTTTCCTGTTTTGGACCGTGTGAAAGACGTGGCCTGACACCCTATTAAGGTATGTTACAATGCCGGTATTTAAACATGCGATTTTTAGTACCTTATTTCTACGTACTAGAATTTCTACGTACTTGTTTGACGTTGAATTCGAAATAGATCTTGTTTATTTGGAGTGTTTGATGTTGTGAAAGTGCTGTTTTTGTGTATCATTTCCAACTAAAAACCGCCTTGTATGATAATCCCCGTTTAATTTCATTTTTCACTTTTCTATTTTCTTCAAATGGGCCTACGTATTTAAATAAGTTATAATTAAAAATGTCCTTGGTTTTCCCATTTTCCATGATGCATGGCTGTAAAACTTTTATAACCAAATTATAACTTACTTAATAAGGATAGCACTTTAAAATAAATATTTGGGGAAAACTCCCATTTGTAGTAAGCACAGTGTACATAGCAACAGCCCGATTTTTTATACAAAAAGAAACAATGTTGCACAAAAATAGTGTCCACGAGGCTGGGGGGGGGGGGCTTATATTAATGTTGTTTGTGTATATTCAATATAAATATAATAGTGAAATATTTTGCTGATTATTTTATCAAGACTTCAGTAGTATTGGGGGTATGCTTACTTGTGCCCGGTACGTTTACTCGCAAATAACTGTCTTAGAACTACGGGAACATTTGCGGCCTCCTCTTCCTCATCCACGTTTTCCTCGTCCTCGCTTGGCTCTGCTGTCCTAAATATTTGTAACACTGCAGCAATGTTTCGTTCATCAGCACCACTGTGAACTCTAATAGCGGTTGATCTAACAACTGAACTTTCGGGGGCGTCTCGATAGTCCGAAGGTTCATTGGTCCGAAGGTTCATTGGTCCGAAAATTCGTAAATTTTTCATCAGATTTTCAACAAAAAGGTTCATTGGTCCGAAGGTTCATTAGTCCGAAAATTAAAGGTCCATTGGTCCGAAGGTTCATTAGTCCGAAGGTTCGATAGTCCGAAGGTTCATTAGTCCGAAGGTTCGATAGTCCGAAACATTTTAAGATGTTCTTCGATTTTAAGAATTATAATTACAAACGGAATCTAAGGGTGCGTTCCCAACGAANCTTTCTATATTGTTACTGGAGTTTTCGTCTGGCTCCGGAGCTAGCATGTTGTTTTCCTGGGAATCTTAGCAATGTGTGCCCACTCACTCTACATACACGCCCCACAATACTTGACTGACAGGTGTCAGCAGATTGTGTTGCGACTGACAAGTGCCCACAACCAGGGGAATAAGGTTCACGTTTGGTGATGTAGAAGGTTTTTTACGGCTTAAAAAAATGTTTCTTTTTGCCAGTACTTTTTGTTGCATATGAAATATTTTAAATCAAGTAAATGTGAACCGCACAGGTTTTATTTCGAAACTTGGTTAGGGCATCTTTTAACCTGGCTTAACTCAGTCTCATAGTTTTAGAGTGTAAATATTGATTTCCTGAGTTAGTTTCATTATTTTTTATATATATATACCAGTGTCTATGAAATGTCTTTGACTGTCGTTAGGGGGCGTCTCGATAGTCCGAGCGTTCTTTGGTCCGGCGAAAAATGGTAACATTTTCATCGGGTTTTTTAATCAAGGGTTCATTGGTCGGAAGGTTCTATAGTGATCATTCGGACCAATGAACCTTCGGACTATTGCTACGGCCCCGTCTATAGTACCCCTGGTTGTACTTTATTGTTTCTGCGACTCCTAAGAACCCAGTTTACAGCGCACCACCGTCTGAGTTAAGAGAGGAGCAGCATTAAGAAACACATCTACTGCAATCGCGTCTGATGCCCCTATTTCACACAGACCACGAATCCCACGAATGGCCATGAATTGACAAACTTCAGGATTCGTGGTTGAATCGTAATCAGCTCGTGAAGTTCTTAACAGATTCGTACATATTCGTAATCAGTTCTTGCACTTCTTGACCAACAGGAATTGGTGGCAAAAACTTTGATGCCCCTATTTCACACAGATCACGAATCCCAGGAATTGAAAATTTCAGGATTCGTGGTTGAATCGTAATCAGTCCGTGAAGTTCTTAAAAGATTCGTAGGCCTATATAATCGTAGACAGTTATTGCAATTCTTGATCAATCGGGAATTCGTGGCAAAAAATTTGAGCCGTTCAAAGTTTTGGCCACGAACTCCAGATTCCAAAAAAATCGTAGTGAATTTCTGGACAATATTCGTGCGATTCCAGCCGAATCCCACGAATATTCGTAACAATATCGTACCTGTATCGTAACTGAATCGTGAGCGTGTCGAATTAGACCAGAAAATTGGCAAAATCTCACGAATCCTTACGAATCCTGAAATTTGTTAATTCCTGGCGATTCGTGGGATTCGTGGTCTGTGTGAAATAGGGGCCTGACACTGCACATCATCTCTGCATCCTGGAGTTACTCTTGTGGCAATATATAAGTAATTAGAGTTGATCCGTATCTTTGTCCCCTTACAATTTACAAGTTTTTTCATGTTCACAACGCACCTATCTTGTTGTAGTTTAATCACAAAAAACAACAACAACAACAACAGAAAAAAACAGATTTTGGGGGTGAAGAAACCATGAGCACTGCTACCTGTAAGTGTAGTAGCTTAAGCATGTAGGAAAATTAATACTTTGGAGTATGTGGGAGACCCCCCCCCCCTCTTAACTGAAGCCCCTACCGGCACCCCCTTTAAGGATAGTCAATGTTAAGGTTGTTCAGGTCAGGGAGGGAGTTGGCGTTACACAATGAAAAAATATCTTAAACATATAGCCTACCGCTTCATTCAATGTTGATTCAATTTTACCTCTATAAACCAATCTAAGGGATAGTGCTGCCTGGTGTAACTTACGTTGCGTGAGAGATTCTGTTATTTGGTATTTATATACATTGAAAGAGCATGAAGAAGAAAATGCAATTATACAGGTACACGTGAATACATAAAAAAAGATAGCTTTCAGTACGCTTAGTTTTTTTTTTTTTTTTTAATTGTGGCAAGGGGGGATACATTATATGGCATTTATACAACCTAAAGGTAAAATTTCATTAAAGAACATTCCCTTTTCCATCCAGAATGACCTAAGCTGGGTTTTAATCTTTAATAAAAGGGGTTTATCAGAGATGTTGAGACCTGTAAATGGTATCTAGGGGATTTACTAAGGAGTTGCGAGGTTGCTAAGAACACTATAACCCGAGTAGAGATAAGTCACAGGAGCCTTTGCTGTGAAAGTCATCAAAAATGCATTTGATGTGACAAGACTTTGAGAAAATTAATTCACTAGATGACTATATATAGCTTCATTCAATGTGGTGCGAGACGTGAACAGGATCTTCCCTGAGTTTACCTCGTATCATATTTTAAGAAATTCAATACCTCCCATTGCCACAGGCGAAACTCACTGGTTGCAGACCTGGTGAGACGCACAACAGTTAAAAAATCAAAAGGTAAGATGTCAGTCTTAACTCATACAACGCAATTTTAAATAGTTGATAAATGTTGTTCATTAAGGTATAAAATATAAATCATATTACCTTTACCTCTGTGAACTGACAATGAACAGAAAACGCTGTGAATTAGCCATTTTGTGTTTTTCTATTTTTTTCCGGTATTTACTATTTCTTCACGAGTCAGGTAAGTTACATGTATTATTACCCACTGTGAAGGTAAATCATAACTGGGAGATTACCTGTCCTACAGACGTGTCACTAAAACAAGCTATACCAACCTCTATAGGTGCATAAGATTTCCTAAAATACAAAAACGCGGTTGTGCTATTTGAAAATAAAATTTTGACAAAATGTTACTTGGCAGACATTTTCATACTTTGTTATGTTTACATAAGCTATAGTATTTGGAAAATGACCTAAGTCATTTTTGCTGAACTTCCCCGGTACGGGGCGCTCTACATCGGTGAACAGACTGTGCTGTCTTTTAACTCCGGGGTGTCTAAAACAGACTGCCTAATTCAATTGCCATCGGTAACTCGGTTATTTTTAGCCAGTTTTCAAGCACATAAACTATAACTTTTGAACCGTTAGTCCGATTTGAAGACTGCTTACAGTTTTGGAATCCATGTACAAAATCGATTTTATCGTTGTATTAGAGGCCTGAATTCTAAAAAAAATGATGGCTTTATGCAGGCGTTGCATATGGGCCAATTCATTCGTTTCAAGCAAAATGATCAACAAAAAGGCAAAAATCGAGTCACAAACCCATTAGAAAAACAAAATAGCCTCTCCCATCAACCCGATTTCTTCTGTAGGATCCCTAGGTCCTGTTCTTTTAAGAACATTGTGCTTGTTTGAATGGTTAAGGTGTAAGTCTTTATATAGAACGTATATCAATTTGTTCTTTTCACCAATTGAGTTTTATCTTTACAGTGAATGACAATCCTCAATGAAGTTATTGGTTTAGGTCCAAGCTGTCGTCGTAGATCACTACCTTAAAGACTGAAAAACAAAATTTTGTGCAAAGGTCACTGAAATGTACAGAGGAAGACATGTATGCAAATGGATGTATTACAGTTTCAACGTTATTATAGCTATAGCAAATATTTCAATGATATTGATGTTACAAAACTACAGACATCATGACAAGGTGGTCACTGATAGGGCTGAGAGACAGGACCTTAACAGGGTGATCCTTGAATGGCATCCCAAGCAGCATTTTCAGAGGAATAATAGCTCATTTGAAGCACGCGCGGAGGAGAGATTGACGCCAACACTCGACAATCAGCATGTCAACGTCACTGGCAATTTTGGGGGCAAAATGGCACAAAGAACTACTACACCACCAAACAACGCCAGTAAAAATATAATACGGAAAGTCATAAAAGACTTTAAAGTAAGGACGCGCAAACTGTATTCGTTTAATTGTTTACCTCTCATAAGAGGTGATAAGAACGCCGTTCAATCAACACTGCTGATGCTGCGTAAAAAGCCATACATCCCAGCCACGGACGAATTTTTGGAGTCCTTAACCCACTCAGAACATTGTAAAACATTCAAATTTGTCCTTGGTTATGCAGACGCACCTTTAAGTGTTGAGGAGGCTGAATTCCCCATAGCATATAGTATAAAGCTTCATCAGTCTGCCGCGCAAGTTGAAAGGTTGCTTAGGAATATTTACATGCCACAGAATGTTTACTGTATCTACGTGGATAAGAAATCTCCTCAGCAATTGCATAAAGCTATGAAAAATCTTGTTGGGTGCTTTGAAAATGTATTTTTCGCTAGTCATGTAGAGGAATTCATTTACGCTTCAAGTTCACAAATGATGGCTGACATACAGTGTATGCGTGATCTTGCTGAATATCCTGTAAATTGGAAGTACCACATCAACCTAGCTGGACAGGAGTTTCCGTTAAAAACAAACTTGGAAATTGTGAAAGTCTTAAAACTCTTCAACGGCACCAATGATATAGAAACATACGTCGATCGCACCCCCAATCAAACGTCAAAACGATATTTTCACGGATGGACGGTTAAAGATGGGCGGATGTACAAGCCTTCATATACCAAGAAACCCGCAAACAAATTTGAATTCCTCTGGAAGGGAAGCGCCTACAATCTTTTCAGTAGAGAATTCGTAGATTTCATTCTTACAGACCCCGATGCCATAACGTTTATTGACTGGTTACACGACACTTACGCACCTGAGGAAGCCGTTTGGGCAACTCTGAACCGCCTGCCGAAGGCGCCTGGGGGTTACCAGTCACCGATAGAGGTCAGGCATGACAGAGACACCCATGCCTCTAGGGCCGTCATATGGATGTGGGACAGGGGTGTTAAGTGTCATGGTATGTTACAAAGAGGGGTGTGTGTGTTTTCAGTTGAAGATTTACCATGGCTTCTCAGCAAGCCCCAATTATTTGCAAACAAATTTTATTTAGAATATGATCCGATATTGATGGAGTGTTTGGAGGAGGTTTTAGAGAATCGAACTAAAATTGCTCGCCCTGAATTATTTATCAATTGGCAATATTATAATAACTTACCTCATATAAAAAATGAGCTGAAGTAGATGTTCTGTGGATCAAAGACATCCAGCCGGACTTGGCACAGAAATCAATCCAAAAACCCAATGAAGGAATTATCGGAGTTTCGGCTGTAATCTCATGAAATATGATTACTCGGTCTTCTGCAAATGGACTTCTGGTCTTCATGGTATGGCCACTACCAGGGAAAACTATACCCAAAATTTCCAAAACATGATTTATTGACTTATTTGCATTCAGAGATGATTTATTCTACTGATTTGCTGACCTTGGATTACTGTAGGAGGAATGTGTACTTCGTCACCTTTTTTTCTAATATCAAACGCCAAATGAATGTCACAAAAAACTTTTGAATCGAGAGGCAATATAAAAGTTCTTTAAAATGGAGTGATTTTAAAGTTCAGTAGGAGTTTTCTTTCTCTTTTTCTCTTTTTCTTACTTTTTTAAATCTATACAATATTTTAAAAGATTTATCTAAAGCATATCCAAACTATGACGGACTCCATTGTCTAATTTAATGGGATTTTAAAAAATCATTCTGGTCAAAAATAAAATAAAACATCAGTTTTCCTATAGTAGTCAATTTATTTAGAAGATATATAAATACATATGTACAGAATTTAAATAGCCCTAGTATACATGTACAAGGTGTTGAAAAGATGAAGAATATGATAAATGTTTCAGATACACACAGAGTTTGTACGTTGACATTCGGTTTTAATTTTTAAAAATACACAATAAAAAGAGTTTGAAAATAAATAATATAGTTTTTAAGGTAACATTTTGATATTTGCACCTCTCTCTCTCTCTCTCTCTCTCTCTCTCTCGATAATAATAATATCAAACAAAGGCAGAAAGTAGAAAAGTCTAATGATCAGACTGGGCCTTCACGTCTCACAGCCCAGCCAATTCTTGGCAGTGTCCAGGGGGCCTGTCATGTACCCGTGTCCACTGGAATGTTTCCAGCGATAATAGATGGCGCCAGAGAAGAAGTAATGCCTTCTGTTCGTCCACTTTACTGCCGCGTCAAGTTGTGTGAGATGCCGCAGTGCTTTGTGGGAACTGAAATGCTGGGGGTATCCGGGAAGAGGGCTATAGCCGTCGTGAACATAGTAGTACTCGTCTAGAATAGTCAGGAATACATACATACGCATTTGTCACGAAAGTAATTATCAAAGCAAAGTTTTTTTTCTTTGATAAATAAGTTCAGCACCGAAAAAATATCTTAACAGTTACGTGTCCTAGGGTGCATGTATGTCATTTCATAAAACAAGACGACCAAAAATTCGTAATATAGAGAAAAAATAGAAATATTATTTTAGAATTTATAATCGCCTTTACCTTTTGTAAAATACAGCTTATTCCCCCATATAAAAACTGCGTCAACGTCTGAGATGTCCATTCCCCATCCGCGCTTAATTGTGATCGGATAGCCGGCGTCCGCTTTGAGATTACCATTGGGATCTACACTATATCGCCAGTATTCATTACCCTTTGAATCAAGAAAAATATCAATAATAACATTTCTAGCAATTTTGAGAGGAAATGTACATGTATATATATATATACCGAGATATGTGGAGTTAATCCAAAATTATTAAAATCGTCATGATTTAGATATCTGTTACAGTAACACGTACCGCTGAGCACTAAGGGGTTGCATACATTTAAAAAGATCAAAACAAAAAATAATTAAATAACGTATCTCAGAGAAAAACGTCTAATCAACCATTACCTTGAAAAGATATGTAACCTTTCTATTAAAGTAAGTTAATGCAGCGTCCACTGAATGGGGACCACCAGGAAAAGCTGTCCATATTGGCTGCGGAAACTCTTCGGCTACTGAATACCCGTCTGACTTCAGTATAAACACCGTTTTTCCTGATTTGATTGACAAAAGACAAGATTTAAAGGCGGTGCAATTTTTTGACTGAAATTTTCAATCTCCATCAGTCAAATCAAAATATGATTGCATTATAATTCAATTGACAAATTTATTTTTAAACCCGTCTTTATCATTGAACGTCACATGCATGTATATGCTATGAAACTATGAAACTTTGGAATAATCTGCCGTTAACTATAACACAGGCAAAATGTTGACGTTTGACTTCACTGAAAACAAATAATGGATGTTAACAAAGTATAAGCATTTTAGTTTAGTAATACTGCTAAATGAGTTTTTGTCTCTGTTCTTTTTGTTGTCATTTTATTTATTTCTTTATTTATTTATTTATTTATCGTCAGCGTATTTATTAATTCTAGATGCATTCTGAAAGGTGAGGTATTTTATGGAATGTGGCAAAAGGAATTTGTCATAATCATCATCATTATTATTATTAAATAAAGATGATATGGCGATATTATTCGACGGATTTCTTACCACTAAACAGGTAGGTTCTTCCGTCCACAGCGACAGTGGCGGCATCTATTCTCTTCCCGGAGCAATAGTTTTTCCTTTGCGACAGCAATCCTGCTTCACTACCAGGAGCTCCTAAATGAAAGAAGCAATATGACTATCCATCACATATATTATAGTCACCATATACAGTTATTTTACTTTCTTAAAAAATACTCAACTATCTACAATGAGATAAGTATTTACAATGAGATAAGTTGGCGTTAAAAAACTGCTCATCAAGTCACTGCCAGGAGTGATAAAAATAAATACTTAGTTTTTATTCAAAATAACACTGCGTTCATATACAAATAACGTTAAATATATAACAAAAAATAGTGAGCACTGACCATACACCTTCTGTATTCCTGCTATATCGTCCTCGTGAAGTTTGAGGTTGTCTTTGTATTTCGGCGTGAAGGGAAACATGATCGCGTCTTCAACCTCGGAGTGGGAGAGCCCTAGACTGTGTCCAAATTCATGCACCGCTACGTACAGTAAATTCCTCCCTAAAACAGGTGCGTTAAATTGATAAGAATCATTCTTGACATACAATTTTGTGTACTTCCATCTTTATTACTTAGGACATAGGTAGTGTTCCAGAAAAATACACTGTAGAAAGAGGGGAAAACTAAGTTTGACAAAAGGCGCAAACCTTTGTGTGTATCAAGAGTCCACGTTTCGTCTTCATCAAAATGAACCTTCCCTTGCTTGCTGGACTCAGGTGGGAAAGCATGGGCCAGTATGACCCCCTCACCATCAAACGGGTGTTCATCACCGTGTTTTCCTGACAAGAAGCGGATTTCTAAATCTGCGGGCAGTTTGTATACCTGGTGAAACCTTAAAGGGGTCACATCTGCCCAAAACTACAAGAAAATAATAACATATGGTCTTTATAATAAGATTATTTAATTACTTGTAACCTTGATTTAATAACTTTATCATTTATTACATTTTTTATCGATTTAAGATATATTTGTATATATAAAGAACCTGCACCCGGGTTAGGACTGCTTATTGTTTGCTTTTCTCAAGCATTTTTGTTGTGTAAACTTCTTACACGTCTCATTTATACAGTCATCTTATCCACTTCAGTCCCCGTTTTGTGTTTACCTCCTGTGCTTACCTGAAGAGCTCTCATAATCGTTTTATCCACATCTTTTTTTGTAAGATCATTGGTATAATCTCGTACGATGTACGTCAGGTCATGTTTCTTCCACCTTTTTCCTGAATAAAAAAATCGTAGATGGAACCAGTTTTAGTTGTGGAAAATAAATTATCTTCATCAAGTTTTGCTTAACTTTACTGGTTTTATTTGGTTTTTGTTTCTTAATATATAAACACGGGGATTATCATGTGCTAGCGTGATTCTTGAGACGATACCTTGGAGCACATATCTTTTCCGTCGATGAGTTTCCTTGGAATACTCGTGCGTACAGCGTGGTGGAGCCGCAAGTTTGTCAAAGCCGGTATAAATAGTGACTGAAAAAACGGTGAGATGTTCATGTAATTGGACTCACAACTTCCTGAGTGTAAAACCAAACCTTTAACTTAATATAAATTAAGAAAAAAAGGGCGATGTGGTGCAGGATCGCCAGCATGAAAAGGAACAAAACTAACCCAATCCGTAACGAAATGAAGGAATTTAAAATGAAGGAATTAAATGAAGGAATTAAAAATATTACCTATTTTAGGCATGTACTTGAACTCTGTCGCCTTATTTCGGTCCCTCCGAACTTTTGGATAAGTCTGTCCCTCCTGATAAGATAAAAGTTCCATGAAAATAAAGCACTTAGAAAATATATATATATATATATATTTATATGAATATGGAGCGGGGAGGGGGGAAGAATAAAAAATACACTGGTAAATAGAATGCTTTGGTTTATAGAAACAATTGTTCTAAATATAAATGAAGATTTCGTAATTTTTCCTAAAATTGTAAAATAAAGGTCAAAATGTTCTGCACAAATGTCAATACATATTCAGCCTCGAGTTAAATTTAGCTAAGCAGACCTTGCAGACATAACGAGAGAAAAACTGAGTAATTGTCCCGCGAATATTTTCTCTTTCGGGTAAAATATAACTTTGTTTGTACATGCAGCGTCGCCAGTGAAATTACTTAGAATAAAAAAATGTATGTAGACCTTGTCGTATTCATTAAGGCCACGTGTTACATTAACCAACTTTCGCGAGTAATGTATATGAATGTAGCGCAATATCATGAAAGAGTAGTCTTATTTGTGCCACTTAATTTACAAACATTTTGCGGTTGAAAATAACTGCTGACTAAGTTTACATCTACTAAAAACAGTTGCCATACGTGGATAGGGTATTTCGAAAATGAATGATTCTTACTGAAACAATTGCTTAAAGAATGGAATAACATTTCATTATTTCGGATGTTTTTTACATCAGTGCGTAGGAGTGAAATCAAAAATCGTCCTATTCTGATTTTAAAAGTATTTGAAGGGTTCTTGGTGAAGAAATATACATGTAGATGTCAACAGTTAATCTTCTTTTGTCTGCAACTCGGTGTTGATAAAACACAAGATGTTTAAATTTCAGTGAACAGAGCATTGTATAAAAAGAGCTGTCCTAGCGTAACCCTTACAGATGCAAACAAAAGTGAAATGAACAATGAGATCATTAATCCTGTCCACACACCACCACGGCACAAACCACACTCCGCTCGATCACCGAGTGCGTTTCCCTTGCATTGTATGACCGCAACTATATCTCTGCTCAATGGAAATTCTTTGTAATCGGCCCTCCTTTCTAAAATCCTTTCTCCCAGGATATGGGACATAAAAATCTACTTTTGCCTGAATTTAGAAATAAATGGAAATGTTTTCCCCAATTAAGCCATCACATTTTTGGCTTCGCCGCTTACTAAAATAACATGAGTTATGTTCGTGGTCTATCACCCTAAGGCATGACATTTAACGTGTTTTTTATGTCTAATACGTACTTGTTTCTTAACAACAACACTTACCCACAGATCTATTGCGTCGTCGTCCTCGCTGAGAACATGTCCAGCTCCATCTCTGAGTAAATTCAACGGCACTGGGTTTACTCTGGAGACTATGATAATAGAAAAGCTCACCAACCAAATCGTGTTCATATTTATCATTAAACAGAGTCGTGCAAGACAAACGACTACACTGTTCAGTAAGGTCTCCCTCTCTGTACTTTTCCCGCTCCCAAGCTTGCTTTTTTCTCGCCTTTAAAGAATAAACCCTGCAACGTGCTGTTTTTTCGGAGGAATTTTGATACGATTATCAGTTGTGCGTTTTATAGATAAACAAAACTTATATGCATCTCTTGCCAGATCCCCACTAGGTTATGGCCAGAACACGTTTTACGTCTTGTTATATGCTTGGACGTTACAAGGGCCTGGCCGCTGTGCCAGGTAAGGAAGTTCAGCATTGTCCGACTCACGGACAACTGAACAAAAAGTAAGACTGACGTGTCTTGCGGACTGACTGTGCACAGTGATGATACATAACTACAAAGCTTTTCTATTTCCGCTCCATTTCAATGAAACGGATTGTTTAATCTCTTTTTTCTAAACAAACCCCAAATTAGTCTTTAATATCTTCCAGACTGTTTGGTCAATTGTAGGGTATACAACATTTAGGTATTTCCTGACAACTCTTATCAAGTGTACAAATTCCGATTTCAGGTGAACAGGGTCCATAACTCAAGCCGTGTCACACCAAGTGTGCATTATAATTAGAATTGTTATATGTTTTGCAAACCAGTAATGTGTCAAGATTCCAGGGAGCATTACCGTTTAATTTCGTTGTCTGCGGTCGTCTCGTGCACTTGGCAATAAATCTTCACCCAGGATTGCGGTTAACTACTTAATACTACCAAAAATTTGGAGGTTTGAGGTCGGGTTAGTGTTTTGAGTTGCATTATTTGAACACAATACAGAAAGATGACAAACATCGTTGTTTGAGGAAGCCTTTTTCAACTATTTATTCATGATCGACTTTGATGTGATTCTGAAAGACATTCTAATTGTTACACCCGTTTTTCAAAACAATGTTGCTAGGATAGGTACCAAGTGTGATAGTTTCCCGGTTATCCCAACCAAGGCGACTTCTTCAATTTCTACATTTTATTGTCTGTTTTCTTAAACGCATATATATATATATATATATATATATATATATATATATATATATATATATATATATATATATATATATATACACACACACGTTGCTCGATATTTCTGCTTTTACCCTGCAACCCCATCTGTCAGCACCCCCTCCCCCTCCCCCTGGCCCTTGCAGTGAAAGAAGTCTGGATCTACCGCGAATAATTTATAAGTTGTCACATTAACTTTGAATTGTTATGATAGAGGGTTGCTTTTCTAATAATGAGATGCAACAGTATGTGGTTGGGCATGTGCTGTGTCCATCAAGAAAAATTACCAGCGATTTTTAATGTTTTTCGTAGCCTATGCTAGTATGTGGACAGGAGTAATTGTGCTGTAGGTAAATACCGCATACTTAAGCCCCATATAGAAAACTTAATGTGACGCAGAGTCTTCGGCTCAACAAATGGTTTTAGACAGATTTTATTGTAAATTCAAGCGGATTACTGGTAAAGTCATGAAAACCGATTTCGGTTATTTTTCATTTTGTGACTTCACTGGTCCTGGGATAAAAACCACTATGACAAAAATGATACTTTCCAGGGCCATACATACTCACTGACTTGCTAGTAGTCTTTACAAAATTATTGTATCGCCTATACTTTGATTTTGTATACTATTTTAGAGGAGCCTCATATCATTTATGTTATTTTAGGAAAAGGTATTTTACATGATTCTCATCGTTTTATATAATTTACCCTTATTCAAGACATGTAGGTGACTGCTATCAAATAAATATAATTTTATGATAAAGATAATATTATGAATATTTTCCAGAATTCTGAGATTGGACTTTATAAAACAAATTCATAAAGACAAAAAATAACTAAAAAAATTTTAACAAAGGAAATTGTTTATTGTAGAAATATGAATGAATGCATGTTTAAAATAGAAAATAAATATTTAACGTGCTTCGAAAAAGACACGATCAACATACTTTTCACCGCATCAAAAAGACAGACACAGTTAAAAACTTTAAATACAAAAATATGACTTCGATATAAATGAATAAGATAATGCTTTCAAAGCATAAAATTATTTAAGGGTCTCAGTTAACATTTGAGACGTAATGTATAAAATACAGTTATCATTTCATCTCTTCCAGTTGTTTGATTTGATGCATGTTTGATGTCTGATCAAACAACTCATAATTAAAATCTAAATTATAACCATGAATTTACATGAAGTGCATGTTATAAAAGAAATCATGCCTTAATATATCATTAATTTATTTTTGGTGGTGATTAAATCGTCATTAAAATTGCACAGCAATTCCTGAGTAAGTTTCAGTTCACTTTGGTATCACAGCGATAATTCTCATGGTGCGGTCTCAGCTCAGTAGTACTTGGTATTTCGGCAGCCCAGCCAATTGGCTGCAGTGTCCAGGGGTCCGGTCATGTAACCATTTCCATTATTGTGTGTCCAGCGATAGTAAGTGTTGTCCACGAAGAAATAGTGTTTCTTGTTTGTCCAGTGTACTGCTGCGTTGACTTTGGGCAGGTAGCGGAGCGCCTTGTGAGTGCTGTGGTGTTTGGGGTAGCCGGCTACGGGGTAGTAGCCGTCATGCAGGTAATAGTAACTTCCTGGAAAAAAATTCATCATGAGTAATTATCAGCATATTTTAATTTTATGTGCTTACTTTATATATATATTTTTTCTGCATACCCCTGAAGGTGTAGTATTTTTCTTCATCCCTTTATCAAACTTTTATTTGGTTCTATTTGGTTCTATTTGGTATAAAACCTTCAAGAGAGTAAAACGGTTCGAAATTATTCCTCAGGCCTTTTACATACCTTTCACAAAATAGAGTTCATCATTCCATGGGAATACAGCGTCAATATCAGTAACATCCAAGCCCCATGCCTCTTTAATACTTTTGGGGTATCCTGCGTCTTGCTGAATTCTCCCATAGGAGTCTTTACTGAACCGCCAGTAATTTGCCCCCTGAATATATTAAAGGGTTATGTTAATGATATAAAATTGAATATTAGTGAAGTTGCTGAATATGATAAAAATAATCTATTCAACATACATCAATTCTACATCAATTTGTTCAAAGAAAAAAGGCTCAATGGTATTGCAAAAATTCCACAACACTTATTATGATGTTTATACTTATATGGCATGCATTGAGAAAATGAGGCTATTTCTTTGACAACTCACCTGGAAAAGGTAAGTGACGCGGTTATTGTAGTAGGTCAGAGCAGCATCCACCGTGCTGGGGCCGTTAGGGAAGACTTCAGATATAAATTTAGGGTATCCCGGCTCCAACCCGATACCGCTGTAGGTAAGCTGGTAGACGTATCGACCTGAAATTACAGGAAAAAGATTGTAAATTGTAAATCAGTGAAGACTTATCTTAAAGAGTATCAACACAACTAAATTATATACACGTTTAACTGTTTATCCCAAGTTGTTAATCTAGATTAGTGTACTTTTACGTAATAATAGACAAGCTTGGAATTGTGAAAAAAGGAAAAAAATATTACGGACAATTTTTTTATCAAACATCTTTCCATCGGGATATTTCCACATCAAATTGATCCACTTGTTTTAATGCAAATCATCAAGAGCATATAAAACCATTGATATCAAATATATCATTATCATACACTATATCATCATTATACATATCACCCCGAATTACCTCTGAAAATATATGTTCTGCCGTCCATTGCCACGGTGCTGGCATCAGCGTAGCCCGCGCACACGCTGTCTGGTGCCACAGTAGGTTTAGGGGTCGTAGTCGTTGTTGTGGTTGTGGTGGTTGTGCTTGTTGTGGTGGTTGTACTTGATGATCGAGGAGCTCCTAAAAGAAGTGAAAACTAGGATAATCGTAAAATCAAACAACTTTGTCAGCAATAGTACGAGGAATATGGACTGTACGCTACTTTGTTGATTTTACACAACCCCTCTTCCTCTCCCTTCCGTCTCTCTCTCTCTCTCTCTCTCTCTCTCTCTCTCTCTCTGTTATGAACTTACCGTAAATAGCCTGTATTCCAGAGATGTCATCGGCGTCAAGTTTAAGATCAGGGTCATAGCCTCGTGCGAATGGATACATAATGGAATCTATTTCACCGGAATGGTACAACCCCAGACTGTGACCAAACTCGTGTACTGCGACATACAGTAAATTACGGCCTATAAATATAAAAAATCAAAATTATATTAATTTATAAGTCACAAATGAAATACATGGACATCACACTAAATAACTAGAAATAGTATCTAGATTTATCATAATTTTGTGAAGCAACATAAGAAAATAATTGACCAAATATTTAATACCATTGTGGCTCCTGACTGTCCATTTTTCGGCCTCATCAAAATGTGTGTCACCAGAGAGTCCAGTACTGACCCCATCTGCTGGTGGCGGGAAAGCGTGTGCCAATACTCCACCCTCGCTGTCAAAGGGATAGCCGTCCGTGTGGTCACCCCCCGCGAAGCGAATTTCAATATCAACTGGGTGTTGGTACACTTGCTTGAAGCTCAGAGGGGTAACATCTGCCCAGAACTGAGAAAAGAAGAAATCAAAATAAACAGTTACCTGCCCAGGATGACTGCAACGATCTGAAAACCTTAGCGGAGTAATATTTCAGTATTACATATGAACCATGCTCCAGTTTTGATGAATAGAAGGAAAGAGGGCTTGGACCTGACAGTTGCATGTAAGGGGGGATACGAAACCAACTCATGAAGTACAGTAGTCACGAGACAGAATATCGTAATTTAACAAAAAAAAAAAAAAAAGGAATATATTTACAAATTTCTGAAAAATGCACCACACGTGAAAAAAAGGATCAAAATATCGGATATCAGAAAACCAAACCTGAATACAAAGGAAACGTCTGTTAGTGTGATTCATACAGATAATCGAAAAAAGTTTACCTTGAAAGCTTTTCTTATGGTGTCATCTACCTCTTGCCGTGTCAGATCCGGTGTGTAGTTCATAATCATATAAGTCACTTCGTCTCTTCCCCATTTGTTTCCTAAAATTCAATTACATCGAAAATTATTTTATCTGATCCACTTCCCTTGGTTAACCGCCATTGTGTACGCTGTGAGACATCTTCCGCTGTAACTAATACACAGGCGACATGCTATGATTTATAACTTTATCTGTATATTGTTGGTTTCATTTGACAGAAATACATTTTGCCCGCATGCTATGCTCTTGGGCTTATGTCTAAACAAAAAAAAAGGAAAACAGGTTAAAAATGATGAGAGTGTTTTCCATGGAGACAGCTGCAGGCAGAAAATCACTTACATAAATGGTGCAAGAAAGTGGGCATACCTTGCAAAACGTATCTCTTCTTTCTAGTGCCTCCTCCATGCTCACCGTCTTGGAAGTCTTTATTTCCACAGCGTGGGGCGTTCATCATTTCCATGGTCTTATCGTCCATTTCACCTGAAACAGAAAATCAACTCTAAAGTCATTAAAGAAATTAAAGCAGCATGATTGACTTGTGGTTCATTTGTAATTTGTAAATGTAACTAAAGAGGCGGTAGGAAATGAAATTGTATATTTTGGACGCTACATTTCGTTTCTAAAGCACCCGGGAACAGGATTGCAAGCTTTTTTTACCTGTTTCTGGAATTCGTGCTAATTTCTGGAATTTCATCACAGCCGATTTCATCATTGTTCCAGGAGCTATCCTGGACCTCATAGCTGTCTCTGTCACGTACCCAAAATCATGAAGGTAGTTCTGGAAAATAAATAAATAAATAAACGTGTTAATAACAAACTAAAGTGGGGATTTGATTTGGTGAACTTGCTGCAAATCTATAAAATAGTTCAACTTATCCCAAAAGTGCACTCAATGAAAACATTTGGTTAGATTACACAGCAGGAAGACTCAAAGCTGGGCCATGTTTTGAACTTAACAGAAGATAAATAAGAACTCCTAAAATAACATATTCTAATGGTTCGTTCTCATGTGTGACACACACATGTATAAATATTTTTGACTGTTCATTTCATCGTCTTATGATAATATTATTTTGTTTCTCTCGTCGTATAACTAATCATTCCCAATTGTTTCTTTGTGCATTTTTGCTTAGTAACAATGTAAACTGAGTCATCATTGGGAAATATTGTGTGGTTTCCGTCAAGAAGACCCGGGGTCAAAACAAGAAGAAAAGTAGGGGTTGGCGCGTGGTTACTGGCACAAAGTTCAGCAGCCACGCTATAAAGAAATACAACTACTTAAATTTCAGGTTGTCCTGAGGGTAAAAGATTATCCTCTTTAGAAAAAAGAACCTTTCAGCACACCTTACCACGAAAGCAAACAAGTAAGTGCTTGTAATAAAAAGAAAATATATAAACACACTAAGTCCTTTAGATCGCTCATACCTGTTGCGCATTTGCTCACAGAAAATTATTCGAAAACAAAAAAAAAACAAAAAAAAAAAAAAAAAATCGAAAAAGTCTACATGAAATCTACATAATACCCCTTGTATTTAAAATTACAATATAATTCCAGACTAAATTTTCACAGTATTCTTTAATGACGATCGTAATTAAGATGCCTTTGATAAGAGTTATGAAATAATGCCAAAGTGGCCGAGAAAATCTGAGATTATGGTTATGACATATAGGACTAAATACACTGTGCGCGTTTGACAATACCCAAAGTTATATTTCTATGTATACATACATGTATCTACAAAGCCACAAATCTACCCCAATTCAGACCTTGGAATAATAAAACCTCTCAAATAGAATTGTCTGATGTCGATATCTTTTAATGCACAGGAAGAAGACAGAAAGGTCTAAAAGTTACGGGAAATATTAGGTACTAGATTATTTAACTTAAATGTATTTAAATATCGAATCGAAATGTAGGGACGGGCTGAGCAATGATTCGTGAGTAGGAAAAAACGATATCTTTAAGTTGTGAGCGAAGACCCCAAATGTATGCTAGCATATTTACGATCAGAGAGACAAAATATTTTAATATTTTAAAAGATAAATTAACAAAAAACATCCGTGAACTAGGTTTTCGATTGCAGTGTGATGTAGGCCTACATGTTTACTCCCAAGCCAATTCACTACGCGTTAACGTTCTTCTCCCCTTGCATGCCAGTTTAAAAAGGGTTTAAAGATGAAATGAAAAAAACATTAGCTTTAACATGCATTAAACAATAAAAATAATTGAAAATGAGATATTTACGTACCATTCCATCAAATGAATTTCTGACCAAGCCTCGTCTCCTCCCTCTGCTAACTTTACCTCCGTGTTTTCCATGGCGATCAAAAGGTTTGCCAAACCCCACGTCGAAGGAGAGGTAAGCAAAAACTAAAATAATTGCTATGCTTTTCATAACTTTTGGTAAAATGAACAAGTTTATTAAAGAAATGTTGTTGTCGATAAAACTGTACACTAAAATAATTTGTAAATTATCTTATGCCAGATATCTCTCGAAGTTCAAATATGATGGAAGTGAACGCGTGTTGGCTTAAGTACTCTCACGCCCGCACTGAAAATAGGAAGTCCAACGCATGGGCGATGACACGTGAAATTAAGAAATAAAGACGCTGGTCAAGAAACACCGACACGTATTTCCGTGTAGTTCCCATGTTATTGTTATAACGTCAGGTACAGGACAATTTAGACGTTACATACCATGAAAAGGTATTTCACTGCAATCGACTCTTATTCACCGGATATTGAACGGCACCGTTACTAAGATTACATGTTAGGACATGTATGTGACTCACTTTAATGACGATCGTAATTAAGATGCCTCTGATAAGAGTTATAAATAATGTCAAAGTGGCCAAGAAAATTTGAGATTATGGTTATAAAATATAGGAGTTAATATTTTGATCGATGTACATTTTTCGTGAAGTTAGGTTAAACTAATTAAATGTTGATTTATGTTTGAAATTCATTTAAATTTGAATGAAAATGAGAGCAGAAAAACAGCCATGTCTAATTAAAAGTTTTAAGACGTATAAGAAAAATGCTGATCTAACATAGAATGGGAAATTTATACAAATACCAGATTTCATACATTTACATATTCGGTGAAATACAAAAGTTTTAATAGATTTTGCTTTTAAAATTTTCGTCAGTCCCAGGCCTCACTGCCCAGTCTTATCTACTGGGATGAGTGTTTTCTGGGTCGAGTCATATAGGGTGTCAATACAATTTATCGATGTCATCAAGTGGTTGATAGGCCTACATCTAAACATATTCTTGTATATTGAGTAATGTTTACTTCCGATAAGGTTGGTTATAAGGGCAACTAACCATTGTCGACAGTAGGCCAGTGCTTGTTTGCTTTTTAATTTTCAGATGGGCCACAAAATTGCACTAGTGCCTCCGGGGAATGCCCCCTGTTAAGAGTTGCGAAAGAAATCGAATGTGATGTGATTCCTTCACTGTATGTAACCAGGATTGGCAAGAAATACATTCTTCTATTTGCCCCCTTGTTTTTTTTTTTATTTTACTGGTTGACGCGCTGTCTTCACACAGCAATAGGAAAATAAAATTGCTGATTTTAAGGAAATAAGGATTTATTAAGTTTTTGAAACTATGAAAAGGACACCACACCTAAAAATAAGGCGAAATAGGAAATGTACCCAATTACCTTTATCTGTATTGTTGTTGTTCTCATCCGTTGTTTGTCTCGCAATATAAGACTTACATAAGTTAATAAAACTGCTGTGGATCCCCTTTGGAGCAAACTAAGGGTGTGCAACCGCCAGGGGGGGGGGGGGGGGGGTCAGTTTTATCTAGCGGGCAAACATTTATAGTCGTAACTCAGTGTTTTATATTTTAAATCCAGTTGCAACTTATATCTATCAACAGCAGTGAAATTAGATTAACAATAATATTTGACTAAAATCATTTTTGGCTGGCCCTTGAATCTAAGACATATTTAGTTAAGAAAACGGGGATTAAGAATGTGGTATTTCCTTGACAACATGAGTACGCTTGTCCGCATTCTGGCATATATTTGTCAAAAAAAAATCAGTGGTGTCTTTTTTTTCAACAAATAAACTGCACGTCTGTCCACATACTGTTGCAGCTTAGTGTTGTGAGAAATTCGCAGACGGTTTTAGTCTTTATTTTGCTAAGGGGAGGGGGAGGGAGAGGTGCAAGGTTTTGGAGCAGCCAGAAAAGGTATGTCAAGTCTCCACTCTTAAGATGAAAGAGTACCAATATCATTATTACATTTAAAAATGAATAAACAGATAAAGAATTGATGTGTTAAACTAATAAATACAAATGTTTCAACAAATCGACTTTCGAAATGTAACCGCAGCCCTGGAACCAGCCATGTCAAACACTAGAGTTTGTACAGAAATTGTTGACAAGCTGAAAACTTGTTCTTGCTACTTTTTCGCGGAGGGTTTAATACAGGGTAGGGCTAAAACTCGGCACATGGTCGAAATCTAGGTCATGTTTACAATTACAAGCTAAGCGTACCAGCGTTGCATTAATGACGCGCGCGTTAGCAATACTTAAAGATCCGTTCTTTTCTTTTTTAACTAGGTGTGTTTTCGTTGAAAACTTGCATCAATATTGACTTAATTTTAACAATCGGACTTGACGTATTGCCAGCAGGTCCACACTTTTTCCACACTGAGTGACCTGAGAGCGACCTTTGTACCTTACTTCCCAGTCGTATGGGTCACTGGGTATACAACAACCCGCAGTACACCTGTGACCAAGAACCTGGGAAGCCGCAATAACGTGCCATGAGTTACTTGCAGGGATGAAAATAGACCCAGCGTTAGGTTTTTACGCATTTTTTTTTTTTTTTTTTTGCGGATAAAGCGGCAAATAAATAAATAAATAAATAAATAAAATAAAATAAAATAAAAATAAAATTAAAAAAATAATAATAACATCAATAATGATAAAGACATATAATTTCCCTCCTATTTCTATATTCACTTCTCTGACTTCTGCTATGTTCAAATGTAGAACTACTGAGTGTTTCGAAGCAAAGTGGGTAAAATGTCCGAAAATTATGTCTATTATTTCTGCTCTGTCCAGAGTTATCACCTGCAGCACCCTTATGCACTTGCACTCAACGACAAATAACTCTATTTCATTATTTTTCACTTTTTATTTTAACCTAGCCGAGGTTTGTATTTGAACAATGAATTGTCTGGTCTTGACTGATTCAACTGAACTGGCTGCATGGTTATAGCACCAAGCATAAAGATGTTTTTAAGGATTTTTAAAATATATATAAATTGAAATTCCAATAAATAAATCTATACGATTGGGTTTTAACCAGTTGCACATTTATTTAAAAATATTGCGAATTTGCATTTCCCTTTTCCATTGGTTCGTACGGTTTGCATGCGTCTTCAGCGGAATTGATAATCCAAGGGATCGATGTGAAGGAAATACGAATTGCTCCCATTTTCCCCTGATTATAGCGTTAATGGCTTTAAGTATACAATATCCCCTTCTGTTGTTTTCGGGCTGGGATCATGAGCTTCTCTGCGTGCGTTTGTTATGCCATGCGATTTGTTGGGATGACATATGCTATTGTGTGACCAAATCGCGCGCACTGCTACCTGCATCAAAAATTAATGAAAATAATATCATAATATCTTATTAACAAAATAAGGTTTGGTATATCCGTGAGATGGAGTCCGATTTCAAAGAAAGGCTTCTAAACCATTGGTTTTTCAACTCTCACAAACTCCATGGTAATTTTAAACCTTGCAAGCATTTTCTCTGGTGTAATTATGCACAACATTGCTTATCCTAGATCAACTGTCACATTACAACTAATACTACATAACGAGTTCGCGTAAACTGTTTCTATATCATCATCTCTACATCCATTTTGGCCTGGCTCAAAAGACCCTCTCATTACGTACAGGTACTTAGGATGTTTTTAGTGCTCTCCCCTTCTCCCAAAAAATATACATAAGGTTAAATCAAAACCAATTTATTAAGTGTGCGCTATTATCCTTTTTGATATTGACGTTTTTTCGCAGTAAACTTGAAACTGCATCCGTTAGTTTGGACGTAATAAAAGTACATCTTTTCTAATTTTGTCTTTAAGTGACCTGGGGGCAACCTTTGTACATTACTTCCTACTTGTGTGGGTCATTGCTAGTTGAGTGACCAGCCCGAAGCCGCAACAACAGGGCATACGAAACTTCCAGGGTTAAGAATAAACCCAGATATTTATATGATTTTTAAAATGCGCATGTGGAATGTTATTTCTATACATTAACCCGAAAGACCCTGTGTCCGAAGGGCAGGGTAGCCACAACAACGCGGTATGTGTCACTTCCACGGGTAAGAATAAACCCAGAAATTGTTGTCGTAAGGTTTCATTTCAGTGTGTTTTTTTTTTTTTTTTTTTTGTCTTATCCTTCCGTGGACTGTTCAATATCTTAACATACGTATATAGTATAACTCATCATTACAAAAACGTCGGCTTATACGTCTAGCGCATAAACGGTCCGAAAATTACTCTCTACGTTCATTTGAATGTCCAAAATTTAGTCCATGTGTTTATTTTCCTCACTACGACGGCTTGACTTTTTTCAACAGTGGTTTGCCTGTTAATCGATGATGCAAAAGCTACATAACATAATTCGATTCTTCAAATCTTTGTTTAATTTTTGCTTGAGCTACGTAGAATGGAATGCCGAAACGTGCGCATTGTGGAAGAAAAAACGCCCTTCGAAATTGGTCATCGGTGATTCATAGTCGCACATACACACACGGACAAATAGCAAATACACACATGCGTGCACGCGTACATGTTGATTCTTAGCGCCCGCATATATACCCGATAGTATGCCGTGTACTATAAACAGCTGTGGGTCAAGGTTAGAATTGCACAGCGACAGCTTCATACCGTCTGAGCCGTGGATTATGGGCGCACCAAGTAGTTTGAATAATGGTAACCCCGAGGATGGCCTCTACGGATAGTGAACATCCGGTAGGTTAGTGACCAAGTCAGTGTGTCAGGTGTGTTAATGGTCAAGGTGACTGATGTGAGAGGAGAGGTAAAAGGTCACCATGGAAAATAACCGGTGAATCATAGGATTTGGCACGTACATGTACTCCGGGTCGAGAAACGGGCGCGGACCCACTGTATGTTAGCAGCACATCCACTCAAGTTGGGACGACTTATCTTAGTATATACTGTATTCCTCGATTGTGATTACGATTGTAACAGAACGGAGACGTACTAATCCTATCTGTAGTTAAAAAAAAAAAAAAAAAGGATGATTTCACCCGTAGCCTCGTAGTCTGTTCAGATAGTGGTCACTTTGTTGAGCTGTGCCATCTAGACTGTAAAATTAATGCACCTTGTAGTGCCAGTTACATAATTCTCTTAAGATGATGAGAAAATAGATATTTTAATATTTTGGCAGATAGTCTAAGAGGCAATTAAGTACAGTAGGGATTTTAAAAGACGTTAAAAAGTTTAGTTCTACGTCAGGAATAACGTCATTCTTAAAGAAAAAACTGATACTAAACATAAATACTGTTTAATCATTGACCCTAATTGATAACACTGACTTCCGACCCCCCCCCCTTTACCCAGGGATTGCTAACTGACATACTATTGATAAGTTATATGTAGACTTCTAGACGTTAAATGTAATGCATGCTTTATACTCTTTACTTACGGAGGTGTAGCCTGCCGATGTAGTTAATCAGCAAAAGTGTGATCTTATTTTTCAGAATTACTTCCACGGACTATATCATACGCAGATATACTTTAAGGATTTGACAATTTCCACGTGGTGGGGTGAGATGTTTTCACAACATATAGCTTATATTCCCTAACAAAACACAAAAGCAGTCAAATAATCACTTACAAAATCTATCAAAATAATTAATGCATTACAATATTGCTTTAAGTGATTAAACATACTCCGGGAATTTCTTTTCAGAAAAAAAGAATATTTGTATTTAATTTTCGAGCAAGTGCTGCTAACAATATATATATATATATATATATATCCAGAAATAAACGGGTATGGATAGTTTATTTAAGAAATATAATACATTGGGGCTTGTTGTTCAAGTCCTTATAAGTTATATATGAGGGTCATTTAAAATAATTGAAAGATCACATGATGGGGTTTCAGAAGATAGGGGTAATTTGAACAAGGAGTTCTAACTGTTAGAACGCCTTGGTTTGAATAACATGTAAGATGTTTATTGAAGGACTTTATGGACTGAAAACAAAGTCCCTCTTTTTGTTTAATAATATCATTTTAAATTGGAAGGACGGTGATGGTGTTTACGTATTCGTGGTTGAAGGCGTCATCTGCTTAAACTAATTATTTTTTCAATATCATGTTACTCTTCAGAAGAGTAGCCGTTAGAATAAATACATATATTTTACAAACATAAGTTTCATTCAAGTGTCTATTGCGTTTTATTAAAAATTTATCAATAATTTTGTAGTAAGTTCTTTTTTTAATTATTGCAGGAACCTTAGTATCATGCATGCTACTATTTTTGCTGGCTATTTGTTATGAAGGCCTGAAAGTAGTTCAGGGCGTATATCTAGCGCAGACGACAAGATCTTTTGGTGAGGCCTCTGAAGAAAGATATTGCAGTCGTCAGCAAAGCGGAAAGACACAAGCACACCACGAAAACAAGAAGTCCCCGGCTTTAGTCTTTGCTGAAGTAGAGAAAAGGAAACCGCCAGTGGGTGAGAGAAATGCACCAAGCAAGAAGATCACATCTTTTTTATATGCTTTTAGATACTGGTGAGTGGAAACATGCTCCTAATTAAAAACACGTCCATAGCCTTCAAACTATAAATGCAAACTGTTGTGCCTTTTTCCTTTTGGTGCGCTTTCGAAAAGATCGTCATACAGAATGTACGTTATTAAAGGGGAGAATCTGCAATGATAAGTAACGCAATACATTATATATCACAGTGTCTCCTTAAATGCACCTCCCGATGCGTAGTCTTTAACTTAGACCTTCAGGCCCGTAGCCAGCAATTTCAAAAGGGGGGTTCTTTTTCTGAAAAGGTGGACCTTTTCCCATAAAAACTACATGTACCTACATCAAATTTTACCCAGAGTGGACCTTTTCCCAGCAAAAGGGGCGGTCTTTCGAGCCCCCCGAAACCCCCCTGGCTACGGGCCTGGTCCTTGTTTATTGTAATATTCACTACATGAATACATTGTAACTTAGGCGATTGTTTAACATCATGGCAAACATTTTTGTTTTATATTCAATCAGGATCACAGCACGTAGATGTATATGCATCTGCACGCACTTGCTCCGTTCCTGCATTCATTCATTACAACTGATTCTGGGCTATTTTTTGATGTTGGCAATTATGACCTACAACTACTGGTACCTTTTGGCTGTGTCATTGGGTGCAGGACTAGGGTACTGTCTCCTCTATAGAAAAATGGTCAAACTTGAAAATATCGAAGAGCAAAGAACAGCAGCAATATCAGAAGACGTTACCGATTATCAAACTTTAGAAAGCAATCACCTACTGCACAAGGACTACATAAATATTTTCTCATTGTCGGTTCCTTTCTCTGTAGAAAACCAAGGACTTGGAAAACACGTTAACTCAGAGCATCAGAAAATACGACCAAACTCAAAGTTATATTTGAGAGAAACCTCGGTTTAGAATACCAGCAATTAATGAAATGCCAAATGCTGCACAGCGTGAAAATAGAACCAAAATTGCCTACCTGAACACCTATGTACTCAGCAAGATACACAGTGACACTTAATCCGTAGCCGTGCATATTGACACACATTATGTGAACGCGTACTGCCCACTAAAAGTGCGTGATAAAAAAGGAAAAAAATGTACAGGTAAAAGAAAAAATATATACATTTATTTTCAGTAAGAAGTTTTCTGTCTTTGAATTGTTTGCAATTTGGAATTTATCAGAAAGATGTCAATATATTGACCTCCTTAAGTGATAAGATATCATTATGGGTTCACGATGGACCTTATTCATATCATATATTCGTATATATGATTTTACAGAACACGGAATGTGAGATTAATCCATTAATATTATATACGTTCAATGTAAGCCAACATTTGTCTAGTGGCAGTGTTCTCCCAGGTCGACAATAGTAGATCTTTTCCATCCAAATATGAAATATCCCACTCCTGCTCCGAGGGCAACGGCAAGGCACAAGTAAACTTGATAAGTCATGAAGATTAGCATGAGAAAGTAGCTGATAACAACCTGAACAATATGGAGGAGAGTTTGGAGAAGATGCATCGGATCACACATAGATCTGTAAGAGAAGTGTCACATACTGAATACTTGAGAAAGCGACCGCAATCTTGATAACATATATATATAAGAGATATATACGATATATGCGAAAAAAGAATCAGTGACTGTTTGCATTGTAATTGTAAAACATGTAGGCCTCCTTCATGCAGTTGGAACTTTCCAGGGAATATTTTAGGCAAACATTACAACCTTCAAATTCTTTAAGATGAGATCAATCGTATTTTCTACGTATAGTGGCCTATTCCTCTGGATTTGGTAGAACTTGGAATCGATAAAATATTCAATGTTTTGATTTTATGAACTGAGTTAAAATACTATTTCTTCAATTTCGTTTTCTAGATTCATTCGTGTACATAACCCTACCGCATTATTCCCTTATCTTGCGACAGCCGTGTATCAGAGATTGTCAGTTTTGTGGTGGATGCCTCTATACTAGTGTTAAGACGGCGGCCTTTTGATTGCTGTACAAGCAGTTGTTCTCTCAAGACTTTTAGCCCTTCATATAATGCAGCGAGGATGAAGATTGCGAACCAGGCACCGGCGAGTTCTAAAAAATGAAAAATGGTTAACGAAGAGTTAAATAAACGTCATTAAACGTCTAAACTTTAACAACATTTCTAACAACTGAATTGACGCATGAATTAACATAGGCCTGGGTAGGCAAGAAATATATAAGTCAGAAAACTTAGTATGACTTTTTTATGATCCAAGTTCTTATTCTTAAATAAAGTTTACCTGCACTTTTCATCACCATCCATCCTTTAAACAATATGGTATCACCAAAGTCCGTGTGAAAGTACATCTAAAAGAAATTTAAAAAAAAAAGCTTGAAAAGAAACCATACATAAACTATTAACCAAGCGTATGGCAGTGTCTCATCCAAATAAAGCAGTGACTCCTGCTGGGTCTTTATACAGCAACGTAGTCTAAGATATTTATCACGTAAATAAAACACCACTTAGTCTAATATTTAAGAAATAAACATCTACATTTGGATCAGGTCGTAGACAAGGACTGGAATAGTTCTAGTGCCATATACGTTTGATCTATAGACATATAGACACACAATATGCCTACACACACACGTTAACATAACAAAGATTTGTTTAATTTATATTTTTAATCGTTTAAAGTTTATTTCCACAGTTAGACCCGTAACTTGCCACCTCCTTACAACAGAATTTACAATCAAAATTAGCGTGAATATCACTGTGTGAATGTGTATAAATTGAGTTTGAAGCGTGTAGTAGTTTTTATGCTCCTCTGATATTTTGAATATTCCTTTATTAGCACTTACACGGTGGCTGCCTGATAATATGAGACTAGATACATGTACTAAAACGGTTTTTAAGAATGATAGAAAGTGGGACTTTGTCGAACACTAATTTTTCTCAATCACTGCTGTCTGTCTTCCTAAAATCAGTTTGCCTGCAAGTTTTAAAGAAATCTTAATTTGGAAAATAAAAATGAATAGATTGAGCTTCGTTACGATAAAGAAAGACAGAGGTCGAAGAAATCACCCCGCCGCCTTGTAAAAGTTCTTGTTCCGCCCCTGGTATCTTTATAACGTTTTTTTAAATAATATATTCTCTTTTTATTATGTATCTGAAATGTCTATAAACTTATTTTAATCTAATATATATATGGCACTCATTCATTTTATGTAGCCATCTCCAAGCAGCTGGTTAATCAATCGTGACAGGTCCAGGCTAAGATGCAGTCATCCTGGGCCACTGGCAGACGATCTTTTGACGAAAATTCACAAGACCATTCGTCTCATATAATAACGTAATATTTTTATTCGAATTCTGACCCTCTTTTGAAAGCCCCGTGTAAACTCACCATGTTTCTCGATACAGATTTTCTTTTAAAATTTCTGGCCATCAATTTTGAGACCCAAAAACTTGCAGATTCTTTCTGCTGTTTTACCTTCATCATCATATCACTGCCGTTATGCATCTTCGTGGTGTTGGCAGGCAAAGAATCTTCGTGATGGCTGTTCCCCTATGAAAGTAGTGACCTTTCCTAAATATTAACCATAGAACAGAACATATATATACAGATGCCATAAACGAATGGGGGTGCATTTTGAAAGTGAAATGGTAAATCTACATGTAATTCCCACCTTCCATTCCTCCCAAAAAAGAAAAAAGCCTCACAAGAAGATTATTAGAACGTTTCATATGTTAAAATCCTATCAAATCGGGCCATTTATTTTCAAATAGCACGGAAGTGATGTATTTGTTCTCCATCGTATTGATAATGCACATGTACGAACATAAATAAAGACAAGGCACCAAGGTAATATCATTCTGATACTACATAAGTACATAAGTACAGACTTCGGAGCGGGTTGGCGGAACAATTTTCAGGCGCCTCCTTCTTGATATCAAGGTGACGTCAGCAGTTGCGATGTACACGTGTATCATAGTCAAATTTTTTTGATGGGGGGGGGGGGGGTGCAAACTTTTCTGGCACTACTGTCTGAAACCCCCAGACACTGAATGTTTGAGAGAGAGTGAGCGAGAGAGATATTCTTGCCCTTCATCCTTACCACAGAAATTGCATTAACTATCCTCTGATATCAGGTGCCTCTAAAATAGTATACAAACAAAAAGAACACTATACAATAATTTTGTAAAACTCTACAAGCACATCCTGAGGTCAGAGAGTAGGAGTTAATGTATAACATAAAGCACACAATACGAATAGTTATTAACTACATGTGTGGTGTTGCTAGCGAGTTTAACACTAGTTCGCAAATTTACACTTGCCTTTAACTCCCCGTCAATTGTGTTGGCTTTCGTACAGTTCGTCAAAAAAGAACTCTTCGCAATGTGGCCGGTGAAACATGCAAAATGTTCCCAACAATCTGATAACTATGACCTAAAACAACACGCTTTACTGTGCATATAAATAAAGGTCACTTCTAGTCTGATGACAGTTTCAGTGCACGTGACAACAATACGTAGTTGAAAAGTTACATATTAACTCGCGACAAATACAGATAAGGCGACACTGCAATGCTATAAATCGCCATAAACTACAGTTTATAACAAGGCAATTCTAACGTCATATATTTGGTGCGACTGTCCTTGGGCAAATGTAGCAGTGAAAGAGAGATGGTGACAGTGTCGTGCACATACATCAAGAACTTATGTAATAAATAGATATCAAATTATCTTTTAAGATAAAGCGCCTGATAATTAACAGCTCAAGTGGTCGTAGATTTAACCACAAATAATCTTTTAAAAACGTAAATTATCTTAGATAAATGTTTTTTTTTTTAAATATTTTACCGATATGTGTACAGGTAGATGTTGCACAAGACTAGTACCCATTCCCACTTCATGAAATTTTCACACGTATTTCCGTACAAGGAATCGTTTTTTAAGAGAACTAGCACACTTGCTTGGTCTTACTCCCGTCACTTTGTAAGGCACAAACGTCTTACATGTACAATTATCCCATTTTAAAAGAACATTGATTCCAGCACATCGTGAATTTCAGTCCATTTTAAACTCCTCTCAAACCAGCACAAACACGCCATCCCATGTTGGCACTTACGATTCACATCTGCTGCGTAGAGGAGCGCACAAGTAACACTCCAAAACTTACCGATTCTCGTACGGTTTACAATGGCAAATGTTTTTTTTTTCTTTAACTTATACCATGTTCACTTCAAGTTCTGTTGCAAAACAAGAATAAAGAACGACAAATTTCCTTAAATGAAAGATTGTGCAATGTATTTATTTCAAAGAAAGCCTGCATACAACATAGCATTGGCCTAAAACTCCCAGAGGAACAACATAGTTGATACAAAAGTACCGAGTGCTGCTGAACAAAAATCCAGAAGTGTAGCCTACAATGGCAGTTATAAATATATATATTGTTCAGTTAGGGAGTGCTGGTCATTTTTCCTATTGAAATACCTCACAGAGTTTAAGAAAAAAAACACTGTACTGCAGCAACCATATACTAATTTTTTAACAAATGTTTGCTAGTATATGTATCTATTCAAGCCACTGGTTTATCTATACAGATGGTCTGATTGAAGGTTGGCTGCTATTTGTGCCTCCCATCTATCTCCATTGCTTAGAAGTTTTTCCTTGTTGTACAGCAATTCTTCGTGAGTTTCTGTTGAGTACTCAAAGTTAGGCCCCTATAAAGTCATATAAAATAAAACATTGAAAACAAAAGTGCAAAGACTTAAGTAAAAAAAGAAGTATTACTTATAATTTAGTCATTTCAATATAAGAAACAAAAAGCAACAGCAGAATTAGTTATGAATCAAAATTATTTTGTATGTCATATGCATCTAAGAAATATAAACAAAACTTTTCGAAAGAAAACTGTAAGAATAACTATCAAATTGATTAACAAAATTCTGACCTCTACAATGGCATCAACTGGGCAGGCTTCTTGACAAAATCCACAATAGATACATTTTGTCATGTCTATGTCATAACGAGTAGTTCTCCTGCTTCCATCCTCTCTCTCCTCTGCTTCAATGGTTATAGCCTGCAACGTAAGTGTGCATTGCGAATAATTTCTTTCTACCATGTGTTGCTTCCATGAAATTTACAACAAAAAGAAGAAAGCAAGGCTGTTAAAGGCGATCTAATGTACAAACATAACCTCAAAGTAATTTAAGATACACCAAATTGAATGTGAAACACTGAAAAAAATCTAAATGGACAGCAGAATAATTTACTGTACCTGTGCTGGACAGATAGCTTCACATAGTTTACAAGCAATGCACCTCTCTTCACCCGAGGGGTACCTTCTTAGTGCATGTTCTCCTCGAAACCTGGGGCTGAGAGGACCCTTCTCAAATGGGTAATTAAGAGTAGCTGGCTCCCTAAAGATCCAGCTGACACCAATAAGAAGACCTAAATGGCAAAAAATCAGAAGAGCAACTTAAACGATTTTCTGTCACAATTTCAGTTTAAGGCAAGAGGTTAGTATATTAGTTTATTTTACATACATGTATTATCATTTTATGTTAATACAGGGTTCATGCAGCAATACTGAAAACAAATTCAAGGACTTTCAAATACTTCTGAGGCTCAAGTACTTTCAAAGATTTTTGAATACAAATGAGGTAGTGTGCTGTCTTTTATAAGTATACATATCAAAAATAAAAGACAAGTCATATTTCATACAAACTTTTAAGGCAATAATGTTGAAACATGAAAAGAACAGAATTAAATTTTGTCCAAAAATGGTATACTCCCTCCCTGCCAATTATGATCTGCATTCAGGTTAAAATAACAGGATTTTTAAAATAATTTTGGATGAGCTGCTTCGTGATCAAAATCAAATACAAAAAATGATAGAATACAAGCCCTTTTCAAGGATTATTGAAAATTCAAGAATTCCACAAGGCCCCATGCTGTATTAAAGGTGAAGGGCTGAATTCAAGCACTTTGCAAGGCTGTGTGGACCCTGTAATAAATGTGAAAATGTGGGCATACTCAATTTTTGACCTCTTACCTCTCATGAGTTCTGTGAAAAACAATCTTCTTGCCACATTTGTTGTCTGGTCTTTCAAAGTTTCAAAATGTCTTCTTGTGACCACCTCTGTAAAATATAAATTCATCAATTAAAACATGGTCATTATAATCCATTCATATTTATGAAATGTGATTTTTAAAAAATAAAAACTGCTGTTTATGAAAAAAATAATGAACTATTGGACAATATTTACTTATAACATGGACTTTCCCCACCCTGAGCTTCAGAGATAACTTGACACTAACCTCTTCACTATAGCCTATCTTCATCGTGTCAAGTTACCTCTGACCACATTCGATTGCCCCCGCCGCCCGCCAATCAAATTTAAAGCCCGCACTCAATGACTCATTGAACGATCTAGCCAATGAACGCGAACGAGTCAAAGCGCGCTTTGTTCAAATCCGGACCAATCAAAGATAAGGCTGAATATCAGGGACTTGCCGTAACCTGTGGGCAGCATGCAAAATACATCATCCCTCAGTAGATAATGATGCAGGGCATCAAACTGCTCTGGTTTCAATTCCGATATACTCCATGCTTTCTTTGTGTACGGTTATGCACTCGGAACTACTCGGATGTCTCCGCACTCGACAATAACTATGTTGTTAGTATGGAGCTTGCGGAATCAGCCGAGGATTGCCGATTGACAGTCAACCAATCAGCGTTTTCACCAAACTTTGGTGAAAAATTTTGAAACATGGATTCAATTGGCTTATATAAACTAGGTCAAACTATTTTCGTCAGAGGTAACTTGACACGATGAAGATAGGCTATTGTGAAGAGGTTAGTGTCAAGTTATCTCTGCAGCTCAGGGTGACTTTCCCTGGATTGTGATTATGAATAACATTGAATGTTTACACAATTCCCAAGGTATTTCAGTGAAACTAAAATAATGCGAGCATGGAGAGGGGGTGGGATTAATTAATTTCCACCTTCTTTTTATACATTTCAGTAGTAAAATAAAGTGCTAAAATACTTTTTCAAATAAAACCACATTTTGTTTTGTTTTGTTGATTTTCTTCCATTAATACTGAAAAAAATTCAATCAACTGATCAAAAACAACAAAACAACATTCCACTGTTTTTATACATTTCAACATTCCAACATATCATTACTATATAAATGCATGGTTCAAGCTTTTTAGAAATTTTTATAACATTCACCAAAGAAAATAAACCATTGTCCAACATGAATGTCAGATTTAAAAAGGAGAGAGAGAGAATTTATCTTCCCACATTCACAAATGTGGTATACCTCTGATATACCCTCTAATGTATAAACAAAGTATTCTGCCTTTAAAGGGAGCATTGTTTTCTACACTGAATCACCTTAACTATCAAGTTTCAGACAAAATAAAGTCAAAAATCTTCATGTACCCATAATTTGTATCAAAGGAGGCCAGAATTTGAACAACCAAGTTTGCTCAGTGTAAAAAAATAGGTCAACTATCTGTGCAGTCCAACTTATTCAAATAACATTCTTCTTGGGTCCAAATTTAAGAAATTAAGTAAAAAATAAGTTGAAATACTAACTGTATGCTGTCCTCTTCTGAGTGGCACATACTGCTGGCCTAACAATCTGGTCAAGAAGCTGCCTTGCAGCAATAGCTGAAATAGCAATATTTTGGATGTTTTCTTTTAGCTTTTATAGATTAAGGTCTTTAATTTTATCAGATAATTTAACTTACAATTATTAAAATCTTGTGAAAAATAATAATCCAAGACTTATAAGCAAAATTGCAATTAGAGACTTGCAGGTGCAAATTGGAGACTTCTATTTCTGAAATACTGACTGCTAGCATCATGTTACATGTATTAACATCAAAATGCAAGTCCCTTTGCAAGTGCTTGTAAATGCCACAGATTATCAAGACACTGAGATAACAAGGCAACTTATATAATATTCCAGTTAAAGGTCCCTATGTAATGTCCAAACCACTTAACTGGACCATCACGGTGCAGATGCCAAGCAGTTTTTCTTGTTAATGTAGACAGAGGAAAATGTTAATGTTGTTATTATTATTACTCGGAATTTTTGAAATTAATAAAATTTAAGGTCAATTTGTTTGCAGCCAATGTTTTGCACAGAGTCATTATTTATAAAACAGGGGCATAAAATTGCAACACTTAGTCACAAACAGCAATCATCGTTTATGAGTTCTGTAAATGTAATCGACATATGCATGTAGCTGTGGCAATATATACTTACAAGTTCACTAGAGGTAATAAGAAAAGCCTTTACAAAAGGCGACTCCCAAAAGAAATATGGCTATTGTCTGTGATCACTATAATGCATGTTGATATAGTGTTGTTGTTGTTCTGATATGCAATTAAGTTTTTTGTTCAATGTTGATGTTATTCAACTTATTGTTGCTCTTATTTTATCATGAAAAAATATTACTTAGTACAGTACGTGTATCAAATGCGTTTTGTAACACCGAGAGCATGCATATGTGAATTGCTGATACATTGATGATGCATGATTTTACGATTATCACTAAATAGAGAATAATATCACTATTAAATACACTAAACCATCTGTGTTGCTTCCATGAAAACACATCATGAACATGAAATTACCTGACCGACCCACAGCATACAGCTTTACTGTAGCCATGTTGCTGCAATGCATCATGGGATTTATCTGCAAAACGAGACTGAACGGAAGTCAACACACTGGTCGCGGGAGATTTTTACATGATACGATGAATTCGCCTGACGCTAAAAAACAGAAATTGCAGTGCGGAGACGGATCTGATGGTCAGATTAACGTTGCCGACACAGGAGAATTTAGTTTTAGTGACAAACCAACATTAGATGACATGTACGTACTGGCATAGAAGTAGAGAAAGCCACTTTCTCTACTTCTATGGTACTGGGATGATATATATATATATATGTAATGTAATGATTTTGATATTGCAAAATGCACAACTAATTTTCTTTATGATTGTTTTAAAGCTAGGGATATGAAAATTGCATCCATTCTGAATAAAACCTAGATTAACTGACGATGCAGTTTTCATATCCCCCTAAATAATAGTTAGTTTAATATAAGGTTTAGTGTAGCCTATTCTAGTTGAATCAGTTTTTTTTTTTAATTATCCCTATATTGATCTTTATTGAGTAGTACTTGTACTTTCCCTGCTTTAGTCTAGACATTATATAATGTATATCAAACTGTATATGGTAATCACTCTGCGGATTACTTCTTGTATTTGTATTTGATCATGCCCGGATGTAGGGCGATTGTCAATAAACTTCTGATATATGCTGTTTTGATTTACTTCAATAAGTTAACACTTGTCGAGAAAGTACATGTACAGGCGGGACAAAACTGCATTCAGTTCACAAATTAAAATTTTTTAAGGCATGTACAGGTACTTAAACATGTTAATATAGCTTTAGTTATTTGAATAAAATGTCTAGATTTTGAATCTTTATCAGTTTCCTTTAATACATGTTATTATCGCTAATTTCATTATTTGATATTATTATTTGAACTGAAGACGAAAGGTACAGCACGAGTTTTGTAAAGAAAGGAACTGGGACCAATTTCACACCCCAAGAAATATACTTTTGGCCATGGTAGGAGAAGTAGGGGAAGTGTCAGAGTTATTGTAAGTTTGTTTGTGTGTTTATTTGTTTAAATACATGTACTCAGCTCAAAAGTTCAGTCTGCATATGTATTAGAGCATGTCACAACAAAAAAGATTTTTAAAAAATGTTATCGAGGGTACTATTTTTTAAGTAAACAAATGTGTAAATCTCTTTTGAAAAACACTTCTTGCTACATTTGTTTACACATATATATTTGGTATCTGCCAGCTACATTAGCACACATAGTTCTGATATATATATATATATATATATATATATATATATATATATATATATATATAAAGGTGCTAATACAGTTTAAATTACATTGCTTAGTGTATGTTTATATTTTGAGGGAAATATAGAAGTAATAGGTGACATTTTTTAAGGTGTTATTTCATTCATCCTTTTTGCAGTCAGTGGAGAGGTGAAGTAAAAGAAGGATTGCCAGGTGATTTTCATTATATCATGAATTTTTCCTTTAAAATGTTTCCCTTGCTTGAAATTTAGTTAATTTTATTTTGAAAGGAGAAAAGTGCAGGTTTTAAAAGTCGGATGAAAATATGAAACTACAAGGGTGCAGATGTGATGACATAACATATTTTGTTGAATGTAATATTTACCACTGTTATGTAACATATTCACATAATGAGCCATACAGGCATGCACAGTAAATACAATTTTATTTGACAATTTTTTTTTTGTATTTCAGATTGGTCAGAAAAAGACAAAAAACATCTAGCACAGGAGCTCAGTGATGTGTTGATTTACCTTGTTCGATTAAGTGAAAGGTGCCACATTGACTTGCCAGCTGCAGCATTGGAAAAAATAGAAATGAACAAAAAGAAGTACCCTGCACATGTAGTGTATGGTTCCAGTAAAAAATACTCGGAATATGATCTCAAGGAATAACACAGCCCATAAGTGTAGATGCACTCTTTACATTTTAATTGACTTTTTGAACTAATTTGTAGCTTACGTTGTAATGTTTTAAATGTAGAATAGAAAAAACTTTTGTATGTTTTCAGTTATGCTTAGTGTTGTGAACAAATTTATGGTTTGGGTGGATAGTTACAGATCACTCCTTGGATTTTAATTAGATTTTTTTAATAACATGTAATAAAAAATGAACAGAGGTCCTATCAAATTAAGATATAATTTTCATAAAGTGTGATATCTCTGTACTAGTACATGTAACTAAAAAATGAGGGTAATGTTGAAAAGGAAAGTGTCTGGAGATTTCAACTTTGCTTGACCCATTTTCAAGGTCAAATGGGAGATAAAAAGTTTAAATGAAAAATTTTTATGTACACTCTGACCTGAAACCCTGTTTTGGTGACATCTTTTGGATGTCCACACTGACATGGATACGTGATTAAAAATTGCTGGTGATCACGTAGTTTAGTGTTATGTAATATTATTTTGTGCACCTTTTTATTTTGTACATTTGGCAGCTTTACTGCCTTGTTTTGACTACAATTTCCAAAGTTCATAGAACTTTGCAATTTAATATATATATATATATATATATATATATATATATATATATATATATATATATATATATATGAGGTCTCCCTAGTACTGCTCAAGTTTGGGGTCAGCTGATGCATTTCCACAGATTTGTGTCAGTCATTACATGTCAAAATTATAACTCCATTTATTATCCCTTTCAATGTGCCTACCCTAGCTGATGGTACATACCAGAAGATGTGTCACCTCTCTGACCCAAGAGTTTTTTGTTAATTTATTTATTTGATTTTATGATTTGTAGTTGTTTATTGTTGTTTCAACAGTAAGCATTTTATCATAATTTTAAATTATGTAAACCAAAACCAAAGCATATTTTTGGTCAAAATTACAATTTTTATTAATAAAAAATTTTAGACAGCATTCTTCATTTTATTAATTACATGTTATCTGTGTTTCCAATGTAATCATTTTTTCTTTATATATAATACATAATTTACAGCACAGTGGCTTTGTTTAATACTTGTATAAGTTGATGCCACTTTAATGAATGTCCATACATTCATCAAAGGTAAACACTCCTTATGTACATTGTATTGTAAATAATCAACCCTATATCTGTCAAAATTACAAACACTGGAAGCAATGAGTCTTCAGGTATTTTCAGGAATAAAAAGACTAGGAGTACAATGGCAAAGTTATTATTTCTTTCCTTTCTTTCCCTTTCCTTTTCCCTTCTTCTTGGACTTGAGGGCTTTTCGTACTTTGTATGACCTCCAGAATGCTTGAATGGTTGTGGCCCCCTTGATCATCATTTGCATTTCACGTTCTGCTGCTTCTCGTTTTTCACGTGCAATTCTGCGCTCTTCCTGGATCTGTTTGTATTCTGTTTCTAGAGTTGTGAACCTCTCTTCCAGCTCGTGCAACTGCTTCTTTTCCTCTGTGTATCTGGTATCCATCTCTTCGAACTGGGACTAAAAAATTATTTAAGATGTTAATCATCCTTTACTGCAAGTACTACATGATAAGATATAGCTACTTTCAACAATAAATTTTAATTTGCCTTTTTACAAATGAAAATAATATTTTCAAAAATTTTCCTTAAAATCTGTGTAAAATTGTAAGTTGCATCCTAATCTGCCATACCTGTCTGTCTCCCATGTCTGTATCATATCTTTGGATCCAGTTTTCCACTTCAGTTTCAAGTTTGAATTTTTTCTGTTGAGAAAATAATAGTTTTAAGCTTCAGATTCAAATACCTTTTCATTTTTCTCCAATTAAAAAAAATATTTAAACCAAAAATATGCTTTGTTACATTCTCTAAGCTTTACGTGAGATTTATTATTTTGTTTATTTTTTGATAATTTCAATTGATATTTATTCATTTGATGCCCTACTCACCCCTCTCAAATTCTGTTCACTTTCTTTGTGCTCTGATATGAGGTTCTGCAGCTGTGTCCGCAGTGTGCTGACCTCTTGCTGAAGCTTAGCCTGCTTTCCTTCACTGTTCTTCTGATCTGCAGATTCCTGTTTTTCTGCCTCAGATTTTGTTCTCTTTATGTGTTCATCAGAAAACTTTTCAATTTGATGCAGATCTGCTTGCAGTCTTCTTATGACATCATTCTTCTTTTTTACCTGAAAGAAAGTGAACGTTTTTGTAATAAATAATGTCATTTTTGTCAAGGTTTATCATTTCAGATTGATTTCAAAGCCCAAATTTCATTTTTTTTTTTTTTTTTGCATTAATTAGTCCATTTTATGTACAAAATAAAACCAAAACTAGACTTCAATTTAAACAGTACTATACATTAATCCCAATAAAATAATACCTCTGCATCTTTATCTTCCAGAGCAACATTCAATTCTCCTTCCAACTGCTCAATCAGCACTGCGTTCTGCCTTTCTTGGTGTGTCACTTGTGTAAGATACTGTTTCTTTTCCTGCTCTTCAACTGGAGTTGTGAGCAGTTTTTCCATGATAATGTCTCTTAATTCAGACAGAGCTTGCATCATTGTGGAAACATGTTGTGGTCTCTCAACCTTTAACTCTTGGATTGCACGGGCTGCCCCTGGATTTGTGGCAAGCGACCTAAGAATGTTCTTAACTGAATGCCGCAGCTGTTTTTCAACCAACTGCAAGTGTCTTGTAGAGGAATCAATTTTGTCATCAACACTGGTGACCGAGGCGTTGCTCCTCACACTGGCTGCACTACCTCGCCTCTGTGACCCTGCAGGGCTATCAGCCCTTTCTTTTCTGTCCAGTAGGTCACCGAGGCTGGCTCTTAGTTCATTATATGATTCCTGTGTTGCTTTGTGGGTTCGAAAAAGCTCTAATAGGTCGGATCCAAACATGACACTGAATCTATCTAAATCGTCGATTATGAAAGGTAAATATGAAACTAGTTCAATGCGCTTCCTTGTATCTTCTAGAACGGCCATAACACGTTGTGCTTCAACTGTTGTCAACTTCTTTCGTGCGGGTTCCAAAGCCCGCAATGGGTCGAGCTTGATTTTTCCTTTCTTAAACGGTTTTGGAGGAGATGTTGCTCTGCCAGGAGCCTGCAAGCGCATGTGGATGGTCTCCTGGTTGCTCAACTGTTGGAGTTCTACAACAGAGGTTGCCATGATTTCTGTCTTCGTAGAAAGTCAGTTCTTTCTAGAGTATAATCCTTTGAATTCAATAGAACGTAGAAGACAATCTTAACAGTCTTCCTGATCTCCCCTTTAGTATTTTTGGGAAATTGACTTCAATATACGTGCGAGTCCTGTGTGACTTACTGTTTTGATGGTGATGGTGTCTGTCAGTGTAACGGCTTACAATTCTGTTTGTATGGAAGTATTGCGCTGCCCCCTAGCAACAATTAGTTCTTAGAGTTAGTTAAATATTTTTCCCTATATTAAGTTTAGGTTGTATTATGTTAATATAATATAACTAATATTTATTAAATTTTGTAAACAAAACAAAATGAACCGACTTTTTACAGTAGTTTCTTATATAAAGCGGTATAATATTTCAATATTAGAACTATTTTCCGGTTTCCAAGTTCTGTATTCACGAAAACTCTCGCGAGAGTTCAGAGGTAAACACGTTATGGCGGACGAAGACCGTCTCATACAGGACACTGACAGTACACGAAACCGCCGACCATCCAACACAGGTATGCTTGCAGTGTTATAGTAAATGTCAACAGATACGTTATCGAGAACTTTTGAAATCGTTCTTTGTATTAAAAAAATGGTATTAAGAATCAAGTGACGCAAGGATTAAAAGATATCACTGTCACACTGTCGAGCACTGCCTCTTGGCAGACTTTTTAGTGTTGCCTCACTTTTCGGCCTAACATGCTACGTGGTACATTTAAGTAACTGGCATGTAAGGCCAAAAACTGATAGCAAGGCAGTGAAGGAGCGGTCTTGAGGGTGTTTACGCAGGAATATATCTCCTTACTAGCAGGGTATTTTAGTTGTTGCAAAAACAAAATCCGCAACTGACTGCGCTGCTTTCCCATCATGTTTGTGATAACCATGATAATTTGTGGGCTAATGATCTGTTGTTATAGCATGAGTGGAACTTGAAGTATCTACTTGGCTTAATTATTAAATAAATAACCACTTGGCCGACTTTCACTTTAGAACAAAAAACACACAAAATTATTTCAAGGTTGAAGGGCGACATCATGGGATTTACCCACCAGAATGGATTTTCCCGAGGAAATAAGCAATTTTTATCATACTCACAAATAATTTACCTATCCCTCTCTTCACTTGGAATAGAGCTTTACTTGAATTTATAAAGGTTGTTTTTTTAGTTTGAAATGACTGGCCAGTCATTACCAGGGACCGTCTTCCTAAGCTCTGATGGAAATATCAACATCAGACACACTCCAATAAAAAATTGGATAATTTTTTAAGGTGTATTAAGGTCTTATGAGAAGTTGGATAGCAAAAATAAGCATTTGGGGAGATTCAAACTCATTCTCAAACCCATAGAGTGTATCTTTAATAATCTACACTAAATATAATCTACTATAATTTAATAATCTGCTATCTATCAGAGGCTAACTGAGTGATGACATCAATTCTATGCACTCTCGTCAGTTCTCTGTGCTAAATATCAGGTGGAACCAATTATTTCTGCCCATGAGAGTACATTTTTTGGTTCAAGCACCACTAGCAAATCCAATGAGTACCAGTGTGGTAAACACTTATTACACAATCTGTCATCTCTTATCTGTCTGGCACTAAGTCGTGGCTAGGAGGTCATATCCTTCAGTAGCAAGCAGTATATATCAGAGCTGTCATCAAGAGTTGCTGAGGAAATTGTCAAGTGGCAGTGCCTGAGTAGTGAATGTTATATTATTCAGTTGCGAATTAGCCAGAGAAATGTCTATGAATATCTAGTGAAAAAGTTATCTATAGCCCTGGTAGAGAATAAACCTATCTCTTGCAGATAGAAGAAAGTAACTTATTATGTGCACTATTAGGTTATCTAATATCATTAATGACATACTTCCACGGTAGTAACTGATCATGTTCGCTTTTACTCATATAAAACAGCAAACTACAGTAGACGACTTACCCTCTTGGTGGAAGTAATATATTTGATAATAACAATAATGCGCCATAATAACAGTGAATGATAATTTTTAAAAATATTACCAGCTGCTTGATAATTCATATACATTATTGTGATGTGGAGATTAGATCTATTGTATAATGTATAATATGTTGTCTATATATGATACTTGTATGTGTTAATATATCCATGAAAAGCTTTGAAGAAGTATTATTTTAGGGATTAAATTTAATGATGAAACCGTTGTTTTTTATTAATATTTCAATTATTACTTTCAATCATTTGATTTTTAATGCTTTATTAGAAATTTGACTTCATTATTGTCTTTTCATGAAACTAAAATATTTTCTAAACTTTGATTTTTTTTTCAGAATTTGATGAATTCTATGAATCAGGGGGTATAATTCCCGAAAACCCTTCTAGTTCAGAAAGAGAACTTAATTCTGTTCGTCAGCAAAAAGTTCTATGGCAATATAACTATCAGGAAGCTGCCATTTTTCTTGAAGAAGGCATCAACAATGACAAGTTTAAAACACACCCTAGGACTTTTGATGCTCTTCCAGCATACGCCCTTGCTCATAACAAGTGGTATTACTTAATGGACCTGTTGGCATCATTACTGTTGTTGGGGCTTATTTTTTGTGAATCCCCTGCAGTGCCTTTTCTGAAGCTACCAATTGGTGTAAGTGGTTTGTTTTGTCTGTACTATTATTTTTTTTCATCATTTTTAGCACTTATTTTTTTAAGCCTTCATCTTTATATATATTAGATATAACTAGAATTATATGAAGATGTACATTCATGCATTACAAAAATAGACTGAGTAGTTAAATTTACTCACAAGTTATCAAATGGAAGGGTTTTTTTTGAAAATTTTTATTTGCTTATTTTTTTTTTAATTTCAGGCCCATGCTTCATTGGAGCTGTTTGGTTTGGCCTTGCTGTCAGTTGAGCTTGGACTCAAATTGCGATGGCAGGGAGTGAAAACATTTTTCAGTCATAAGAGGACCTTGTTCAAGGTGGGTAACATTTTGACCTCTCTTGTAATCATAAGAAGATGTTAAAGAGCCAGTAGCATGAAGGAGCAACCCAAAAATATGAATCTATAGCAATGTAAAGAATAACTGGAAAATTGGGGTCTTATTGGAGAAAAAGATTATTTTAAAGATGTTTTATTATTATTATTTTGTTTGTTTCAGACCTTGCTTTTATTTCTTATGTTTACTGAGGCAATAGTAGTACTTAGTAGACAGAGCAATCATTTCCGAGTGACACGGGCTCTCAGACCACTATTTCTTTTAGACTCGCATTATGCAAGAGGTGTTAGAAGGTAAGTGGTGGTTTATTCAGCACACATTGACCCAGGATAATATCAGTCATTAGACTCCATGCTAGGACAATGTTAAAAGCAGAGTGGGATATAAGATTAATTTTAACTAAGCTATCTGTGTTGAAGTCTTCGTGACTTAGGGTCTATTCCCACAACTTTAGATCGATCTATCACCGCGGGGAGTCTCACCAGACTACCGTCAGATAATCCCCCTTAAGTGTCCGTCCCCGCCCACTACAAGCCGTAAGGGGCAATTAACTTTCGTGTCCGCCTGGCTGACAGCTATTCAGCGTGAACCCCCAGGGAGTTAGGTCGATCCAAAGTAGGTCGATCTAATCTATGGAAATGGGGTGATAGACTATGAATACATTTGGTGCAAATAATGTTTCAGGTTTGTGCGGCAGATTTTACAGTCCTTGCCTCCAATTTTAGACATGATAGCACTGTTGTTATTTTTTATGTTGATATTTTCAATATTAGGTAAGTATGGTTTATATTTACCACTGTTAATACATTAAAATGATATTGTTGATTTGGTAAATAGCTGTTGTATGCTGTACAGAATAAATGGTATCATCTTTAAGGAGTAAACAAGCTCCACATAGTTTTTTCAATAGCTTTTTAAAAATTTATTTATTGATAATTCTGGATCTCAGAATTATTACTTTTGTTTTATTATTACTTGATAAATATTTGTCATATTTTAGGATTTTACTTGTTTTCAACCAATCCAGATGATCCGGTAGGTTATTTACCATATGTTATAACAGCATATATACCCTAATTTTTTTAAAAATGTAAACTAATATGAAGAAAGTCTGTTAAAAAGTATTAAATCTGAACTGATGATATTGTCAATAGCGCATTTTTATTTTTAGTATACATTGGTGTCAGTAACTCTGAAAAATATGCAGTGATTTAGAATAATTTTTAAAAACATCCTTTTAAGAAATGATAATAAAAGGTGCATATTTTTTCTTTCAGTTTTTCAAGACTATACAGAGTAGTTTTATAAGCTTGTTTGTACTTTTAACAACAGCAAAGTAAGTTGTGATTTTAGGAAATCAAATCAGAAAGTGATTTTTTGCATTTTTAAATAAATTAAAATTTATTAATTGATAACCATTTTGCCATTTAAAAATATTTTTACCCAATGTTAATATGTTGGGTTACGGAATGTTTTGATTAAGAATTACGGGCCTTTGATTCCAGTTATCCAGATGTGATGATGCCATCTTATGCCCAGTCCAAATGGTCTTGCCTGTTTTTTGTGGTATATTTGTCTATAGAGCTGTATTTTCTAATGAGTCTGGTGAGTAACTGGGCTGCAGTGCTATTACTATTACAACTTGAAGCACTGTTCATATAGTACTCTCATCATTATTTTCAAATTTGGCATTATTTTAAAAACATTGATGATTATTTTTGTATTTGGTCATGGAATAAGCAATTGTTTATGCTATTTTTGAAGCTTTAAGAAGTAAATGCACATTTTATACATTTATTTTCAGTTGCTAGCTGTGGTGTATGATACATTCAATACAATAGAAAAGACCAAGTTGAAGAAACTATATATGCACAAAAGGAAAGCATGTGAATATGCTTTTAAGCTCCTGGTGACCAAAAAAGTGAGTATTTTTTTACAAGCAGTTGGCCTAAAATCCAACTGTAAAAAGACTGCATGCAATGAAAATGTTGACCTTTTAAATGTTTTAGATATACATTTGATTCCAACATTGTATCAATGTTGAGAAACATCGGGTTCAACCCCCCCCCCTCCTTTAGCATTAATTAATTTACCAGTAACAGTCTTTTTTTTTTTCTTTTTTTTTTTTTTTTTTGACATTACATTTGTCATTTGTCCTTAGGGAAATTTGAAACAAAAATCTTGAAGTGGAACATATTTTCACATTATTTTAAAGTCATAATAACTCTTCGTTTTGGCCAAAAATACGATTTTCCTGGAAAAAACGGCAATTTTCCTGTACTTACCAATGGTCAACGACCCCATTCCTGCATTCAAAGTTAATCCAGGGTTTTTTTTCCAAAAGTACGTTTTTTTGTTAAAATCTCTTAAGAGATTTTAACTGACGGAGCCCTCTCGTATCGAGCGATAGTTTCTGGTGACCTACTTAAAACCGCGGGAAAAGCAGACAACAACAACACTATATAACAATATTATAAGATTCATAAGATATGTTGGTCTTTTTGCTCAAAATGCATTTATATCTACAATGTGTGCAATTCTGGGCTTTTCGTTATCCGACGCACTGTACAAAAACTCGCAAGTTACGTCTGAGGGTTTCCGGCCATGTTATTTTGGTTTCGAATGAACGCGAGAATCCGCGTGACACCTAAACGTCATTGGCAACGGATGCACTTGTCGACCGCGAAGAAAGGCATCGAAAGCCCAAGTGACAAACACAGATTTTAGTTTTACTTCAATAACAGTCGTTTTAGTGGGAAAATGCAATAGAATATATTTCCAGGCGTTGTTTACAATGTATTTCTTGCGGAATTTTGAATCTCAAAGGAAGAGTTATTATTGCTTTAAAGATCATATTCACTTTGGTTGATAATTGAACTTTTTCCTTCTGGTTCTTCATTTTGCAACATTTTTTATTTCCTTTCAGCATCCTGACAAGATAAGGTTGAAGGCGTTTGTGGGTTTCATGAAATATTACAAACCGAGGAAAAGTAAGGTTGTTTCCACAGGCTTAATCATTTTACATAATGAAGCTGAACATCAGAATCAAGACTAGTAATTGTTGAAAAGTTAAATAAAGTAATTATGGGGTTGAGAGCCAAATAAAAGATGTAAAATAGCCAAGTGTTGTACAGAATGTGATGTGTTTTGATTTAAGAGTAATAATGAGCACAGTTAAAATGGTTTTTAATTGTCATACAGAGGGAAATAAGGCATTTTTATTACTGTCCTCCTGGCTTGTCCTTTCTTATCTTTTTTAGCTCCCAAGGAAGTCTACTTAATATTTAAATATCTTAACAAAAGCAGCACTGGAAGTCTAACAAGTGAAGAGTTCCACGATATTTATAATGTTTGTGAACTACAGTGGAAGGTAGGGAAATATTTTCCCTCAGTTTTTGTTTTCTCAAAATCTATTACTAGTTGAAAAGGTTTGTGCATGTCAAACAGGAGTTGATCACTGTTCAGAGTTAAATGATAAAAATATAGCAGTATTAAAACAATTTTCTGAGGTGTGGTGTTTGGGTCATTACTTATATATAAAACAGCAATCTTTAATTTTGATATTTAGCCTAGGAGTTGACGATTCTTATTCTTGTTTTCAGCCAAGACATCAGGCAAATCAACTTTGGTCATCAAATTTTCATTATCCCTTTAACAAATTATTTAAATGTGAGTATATGCTGTATCTTTGTGCAGTACTGTGAGACATTTCTGATTATACCATGGCTTAAATATAAAGATTATAAACTTTTTTGGTAAGAGATCCATCAGTATTAAATAAAAGGATCAACTAAGAATTGAAAACTTCCCTAGCTAAGAAGTTATTTTATATTTAATGAAAAACCTGATAGTAATATTTTATTTATATTTTTTTTTAGATCTCAATGCACTTGTTACTTCTCGATGGTTTGACTATGCAATATGTAAGTACAGTTTTGAATTATGGTTCAGGGAGTTTTAAGATAATAGGCTCTTGTGATTTTATGTAAAAAAAAGTGGTGATAATACTTGTGCCTCATCATATGAAGTAGTGTTAAAAAAGAAGTATGCACTTATCTTATCAAACTTAACTTTGGGGGAAAGATGATTTTTTTATTTACTTTGAATATAAATGTCTGCTTTTCTGTTTGCAGATGTGATAATAGCTGTTAACTTTGTATGGATTCTTGTGGAAACAATACAGATCTCAGGTTAGTTGAAGACTGAGGTGGAGTGTAAGGCATTATGCAAATTTTAAAGCATTGGCCAGTGAAAAAGTCACTAGTATTTTAATTTTCACCTTTTAGGCCATTTCTTTTCTCATTTATATATAAGAATTATGTATATTGTACCTAAGTGAGCATAAGTGCCATTTTAATTCACAATTAAATGTAACATTAGAAAATGTTTTTAAAGTNCCTCTAGTTTTTTTTTTAATTTCAGGCCCATGCTTCATTGGAGCTGTTTGGTTTGGCCTTGCTGTCAGTTGAGCTTGGACTCAAATTGCGATGGCAGGGAGTGAAAACATTTTTCAGTCATAAGAGGACCTTGTTCAAGGTGGGTAACATTTTGACCTCTCTTGTAATCATAAGAAGATGCAAAAGCGCCAGCAGCATGAAGGAGCAACCCAAAAATATGAATCTATAGCAATGTAAAGAATAACTGGAAAATTGGGGTCTTATTGGAGAAAAAGATTATTTTAAAGATGTTTTATTATTATTATTTTGTTTGTTTCAGACCTTGCTTTTATTTCTTATGTTTACTGAGGCAATAGTAGTACTTAGTAGACAGAGCAATCATTTCCGAGTGACACGGGCTCTCAGACCACTATTTCTTTTAGACTCGCATTATGCAAGAGGTGTTAGAAGGTGAGTGGTGGTTTATTCAGCACACATTGACCCAGGATAATATCAGTCATTAGACTCCATGCTAGGACAATGTTAAAAGCAGAGTGGGATATAAGATTAATTTTAACTAAGCTATCTGTGTTGAAGTCTTCGTAACATAGACTATGAATACATTTGGTGCAAATAATGTTTCAGGTTTGTGCGGCAGATTTTACAGTCCTTGCCTCCAATTTTAGACATGATAGCACTGTTGTTATTTTTTATGTTGATATTTTCAATATTAGGTAAGTATGGTTTATATTTACCACTGTTAATACATTAAAATGATATTGTTGATTTGGTAAATAGCTGTTGTATGCTGTACAGAATAAATGGTATCATCTTTAAGGAGTAAACAAGCTCCACATAGTTTTTTCAATAGCTTTTTAAAAATTTATTTATTGATAATTCTGGATCTCAGAATTATTACTTTTGTTTTATTATTACTTGATAAATATTTGTCATATTTTAGGATTTTACTTGTTTTCAACCAATCCAGATGATCCGGTAGGTTATTTACCATATGTTATAACAGCATATATACCCTAATTTTTTTAAAAATGTAAACTAATATGAAGAAAGTCCGTTAAAAAGTATTAAATCTGAACTGATGATATTGTCAATAGCGCATTTTTATTTTAAGTATACATTGGTGTCAGTAACTCTGAAAAATATGTAGTGATTTAGAATAATTTTTAAAAACATCCTTTTAAGAAATGATAATAAAAGGTGCATATTTTTTCTTTCAGTTTTTCAAGACTATACAGAGTAGTTTTATAAGCTTGTTTGTACTTTTAACAACAGCAAAGTAAGTTGTGATTTTAGGAAATCAAATCAGAAAGTGATTTTTTGCATTTTTAAATAAATTAAAATTTATTAATTGATAACCATTTTGCCATTTAAAAATATTTTTACCCAATGTTAATATGTTGGGTTACGGAATGTTTTGATTAAGAATTACGGGCCTTTGATTCCAGTTATCCAGATGTGATGATGCCATCTTATGCCCAGTCCAAATGGTCTTGCCTGTTTTTTGTGGTATATTTGTCTATAGAGCTGTATTTTCTAATGAGTCTGGTGAGTAACTGGGCTGCAGTGCTATAACTATTACAACTTGAAGCACTGTTCATATAGTACTCTCATCATTTTTTTCAAATTTGCCATTATTTTTATAACATTGATGAATATTTTTGTATTTGGTCATGGTATAAGCAATTGTTTATGCTATTTTTGAAGCTTTAAGAAGTAAATGCACATTTTATACATTTTATTTGCAGTTGCTAGCTGTGGTGTATGATACATTCAATACAATAGAAAAGACCAAGTTGAAGAAACTATATATGCACAAAAGGAAAGCATGTGAATATGCTTTTAAGCTCCTGGTGACCAAAAAAGTGAGTATTTTTTTACAAGCAGTTGGCCTAAAATCCAACTGTAAAAAGAATGCATGCAATGAAAATGTTGATCATTTAAATGTTTTAGATATACATTTGATTCCAAAATTGTATCAATCTTGAGAAACATCGGGTTCAACCCCCCCCCCTTTCCTTTTGCATTAATTAATTTACCAGTAACAGTCTTTTATTTATTGTACCACCAGCGTTAGCGCTGGCGGTACACATGGTTTCGGTCCCGTCCGGATCGTTCCGCCGGCTCCGCCGGACGGCTACCGTTACCGCTTCTCCTCCTAGACGGTAAGGGCCCCCGTACCCATCTCATGGATTTAGGTCACCTATAATCTCAACTCGTTCCACGTAAAATTTGGGCTTTGTCGGTATTGGGGTCTGGGTGTGGCACTCATTGCAATGCACCCTTGTCTAAAAATGGCAAAATTAAATGCTAATTATCTACCCTAC